AAATAACTATAAAAGAAATCTAAATACTAAATAAGCTAATTAAGTAGTTTATAAAGAATTATATATACTTATAATAGTAGTTTTATAATACTTTATAACTAATATATTTATATAAGTATATAAATAATAATATAAGAATTCTTAGTTATACTATAATAATAAATAGTCTTTTATTAAAAATTATAATTATATTTAGTTTAATAAATTATATTTTACTTTTCTATTACTTTATAGTTATTTTAAGTCTTTATAGTTATTTGCTTTATATATATTATTATTAATTAATAAAAAAGTCCTTAAAATAAGAATATCTTTTATATAAGTAATTATTATACAATAGTTACAAGCAAAAGCAATAAATCCATAAAGAAAGGTTTCTCTATATAAGTAGAGATAGCCTTAAGAAATCCCTAGGAAATTACAGTAGATCTACTACGCTATAGCAGCAGGTCTACTTATACAGTAGCAGTATATCCACTAAAAATTCACTACAAATTCCTAGTAGGACCTACTTTTACAACCACAGAGAATCCACTAAGAAATCCCTAGTAGATTCCCAGTGATTTCCCTACACTTCAAACGGCTCCAGACAGGAACCCCTCAGTATTTCATCACTAATTCCTAGCTAGCTAAGTAAAATAAGAATTATTAATCTTCATACTTATCTTATCTGCATTAAAGTATAATAGTTATAATAACTTTTATATATAATAGTATTCTTATTAAAAAGCTTATCTTATTAAAATTATAAATATTATTATTATAGATTTTATACTTTATAATTATATTTTATATAAAAATAAACTAAGCTTATATAATTATAAGATCTTTAGCTAATACCTTTTAATAGTTAATTTTATATTAAAAACATGTCTTTAGTTATAGTTAACGTTATATAAAGTTCTTTACTTATTAAGGTCTAATATATATTATATTACATTTATTAAAGAAGTAATTAGCTATATCTTATATATCGTTAAGTTATAGTAAAAATCTTTAATTAATTAAGTTAATAACTTATTTAAGAATTACTATTTTCTTTAGCTTAATTATCTTTATTGATTTTATATAAGTCTTATAGTATAGTAATTGTTTAGTATATTAATATTAAAGTATTATTCTTAGGATATTATAAATAAAGGCTGTTTTTTGTATAAATAGTTTTAGGTCTTTTTTAATAGCTTTAATTACAAGAATAATATAACTTTTATTTAAAAAAGAACTTATTATTATATATAAAAGAATATTAATGTAAAGTTAAAGTTTAAGGAGAAAGGAGGAAGTAAGCCACTTACTATGATAAACCACTTGTTATATATATACGTTAAGTATTACTATTATTATAAAAAAATATAATAATATCCTTTACTAAAAAGCTTTACTTATAAAGTATTTTTTTAAGTATTTAATTTACTATATAAGTAATATATACTTATTTATAAGACCTTTAAGTAATATAAATGTTTACCTTTATATATAAGTAGCTTTATAAAATAATAAGGCTTACTATATTACTATAAGATATACTTAGAATAAGCTAGTGATATTCTTAGGTAGTCACAGGGAAGTAAAGAGACTTAGTGAAAGTAAAGGTAGAAAGATAAGGTTGTTGTATTTATGTATACTGTTATATCTTTTTTTTTCTTTCTAAAAGGTAGGAATATCTTAGGCTTATATTCTTTTCTTGATATCTTATTAGTAATATGATTATCTAATAAAATAATCTTATCTGGAATCTAGGAGTTGGTTTTCTGGAATCTAGGGTTAACTAGATCTAAGATTAGAATTCTAGGGTTAACTAGATTTAAGGCTAGAATTCTAGGGTTAACCTGATTCTTATAAGCCTATCTTATATATAGACAAGTTATATATAGTTATAAAGCTCCTATTTTACTTAATCTAGATATAAATATAGTAAGTTTATATAGTTATTAGATATAAGGATATAATTAGATAAGATAAAAGTTCTTATAATAAATCTTATTCTTAGTAATATTTTATTACCTCTAGAGTTATAATAGTAATAAAGTACTTATATAAAATAATATTAATTACTACTAATAGCTAAATAAGACTAATATAAGTATTATTCTAAAACTTAGATTACTTTTTACTGATATCTTTAGCTTAAGCTTATTATTTTTAAAAATTAGACCCTTAAACTTAATCCTAATATAGTCTACTACTATTATAACTTCCTATAACCTATATAATTACTTAACAAAAAAGCTAAGCTAACTATTAACCTTTATAATATTTAATAAAAGCTTTTTATATAAAATAAATTAAATATATTTATCTTATTATAGTTAAGTAAAGTAAGATCCTCTACTATAGCTAATTAAGCTATATTAGCTAAAAGTAATCAGATATTATAGTTATAACAGCAATAGTAACTACAACAATAACAATAGTAATAGTAATAAATATAATAATAACTCACTACCCTTTAGGCCTAAGTTAATCAGCTCTATAATAAGGTAACTGTTACCCCTCTGGTAAGGCAAGTCCTTCAGAGGAGCGGTCAGATCTATCGTGTAGTCTGACAGACCTTACGGTTGATGTAGTGAACCTGCTTCACCAAAGATAGGATCTAGAAGATGGAGGTGAAAGAAGTTGATTCCCTCAATGACCCTGTGGGAGGTCTACCTTATATAGTGGTAGACCTCCCGTGTCTATCGGCAGGGGTAACAGTAACTTTTCAAGAAGGGCAGCAGATTACAGCCAAAGAAGCCAGCCTTAAGCAGCAGCAACAGGCGCTAACAGACTTCAGGGCCCAGCAGCCATAGCAGTTTATAAACCAACTAGCCCCCTAGCTATTCACCAGCTAACAACAATTTCCCTATTAACTACCTCCTCTACACACTACCAGCCAACCCTAGACTCCTCAGCGCATACCCTATCAACGGTAGTAGTAATCATGGTAGCAGTAGATATAGCATCAATTATAGCCATAGGCTTCAATTAATCGCGTTTTGCCCTATATTTAACTATATCTATAAAAAATATAACTTTACCCTAAAAACCTACGTTTTAACATAAATAATAAACTGCTAACTATATATTTTATAACAACCTAACCTCTTACCTTATACCTCAAAATAGAGGTATATTCGAATTTAGTAGTAGTCTCACTATATAGCTATGGTAGTAGATTTTCTTGCCGAAAGCGGTTAGATACGTTGAAATACCAATTCGCCTACGTCGATTTACCTGTACTCGATCGCGCGACCTTAGGGCAGCGGGTGATCCGGCCGCACCTGAGCCGCAGAGTGGCTAATCTTACCCAAGATCACTCGTATGAATAGAAAACCTGTAATTCTTATTCGCACTCATTTTAATCCAATGACTATCAAGAAAGCACAGAGAAAAGCAAGTATGCCTGCATAATATTCTCTCAGAGCCCTTTAAGCTGCCAGTACCATACCTCCACATCATCCAGTCCCTGAGGTTCCACCTTGACTCTAAGGACCTGAAAACATTAAGCAGCTCTCGTCCACAATCTTGACGGTACGTTGAAGGCAACCACAGGATATATCTCAACTCGGTTTGACGATGTCGGTACTTCCCCTGACGATAATACGATCGTATAAGGCACCAAGGCCAACCGTCTCCAACGCGATCAGTGCTCGTTCCGGCGCTGAATCGGTTATTTCCAGTTTGAAAAAAAAATAGATTTTGGCAGCCGACCTGATACTCACTTTGACGAGGCAGAAATTGAATCGCGGGACGTCATTGCTGCCGGACTGCATTGATTAAGGGTGAATCCCAGCCCCTCCGTGTAGAATTTACGGTGACTGTTATATCCCTCCAATCAAATGCCAGGGTGATCTTTCATGCCGGTTAGACACCATCGGTAATTCCAGCGGCGCCGATAAAGTATGTTTGTCCACCGCCTTGCCGGAGCACCTTACGGGGGATTTTCGACCTTTGTGTGTCTAGAGGTTGGTCTCTTGACTGCAGGGTTCAAGGTCTACCTTGGTCATTTGCATCAATGCGGCTTCTTCGTTTTGCTCTTAGCGACCTTAACGGAACGCCCGGGTGGTGGGTTGTTAGCAACTGAATGGGTTGGGTGAACGGACACCGGACGCCGGCGGATGACTGAGATCTCTGTCACTCAACAGGTCTAGGAGGAGAACAGTAACGAAAAAGTATAAAACGGATCACTGACACATTCTGTTTCCGACAGGGTGGCTGGTGGAAGTGAGGTGGTAACGTCATGATACTGTTCCCATAACGAGAGGAGTTCCCTACTTCCCCAATCTTTCTCGGCCTCCCTGCCTCTCCCCCTCTTTCTTGTCTGAGATCCCCCACCATCAGCGCAATTCATGAGCCAAGCTGCTAACCTTATTTCACTGTTAAAACGTGGTCTACCACGGACTACTTCCGCCCTGCAAATGGGTGTGGTCAAGTGAACAGAACCCAAACGCTGAGATTCCACCGCTTGCCATCGGCTGGTACAAAAGTGTGCCGTCAGGAATGATCTTCACCGATGAGAAATGTGTTCCTGGATGGACAAACTCCCATGACGTCTGACTCAACACCATCATCGCGAGACGACGGGTTTGAGTGCCGCGTAGTTGAAAATAGCGAACGTTTGCCAAGAGATGGTGGTCTGGTAGGATCTGGGCTCTTGGCGGCTCTAGATCGCAACTTTGTTCCGATTGTTCCGTGGGTACTTGGCCGTGGGAAACGAGGCCAACATAATGCTTGTCACGCTATTCAAGATTTTGACTGATTTAGAAGGGCAATGGTATGATTTCGGTAGACCGTGCGGTATGAACCATCACGACATAGCTAGCGTGCGACAAGCCATATATCAAAGATGTGGAGATTGAATCTGTTTATTCTTGAGAGGGTATTGATTAAGTACAAGATTCGCCAAATCACTGCTTTCATCGTTGGGCCATGCTGTCGTACTGCAATTACCAAAGCCAGTGACGAAGAAAAGAAACCTGAAAGACATGAATAACATAACGGAAACCGCTCGTACTCGCTCATCAAATAACATCGTATCTGCGCAAAACAGCCAGGACAAGAGGCGGGATCCCACGAAGGTCGTTCTCATCTGGTCCAAGTCTCGATAGGTCCATTTCCGATGTTTCCCGCATAGCTGCCTCAGCTGCGGTGTTCGCTTGAGCTGTATCAGCGGTGTTGATGTCCATGAACGCAGCCTCAGCACTGGCGAAGTTGGTCATTGGTATGAGGTCGGCATCTGAGACTGGCCCGGCTACCACCACTCTGCTAGTATCAGCAACGCCTAGGGCTCTGGCTACTCCCGCGAGAAGATCTGAGAGCTTTGGCACGGCCTTGGAGGGAATCTTGATCTTCCCACCGCGGCCCTTGTACTCATCAATGGCCTGGGTGAAGTTGCTCTGAATCTGATCGCTGACCTGCGTTGCGATGGGCTGGAATTGACGGTCCAGTACTTTTGTGAACTGCGGCGCGTGAGTAAGAGACCGCTGGTCATGGCAATGCACAGGTCTAAACTTACGGCACCTCCCAGATCACCGGCTTTATCCTTCTGGATAGCAACAGAGTCCCGAATGAGACTTCTGACATCCAAGATCTTGAAACCAGCCTTGTCAAATTCCTTGCGTTTGCTTTGAAGCTCATTCAGCAGATTGTTGATATCAGGCTGGAGAGCAAGGAATTGTGTGCCGACCTGTGTCCTGTAAATGACAGTGTTAGCACTGACGCCTCGCTGTCTGTTAAGAAGTTTTATCATACGATTCGGTCGCTGACAGGGTGTCTGTTTTTTCGGCAGTCTCCGTTCCACGGTCGATGGTGTTTCCGAGCGTTACAACCGCCTCGTTTACCTTCAGCAGCCCCACTAGACCTTTCAGCTTGCCGCCCTCGAAGGGAACGATTGTATCGTTAGCTTTGGCGGTTTTCTCTCGAAGATCTGAGATTTGTTTCTGTAGAGCTTGTACACCGCCCTTAACTGGTTCTTTGCCACCTTTTCCTTTCCCTTTATCTTTGCCTTTGTCCTTGTCTTTGCCGCCCCAACCTCGGAGGTCCGAGTCGGGCGCCACCACCCCGGCGCTGACCACAGTAAGGCAGAAGAGCAGAGATAGAAGGATGAAGAGCTTCATTTTGAAGGATGGGATAATTTTAATAAGAAAGTCAATGGACAGGAAATGTTTTCGAAGTGGTACAATCTTCAACAGTCAGGCTGGAGGAGTCGCCTCAGCTGGTGTCTTCATGGTTGAAATTTCAAAGGATCGCGGGGTGTACCATCATGTAAATAACCTCGACAAGACTTTCGCGATCCGTGACGCCGAGGCAAAGGACCTACGCCATTACGATTTTCGAGCGTCGGCGAGAGACAAAGGTTGGTGAGCTAACCGTCCAGGCTGACCCCGTCTGACGAAAGACCCGCAACCGACGACTCGGCACATGTTTGGCGGGTGTTGAGACTCCTCAGAGAATCATTGTACGATGTCACAAGTTTTCTCAGCGACCGAAGGGTTGGGCATGATGCCACGCGGGGTTCACTTTGTTGGCATAAAGTTTCTCGTTAAACCCATACCCATGCTCGGCAAGCATACCGTTGCGGTGCCCCGTGGGGAACTGTGAGCTCTCTGCGAACAGGTTCCGAGACCCCTCCTGAAATGCGGGATGGGTGGAGGCGCTGTACACCACCTGCCTTTCATCAGCCAATCAAATGGCAAAGTTTCTCAACAGGCTCGCAAGTTATGCGTTTAGAGTCGTCACCTCCGCCGGGAATTTTCGTCGACTCGCTAGTTCACCCTAGGCTGCAAACATGATAGGAATGGCCTTGAAAACGAGAGCCGCACAGGAAAGCTCAAGATTTTGTGGGGGTTGCCAAGGTCGTATCTGCTGCTCGGCTGCTCTGCGCCCTCACTTGGTAACGAAGAGTGGACATGGATGTGGCGTGACGAAATGGCGATCTCTGTTTCGTTTTGCGATGTTCGTGCATTCTGGACATACCCTCATGTCCTCTTTCAGTTCGACGTCACCACAGAGGAGGGCTGCCACCGGATGAGGAGTAGCCTTCACCATGCATCGGGTGAAAGAGGGGAATCAGATCTTCTTTGATGTCTAGACCGTAGCCAAGGTTCTCGCTAGGAATAAAGTACGGAGATGTTCATAGATTACTCAAATAAGCATCGTCTGGAAGGAGGCATTCCTCACTCGGCTGCAGTTGACCAGCCATCATGTCCACGTCTTCGGGTTCGGTGAAGTCATCGAGCCGCCTCAAAGTACCGATGGACCCTTGGCTCGAGCTGATCATCCGATACAAGGGCCGTGACAACAGATGAAGAACGTGAGCTTGAGAATATCTGCTCGCCTATCGCATCTCACGCTCGTCCCCCCTCCTTGTGGGCAAGGTGTGGAACAACAGCCGGAGTCCTCCTAATGGCCGTGGTGGCTGCCAAAAGAGAACATTTGGGGGACTCGGGATCAGGAACCCGTCACATTATGGCGTAAAACGGCGTGCGGGCCATCTTCTTTTGTCGACGACCCCTGCAAGGAAGTTTCGAATTCTTTGAGATGCGAATCCGACGGTTACAGGCAATTTTGACATCGCTTGTTAGAAGTCTACTCTACAAATGCTTTTGCAGCGACTATCGCGCCGTAAATTCATCAAGTTGAGGAGGTGATCTGTAAGATTGGCGATGCCCTAATGTGGTATTTACGGGAGATTTGGTGAATTCTACTCATTTGAGTTCCGTCTTGTAAACTTTGGCGACCCTTTTTGCGGAGCGAATTTGCGTTATAGTCATAGTTTGACAAGAGATAGGAAAACGGCAGTATAAAACCAGTTAGAGGAGGGGGTGGCCATCTTGAAGTATAGAACCAACCAAAAGCAATTGTGTAAGGTGAGAAGCCATCTTGGGATTCCAGAGCTCGTAATGGGGCCTTGGCACCTTCAACGGCAAACATCAATGAGGAATCCGAGGAATGCGAAGGAGGGGTCCCAGCTCAATTGAGAACCTTCTAGCTCAGAAGAAGGCCACAAAGCCGGGCACGTGCTCAGACGAAGTAAGCCTTGCTAACGAAGCAGGACACCCTCTAGTAGGGAAACTAATGTAAGGGCACGCGGGAAGGCGCCGTTCTTTGTCCGCGCTCTGCAGGGGAATGCCAAAGTAATAGTCTTCGCTTCTGTCGATCAGTAGGCGCGACATGAGGCTCTGCTTTGTTCCGATGAGGGTGGGCTCTGTGCTTCAGCCCAACTTTTTTATCCCTCGCTCGGACTACAATCAGCTTCGGGTCATGCCATCCCGTCGATTTGTGAGTAGTGAGTTCTGTCAGATCGAAGAGCATTAACAAGAGATGCAGCGCTGACATCACCGCAGTTGAGGATGATCTCATCTGTTATCATTTCTCGGAAATAAGACGCAAACGAAGTCATTCTCAAATCCCGTAGTATGCCAAGCTACGGTGAGCTATCATCATGGCCAGGTCTGTTGGTTGTGATGTCGCCTTACCAAGTGCTGGCAAACTTTGATGAGTATATGACGTATTTTTTTTTTGTGCGGTCTTCATCTGTATCAATCTTGAATTGGGCCATAACTCTATCCGAATGCAAAAGTCTTTTCAGGCAAAGGTAGATTTCACGAAAACGATAGCTAATTTCAAGGACGTTGATCATCTGACAGTTTTGACTGTTAAACATTGTTAACCATGTGTGGTTGAGTCACTTGGCTTCTCTGGAGAGAGGATACTCATCATGTTGGTTTTTTGCAAACGCAACAAACTTAGGAGCAGAATTAAACCGGTTCTATAATACTCTGTATTTTCTATGAGCAGTGTGGGAACTTGATTCGATAGTTTATTTGTACACTCGGACGGTAGAGAGATCCATTTGTATTGAGAATGCTTGAATGAATCCCTAAGTTGCCACAGTAGTTGCTAATAGACAAGGATAGAAATTGTCCATCTGCAGCTGACAAACTCATTCTGCTTTGAAGCAAACCCCCCAGATATTGGCGGCCTCTGAACGGCCGCCCAAGAAATGACTCGGTTAAAAACCAGATCCCCCCCCCGCCTTCGAACATCGCCAACAGATCCGAGCCTCCGGGCTTGTCAAAATCCCAATATCCCGCACCTGCCTAATCACGTAAGTAGCCAAGCCTGTATTACCTTCCAGAACGAGACAGCTAGAAAAGTCTAGTGCTCGGCGAGCTATAACATGGCTTTGCGTTGCTAGGCGGGCTGGGGTGCCAAGGCTGCCAAGGTCAGCTTGGGCCCTAACGTATGGAACCAAGCACTGCTTATCACGTACTTTCGTAGTGGCCAAGCCTTTTTGGTAGTATCGTTCATCTTGGTGCATCCCTCCGCTCGGGCTCTCTTAGCAACATGTTAGCACGAACGACTGTATTTCGCCAGCCTCCCTTAAAATCGCGAGTGCCATGGCATTCCCCGCCGTAATGTCTGCTATGCGGGGGGAAATGTAAGCCATCGTATTAAGTTGCGTCTTGGAGGATTGCGGCATGACGAATGATTGACATGTCAACGAATAGTTATAAATCTCGGTGCGTCCTTCCTCTAAAGAATGACTCTCCGTCTTACCCACAGTCGCATTCTTTGCTCCTCAGTGACAAGTTCGTAACAAGCCGTGGTCTTCTTTGTTGAGCCTACGACACAGCGACATTGTCATCATGGTCCGCTTCAACTCTGCAGCCCTTCTGGGCTCTGCCATGGTTGGCCTGAGCAGCGCAGCTGGCGCTGGCACCAAGGCTGAGTACGCCTCCGGCGAGGTTCATCACCGCATCATGGGCATTAAGATGGTACGTGTTCATCCAATATCTTTCTAGTCAAGGCAGTTGTGTTGACAGTCTTTGGAGGCTCAATGGGAGGCCGAGGCAGAGGCCGGTCTGATGGACAGCGCCCGCTACCCCGAGCTCGATTACACCCCTTGCGTGGACGGCTTTGCTGCTGCCATTCCCGGGGATGCTAACCACACTTTCCGGTGCAGAAATGTAAGTCATGTTCAACGACCATACTAAATTTTCGACTAATGCCTCGAAGGTCGACCTATACCACTTCCTGTCTCACGAAGCCCTTGGCAGCTGGGGAGGACGAGGCTCTTCGTCCTGGGGTTGGACCTCAGCCGATGGCAGAGAGTTCGTTGCCATTGGCCAGTATGATGGCACCGCGTTTGCCGAGATCAGCAAGGAAGGCAAGCTTGTGTACCTTGGTCGCCTGCCTCAGTACGACGCCATTGGCTCGAACTGGAGAGAGATTCGTATCGTTGGAGACATCGCGGTCATTGGATCCGAGGCCATCAAGCACGGTGTCCAGTTCTTCGACATGAAGAAGATCCTTGACCTCGACCCTGCGAACCCTAAGAACTTCACCCAAGCCGAGCTCACCGGCCACTGGGATGAACTTCCCGTCGGCCGAACGCACAACATTGTTGTAAACCAGGAGCTCAACTATGCCATTGCTTGCGGTTCTGTTGGTGGAAACGAAACGATCCGTGTCAGAGACGAGTTGCCCTGCCGCGGTGGCTTGATCTTTCTCGATATCAGCGACCCTACCAACGTCACGAGCCCCGGTTGCGCCGCCGGTGACGGCTACGTCCACGACGCCGAGTGCCTTGTCTACCGTGGCCCTGACGCCCGTTACTACGGCAAAGATATCTGCTACGGCTACAATGAGGACACGTTGACAATCTACGACGTCACGGACAAGAACGGCAACGTCACTAACATCATCTCCATCAGCGACTTCCCGGGTGCCCAGTACGTTCACCAGGGTGTTGTGAACAACGAGACTTGGCAAGAGTACCTCTTCCTGGATGACGAATTCGACGAGCGTGACGCCAAGGTTGGCCCAATGACTCAGGGTCTCCCTACGACGCACATCTTTGACATCCGTGACCTGGAGAACCCCGTCTACACCGGCAACTACGCCGGCAAGACCCGCTCCATTGACCACAACCAGTACATCGTTGGCGGCTACCTGTACCAGTCCAACTACGGCAACGGCCTGAACGTGCTCGATGTCTCGAGTGTCACAAAAGATCCTACCGGTGCTGGCATTTGCGAGGCTGGCTTCTTTGACATCTACCCCGAGGATGACGAGGAGGTGGGCGGCGGAAAGGTCCAGTTTGCTGGATCCTGGTCGTCCTACGCCAACTTCAAGTCTGGCTTCATCTTCGTCCACACCATCGAGCGTGGCAGCTTCGTCGTCAAGATGACCTCCAAGGAGTGCCCCAAGGCCCCCGTCTGCAACGCCGATAACTGCCTCCGCGCCCTGCGCGCCAACAGCGTCCCCGGTCGTCTGGAGGAATCCACCGAGTTCTGCGGCAACTTTACCACCCGCCAGAGAACCGAGGAGAGCCTGCTGCCCGAGTATGCCTCTAAAGCCTGCGTTGAGAACAATGACAAGAAGCCCGTCGAGAGGGTTAGCAGTGCTTGTGCGTGTATCCCCACGCCTGTTGTGCCCGAGCTGCCCAGGACGACGACTCGTCCTCCTGTACCAACCGTGCTGCCTCCCAAAGCATAGTTATAAATAGACAAATAAACAAAAACCCAAGATAGTAGTCCAGCTGTATGCTCATAGCAAATGCAAAAACTCTTACCAAATGCCGTGCCCACTCTTTACCAAGGGATATGACACTACCGGACGCTTACATGCGTACAGGGCTACAGAAGAATATTTCGAGTGTTACTAACTTCTGGAAAATAAAGCATGCTGACTCTTTAGGTGCTATTATGGACTACGCGTTGAACTAGTCACATTGTTGGATATTACAGATGCTCATTCATCTCGTACGGTGTTACTTGATCCCTGAATCCTTTGAAATCTCACGTCGCTCGAAGTTCCAGTAGTCCTTGTCACTTTTTTGACCTTCTCAACCCAGGCCGCGTAAATGTCGTCAGAGCACAGCTCCATCCATCCTTGGTAGTTGTCGCCGTCTTCAACGCCCTGAAAGCGGTTTACGGTGCGCGAGTCCACCAGACAGACGTAAGAGTCTATATATAGGTCCATCCAGGCCTTCTCACGTCAACGTCATCCACAAACAAAAAGCCAAATGGCTATACTTAGACGCTGTTCTGTCAGGGAGACGGGTTCCAAATGCGGCGTTTTCTCAGGTAACACGGCAAGGGAGCCGGGAGAATCCTCGTCAATGGGTAAAAGTCACAAAATCTTAGGTTTATTCGTGTATCAATGTCGGCGGTGCCAACAGCACTGTGGCACCATGCCTAGAAGATCTGAACAAGTGACTCGATATCACCCTGGCTGGCCGTGGAGAGATCAGACAGCTCAACTTCCTCTAGCTCTGTGGTCTCTACAACTTCATGAACAAAACGACGGGCAAGTTCGTCATTTATCGAACCGTCAAGCTTCTGATTAATCAGACGGTTTATATGTACGAGGTACTCGTTCACCCAACGCCTCGATTTGTCCATTGTCATGGTCTATGACGTGTATGATTCATCCAAATACGTGTCACGAAGCACTATACAAGTTAGATTCCGAGAACGCAAAGTCGTGATTTTGGCTGCTATGCAGAATTTTGAGGCTTTATACCAGTGTAAACCCACGAGCCTGAAGCGTGAGTGATGCTGGCTCGTACGAGCAAACGCAATTCACGGGATTATTCACGCAGTGCCTTGCCTGTCCATCCTGTCACGATGGTTTCGATGAGAGGCGTACTTGTAGAAATCGGGTTCCGGTCTCGGAAAGGGGTTATTGACTGACATTGTGAACAATCACAGACTTCTCCTAATTGTTGCAGAGGGAAACTACCATAAGCCCGATGTCGAGAAGCGAAAGGAGAGTATGTCCTAGAATCCGGTCTACATGTGAAGGCTATCATTATCACGACGTCAGTCGTATGCAAGCACAGATCTCGATGCAGCCCTGAACCAACACCATAAGCCGTTGGCCCGCAGTAGGCAGGCTTGAAACACACCCCCTCGTCCGTGAAAGCGCTGACAGCAACACAAAGGGCTCCTGGGCAGTGCTAGCGGCAACGTGGGAGGAAACCCTCAGTTTCCGAAGAAAACAGATGATGCAAATACAGAGACAAGACCAGGTACTATGCTTAGCGGCCGAAAGAGTAATTTCGAACCATGCAGGCTTGGAGTGCATTGCGTCAGCCGTCGAGGCGAGGCGGGCATGTGCCTCACAAGTGGACAACTGCCCAGCCTGCAGCTGGGGGACGAACCCCGAGCTTGTTTGTCTTGAAGAAGAGCCGGACACGTGCGATGAATAAGGAAAAGAAAGGACAGCTTAGGCAAGTGAAACTCCTTTGAAGCGAGCAAATAGGTAGCATGATGGCGCAACCAGAGCCACACCGCGCAGGCCAACCACAGTTCCGGCCATCGCGGACGAAACCCTCGAGTCGAGTCCAGTGGACTCCAGCGAGCAAAGAAGTGAGCTGAGAACGATCAAACGCGGCGCCATCCGAAGCCGGAAGGGTCAGGAACGTGTTCAGCTCCTCTCTGATGCGCTCCAGTTAAAAAAACACGGGGCCATGGGGTGGGGAAGGGGGGGGGGGGGGGGGGGGGGGGTGTTGGAATCCATCCCCATGGGAGCCGCACAGACCAGATTCCACGGATATCGGCAATACCAAAACTCCGGTCCCCCGCGATTGCACGATTTTTACGGAACCTCTCATGACTCGGTCCACTCGCAGTGCTCCGCTCTCTTTTCTCCAGGCCCGGAGTTACGCCGGACCGGGACCACACGCCCCCCTCTCCAAAGGACTCCTGCCCCCAAGCAGGTGGCCAAGACTCATGTGCTCAAGTCCCCAGAAAAGCGGCAGAGTCACAGGTCAGCCCATTCCTTGGTTAGACCACTTACCGTCTGCAGCTCTATCGGCACTTTGCTGTCTCGGCTTGTCACCAGGATCTTTTTTTTCCTTTGCAACTGCAGAAGAACCACCTTCTCTTTACTTCCCCATCCGCCACTTACTTTTCTCTCCCCCATCCACATCTCTCTCTCACCTCCCCAAAAGAGAAGAAAATCAAGATGCTGTCCTCCGCCAGAATCGCAACCCGGCAGGCTGCCGTTCGCCGCATGGGCGCTCTCCCCATGTCGGCCGCGCGAGCCGGCTCTACCTGGGCCAACGTCCCTCAAGGTCCTCCTGTATGTCTCACACCTCCAGATGCCAATTGAGTGCGCCACGATTGCTAACGAATGCCGCAGGATGTAAGTGGTGACTGCAACGATTAAGCAGAAAGAAAACGCCGCGAAAAAAAGCTAGAAAACAAGACGGTGTTGCTAACTGGCCGCTTTTTTTTCCGCAATGAACAGGCCATTCTCGGTATGACGCACTCCAAGCTCTCGCGAGCTTGCCTCTGAGTTCAGCCGCGACTAACACAAGACAAACAGGCATCACGGAAGCCTTCAAGGCCGACAAGTTCGACGCAAAGATCAACCTCGGTACGATAACCCCGCCAAGCCACTTTGTGGTTAGCTGCCACAAGCTAGCTGCCAGCTCTCCAGCTCTCTAGCCAGTAAGCTAGACAGCTAGTCGACTTTTTTTTAACCCCCCGACGGAACAAACACCTCGCTGACTCTAACAAACAACAGGTGTCGGAGCCTACCGTGACGATCAGGGCAAGCCCTACGTCCTCCCCTCCGTCCGCACCGCCGAGGAGAAGGTCGTCGCCGCCAAGCTGAACAAGGAGTACGCCGGCATCACCGGTGTCCCCGAGTTCACCAAGTCGGCCGCCGTCCTCGCCTACGGCGCCGACTCGTCGGCCCTCGACCGCCTCGCCATCACCCAGTCCATCTCCGGCACCGGCGCCCTGCGCATCGGCGGTGCCTTCCTCGCCCGCTTCTACCCCGGCGCCAAGAACATCTACATCCCCACCCCCTCGTGGGCCAACCACGGCGCCGTCTTCACCGACTCGGGCCTGACGGTCAACAAGTACCGCTATTACGACCAGAAGACCATTGGCCTCGACTTCGAGGGCATGCTCGCCGACATCAAGGCCGCGCCCAAGGGCTCCATCTTCCTCTTCCACGCCTGCGCCCACAACCCCACGGGCGTCGACCCCACCCCCGAGCAGTGGCGCGAGATCTCCGACGCCGTCAAGGCGAGCGGCCACTTCTCCTTCTTCGACATGGCCTACCAGGGCTTCGCCTCGGGCAACACCGACACCGATGCCTTCGCCGTCCGCCACTTCGTCAAGGAGGGCCACAACATCTGCCTGGCCCAGTCCTTCGCCAAGAACATGGGTCTCTACGGCGAGCGCGTCGGCGCCTTCTCCATCGTCGCCCAGGACGCCGAGGAGCGCAAGCGCCTCGACTCCCAGATCAAGATTCTCGTGCGCCCCTTGTACTCCAACCCCCCCGTCCATGGCGCCCGCATCGCCTCGACCATCCTCAACGACGCCGCCCTGAACAAGCAGTGGCTCGGCGAGGTCAAGGGCATGGCCGACCGCATCATCACCATGCGCGCCCTGCTCAAGGAGAACCTCGAGAAGCTCGGCTCCGCCCACGACTGGTCCCACATCACCAGCCAGATCGGCATGTTCGCCTACACCGGCCTGACCCCCCAGCAGATGGACGCCCTCGCCAAGGAGCACTCCGTCTACGCCACCAAGGATGGCCGCATCTCCGTCGCCGGCATCACCAGCGGCAACGTCGGCCGTCTCGCCGAGGCCATCTACAAGGTCAAGGGTTAAAAACCTCGCTCTGTAGGACATTGCGATTCGCAACGCGGGTCTCGGGCAGAGCTTCCAAAGCCCGGGCTAGCCTGCATTTACATCCAGAGATATCATTGGTTCTGTCGAAAGGTAGTTGGTTTCAAAAAGGAGGTTTGTACGAACAGCGGGGAGAAAGGCCATCTGTTTTGCGACGCCAGGGTAAACTGGTCGGTGGATATAGACGTTGGGCTCTCTTGGTAGACCACACATTGCGTCCCAGCTGTGTACAATATAGCGGCACGTCCTTCAATGTTAACATGTCCAACACGCTTGCTCTCCGTAATTGACTCGTCCTCGGGTGCTAGCTTCCTCCTGCTCATGCCTTGTCCAACCGTGCCAGGTCCCTACTGGCATCCTCCAACTCCCTCTCAAGCTGCCGCTTCTTCTTCGCCATCTCCCTCATCATCCTCTCCTTGCCCTCGTCGCCCTCCATCCCGACCCCGTACCCTTCCAGCTCAGCGCGCAACGTCATGACCGTGCTCTCGAGCCGCATCCTCGCGTTCCTCAAGTGCGCGGCGTAGTTGCTCAGCGCAGCCACCATCTCGGGCGAGTACACCTCCCTCCTGACACCTTCGCGCGCAGCAACGGCATCCGCTTCGGCCCTTTGCGCCTCCAGCCCCGTCTCCGCCGCCCGAAACTCCAAGCTCCGCGCGACGAGGCCGTGCTTCGCCTCGAGCGCGCGAATCAGTAACGTGAGGGCCCCGGCGTGCTTGTCCAGCACCTCCGTCAGGCTTCCCGCGACGCGCAACCGTTCCCTCGCCAGCGCATGCTTGGCCTCGCGGACGTCGGTCTCGAGCTTGTGGTATGTAGTTTGCAAGGCCGGCACGTTGCGGTGCAGGAAGGAGGGGTTCGTGGTCGGGTTCGCGATTCGTGCGAGGGAGACGGCAGAGGTGTGCAGCGTCGTGGAGACGAGGTCGCCGAGCTGGGGGAGGAGGGATTGGAACTCGGTAAAGGGCGGGTTGGAGAGGAGGATCGATAGGGAGTCGGTGGGGAGGGCCTCGGTGGCTGTGAGGAGGGGCGGGAGGAGGAGGAGGAGGTCAAGGAGTGATTCGGGGAGGTGTTGCGATTGCGGTGCCGAGGCAGGTTGCGCGGCGGATTTGCTACGGGTGATTGTCCTCGCGGGGGCGGGTTTGGGTTCGGGAGGGGCGGTGTTGGAGATGGCGCTTATTAGCAGGTGGTCCTTCGCGGCGGCGAACCTGTTGTCTGCGAGTTCCTGGTGTTTGTGTTAACTGCGGAAACAAGATGGCAGTCGTGTGTTTCATCTCGCATGGCGAGCTCTGGGCGATGTACAATCTAGGGGTGCACTGACGTTCTTGATCGAGTTCTGCTCCTTTGTCGCAGGTCTCTTGGTTGAGCCGTCAGGGTTCAGGATTGCGGTTGTGAGAGCATGATGCAGCGTCGCGAACTCGGGGTTGTTCTGGAGAACGGACGCCTCAACTGGTGGTAACATAGCGGCCGTATCGCTGTACTTCGCTACCGCTGACTGCTTGTCAGAATGTCAGGCCGTGCTTCGTCTGTTGACTTCAGGAAATCGAAATGTCTGTTCGTCTGCCAGGCGCAATAATGCATCAAGCTACGGTCCGCCCGTCTCGGTGTGTCGGTGTGGAGGGGTCCCTCGCACGGCCGGCGCAGCTCCAGGACCACGGACCCCTGTCGCGAAAGCAACACGCCGTCACCTGATCCAACTCAATTCACCACCCTGAAGAGAGACCCACCTTTTGAAGTCTCGACCTATCAAAAGCACCAATCGCCAAGGAGCGGAACATTCACCCGCCGAATCTCGAAGCTCCGAACTCTGACCATTGCCAAAAAATCATCCCGAGCTACGCAGCTCACGACCTCGATTTCGACGACGCCGACGACGATACCCCTCACCGCACGCCCGCGCGCCGACCCTGTCCGTCCGACCCAATGCCGCACATCTGATCGGATTCCAATCCCCCAAGATCACCCGGTCGCGATAGACACAAGAGCAACGATGCGCTTCAACACCCTGAGGCCGGGGTCCTCCCTCCTCGCCTCCCTCCAAAACCTCACCCTCACCACCACAGCCGCCCCCAGCGCCGCCCGCGCCTTCTCAACATCCACGCCGCTGGCCACGAAAACAATCTCCCTCCAGAAGCTCCCCTCCTCGACCGTGCCGCCCTATCCCTACGGCCCGCGCCTCCTCTACAAGCAGTCCAACCACGGCCTCTACGGCACGAGCCGCATCCGCCACGGCCACAACGTCTCGGAGAAGCACCACCAAGTCACCCCCCGCACCTGGCGGCCCAACGTCCACCGCAAGCGCCTCTGGTCCGAGTCTCTCGGCGCCTGGGTCCGCACCCGCCTCACCACCCGCGTCCTCCGCACCGTCCGTAAGGAGGGCGGCATCGACGCCTACGTGACCAAGAATAAGGCTGCGCGCGTTAAGGAGCTCGGCCCGGGCGGCTGGAAGCTGCGCTGGCTCGTCATGCAGACGCCCGCGTTCCGCGAGAGGTACGCCGCCGAGCGCGAGACCTTGGGCGTCCAGGGCGACATGCCCGAGGACCAGACGGACCTGGTGCACTACATGGTCGACGCCGCCACGCCGGGCCCGCTGAGCGCCGTGAGCAGAGAGATCCTGGAGCGAAGGGCCAGCCAGATGATTGCTGAAGAGTTTGCGCTCGGCGAAGAGGCCGAGATGTTCGAGGGCGGCGCCCAGTACGAGGAGGTTCACTTGGACGGTGCTGAGGAGCCCGCCATCGAGGACAAGAGGTTACCGTAGTGTGTGGGATCACGTTGTGTCTTTGCAGGAAAAAGAAGTCATTGTATCATATGTACAAAAAATTCCCATGTCATAGAAATACGCGCTTGGGGGAAGCTTTCGCTCTAAAGAAAGCAGGCCCCTATTTTCGTTTTGGTCTACAAACAAATCGCTTTCCAGAACCAACCCTTGGTTCTAAATGGAGAACTCCTCGTTACGCCCTGCAATGTGTAGATGCCCGTTTCATAATGTCCCGTACAGTCCCAGTTCGTCTCTTTCTACTCAAAAGCGCAAATCCCAACCAATCTTGGGGCCCAGCTTGGGCAACTCGTCCGCGACGCTCTGCACGTCCTTGTCACCGCGGCCACTCAGGCAGATGACGACGTCCTCGTCCTTCTTCATCGTCTTGGCGAGCTCGATGGCGCCAAAGATGCCGTGCGCCGATTCCAGCGCGGGGATGATGCCCTCGAGCTGGCTCATGAGGCGGAAGCCGATAAAGGCCTCGGCGTCGGTGGCGGCAATGTACTTGGCGCGCTCGCTGTCCTTCCAAGAGCTGAGCTCGGGGCCCACACCGGGGTAGTCGAGACCGGCGGAGATGGAGTGGGTCTCGGCGACCTGGCCGTGCTTGTCCTGGAGGATGTAGGTCTTGACGCCGTGCAGGACGCCCTTGCTGCCTCCGGAGAGGGTGGCGCTGTGCCTGGCGGTGTCGATACCGTCACCACCGGCCTCAACTCCAAGGAGCTTGACCGAGGGGTCGTTGGCGAAGGGGTAGAACATGCCGACGGCGTTGCTGCCGCCACCAACGCAGGCGACGACGGCATCGGGCAGCTTGCCTCTCTTCTCGAGCATCTGCGCCTTGGTCTCGTTGCCGATGACGGACTGGAACGTACGAACAATGGTAGGGAAGGGGTGAGGGCCGATGGCGGAGCCAATGATGTAGTGCGTGGTGTCGAGCTCGACAACCCAGGCGCGCATAGCCTCGTTGACTGCGTCACGCAGGGTCTTGCTGCCGGCCTCGACCGCAACGACCTTTGCGCCGAGAAGCTTCATGCGGAAGACGTTGAGCGCCTGTCTGCGGACATCCTCGGCTCCCATGTAGACTGTGCACTCCATGCCGAACTTGGCGCAGACGGTCGCGGTCGCGACACCATGCTGGCCGGCGCCCGTCTCGGCAATGATCTTGGTCTTGCCGAGGCGCTTCGCGAGGAGAAGCTGGCCCAGGGCGTTGTTGATCTTGTGGGATCCGGTGTGGTTGAGATCCTCACGCTTCAGCCAGATGTTGGCGCCGCCGGCGTACTCCGTCAGGCGCTCTGCGAGGTGCAGGTGGCCGGGGCGGCCCATGTATTCGTAGTATGAGCGGTACTCCTCCCAGAAGGACGGGTCGTCCTTGATCTTGTTGAAGCCCTCCTCGAGCTCGGACAGGCAGTCCATCAAACTCTCGGGGACGTACTGGCCACCAAAGTCGCCGAAGCGGTCGGGGATCTTGCCGTGCATGGCGGCGAGCTCTGCAACCAGCTCGCTGTCCTGGTCGGCGGTAATGGTTTCGTCGACTGTGGGGTCCGTGGGCTCCTTGGCAGCAGCCATGACCTCAACCATGCCAACCTCGCGGGTGGTCTCGTTGTTAGCGGTGTCGCGGCCGCACAGATACGCGCAGTAATTTGCGACGTCGTTGTACAGCTCACCAGGGGCGGCCTTCTGGAGGGTTGTGATGATCTGGGAACCGACGACAACACCGTCGGCGAGCTGGGAAACGCTCAGGAAGTGGTCTCTTGTGCTCACGCCGAAGCCGACGGCGGCGGGCTTGTTGCCACTGTACTTCTTGACACGCTCGACAAGGGCGGGCAGGTTGGCGTTCAGGGAGCCGGAAGCACCCGTAACACCCTGGCGGGAGACGACGTAGATGAAGGAGTCGGCCAGCTTGCAGAGAATCTTCATGCGCGCATCAGAGGTCGCGGGAGCGATCAGGGGGACGTAGGAGAGTCTAGATTCGGGGTCAGTTATGCTCACACTTCCTTGTCACAAGGGCCGTAACTTACCCTCCCTTAGTGCAGAGCTTGCGGAAAGAAATTGCCTCCTCAGGAGGCAGGTCGACGACAATAAAACCGTTGACGCCTGATGTCTTGCAGTCGGTCAAGAGTCTCTCCTCGCCGTAGCTCAGGAGAGGGTTGTAGTATCCCATCAACATGACGGGCGCCTTCAGGCCCTGGTCTCTCGCATCTTTGACCATCTTGAGCGTTGACTCGATCGTAACACCATGTTGCAGCGCAACCTGTGTCTCCTGTCAGTCTTGTTGTCTGCCAATGCATACAGCTCCAGCCGCCACTCACAGTGTTTGATGTCTGAATAGTCGGGCCGTCGGCAATAGGATCGGTGAAAGGGGCGCCGAGTTCGATCACATCTGGCTTGCGGTCAGAGTCATATCCCCTATCAACAGTCTTCAGAGGTTAGGAAAACTCACCAGCGCCGCCCTTTTCCATGGCGAGCAGGACATTGGGGGTGTCCTGCGGCGTAGGGAAACCGGCAGTAACATATGTAACGAGTGCAGACTATCCCATTGTCAGTTCAATTGCTTCCTGTCTAGGCAACATGGCGAGTCTTGGCGGTGACGGTCGTCGGCCTTCGACGTTGGCGCGGGGCCCCGCGATCGCAACGAGGGGCAAAAAAGAGACGGGGGACGGCGGGAAAGACTCACCCTGCCCTGGGCCTTGCAGCGCTGGAATGTTTGCCGAATGCCTTCCATGATTGTGTGCGATGCTTGCTTTTGTCAATTGGGGTATATAGGAAGGAATTTGACTCGCGGGTATCACTGGGGTGTAAGAAGATCGAGAAAAAGGTTGAAGGTGGTGGTACTTTTAAGTAGTGGACAGGAAACGATGATCTCAGCGTTGGGGAGGGACGGGAATGACTACGTCGAGGCGGGACATGACCAGTGTCGGAGACGTGTAAAAGGCGGGACGGCCGATTCAGCGGGAGCTCCGACTCGAGGCCCACCCTGTGCCTGGAACACACTGTCACTACCAGCAGCCGGGAGACGTTAGTGGCCACTTCGCCAGTAAACACTGACCGCCGACAGCAGCATCTCTGTGGCCTGCGGTGCCATCTGATCGCCCTGCGGCGGTCCTCAAGGGACCAACACTCGGTGGACAGGCTAGGAAACCCCCACACCCGCCACCTCACCGATGCCGGATAGCGGCCTGTCCATCCAGAATTGAGCCTCCTGACTGGTCCAGCGCTCCAGTGTCACGCATCACTGCGAGACCCTAGCCAGAAAGTCGGAGCCCGCCATTCGTGCCTTGCCGTCCGAGGCGGGGCGGAGATGCCCAAAAGGGGTCATTCCAGCGCTCCATTTCGCCATCCGCCCGTTGCCGCTCCGGCAGGCAAAATGTCTCCGCGCGAAACAGAGTCGAACTGGCTCATCGGCCGTTGAGTCAATGACTCTGGTCAATGAGCTTCCTCGGTGACGTCCCGCCTCCCAAGGGTCATCCCTCGGTCTTTTCACCCCGAATGTCTCAATCGTTCCCCAGTTGTTCCGAGTCCCGCAAGGGCCCTGTCGACATGTGCTTCACATCATCACAGTGAACACTAAACAACGGGGATGGGACATTGTTTGGTTGCAGCTAGCAGTATATTCAATCTTGAACTACGTAGAGATATATACCGAATAGACATTCTGGTAGCCAGTGATGCTGCCACAAGCACAAGAAAATCATTCTCTTGATGAAATGAATCAGAACGCAGAAATGAGAACCGTTGTAGAATCGAAGACAAACGGTGCGGCGACTGAGCCGTTGGTATCTTTTGAAGCCTTCCCCTCCCCCTTCCTGTTCATCAATATCGAAATACCTGGTAATCATGGTCCAACGCCGCTGTATCTCGTGCTCTTCGTATTATCTTCAGACCTGTCGTAAATGAGGGGTATCTCTCGGCGTCGGTCCAGCCCAGGCCGGAGGTATATCGGTCTCCCCCTTTTTTTTTTTTTCTTCTCGTTGGAACTTCGTAGATGGCGTTTTTAGAATTTGGTGGATGACGCTGTGTCGAGGTGACCATAGGAGCTTTGTCTTTGATGGCCCTCCATGGGTTGCGCTTTGCGGCCTTGTACGCTCGTCTTCTTGATGGCCTTCTCGTCCCGGAATTCCGTGTAGTGGTCGTCATCCACCGCAGACGCGTCGCTGCCGAATTGAGGGAATCGGAAATCGTCGTCGCGGGATCTGGGAGGGCTTCTCGGGCTCATGGCCGGGCGGTCGTCACCGGTGTAGCGGAATCCGCCCTCACCGCGACCCTTGTCTGGCATTGCCATGCCGACCAGAGCACGGATGACACCCATGAGAACGACAATGACGTAAATGAGGAGGATTCCGGTAGAGATGAGAGCCTCTTGGACAATGCCACGGCGAAGCATATCTGTAACGTGGGTCACGGCGCCCGTGACTTCGTCTGTTGTCACGGATGACGGGGAGGCAAGGAAGGTTGTTAGGTCCGAATCGCCGGAGATGGACTCTTGAGCACCGAGGCTGAAGGTGTCGTTGGCAAACAGAGGGAACGTGACCTGTGAGTGGTCGTGAACCCAGGTAAGTCCCTTTTGGACAGCTTCGACCTTGAGGCCAATCGTGCAGCGGACGACGTCCTTGATAGGGTTGATGAGGATGGTGCCGTTGAACACGGTCTCCAATCCAGTTGTCATAGTGCTGGTAAATGTGTTCAGGGTGTTGTTGACGGCCGAAGTAGCGTTGGTGACGTATCCGAGCATGTCGTTGTTGATCTCGTTCTGCGTCGATAGCACGACACCGTTGGCGTCTTGAGCCCACGATCTGGAGACGTCTTCAAGCGAAGTGACGACTTCGTCGGCGAAATCGCCTACTTGGCTAGCGAGCGCAGGCACTTGTTTCTCAATCACCCTGAGCAGGAGATACTGGCAGAAACAGGAGAAAAAGCCTGCGATAGCAAGAGCCAGAACGAAAAGAGCTGGAAGCGATGTGGCGTATGCAATGGCCCATCGTACAAGGATCTGGCGCTTGCCCTTGAAGTGAGACGCAATCTTGATACCCCAGGTAGCAGTCATGGGGCGAGAAGCGATGTAGACGACGTCCATCGAGTCGTACTGGTTGCTGGCCATGATCTTGGCGTGTTTCCTCTCGCGTCTCCAACGTCTAATCTCCAGCCACGCCATAGGCGCGATGACCAGCACAGCTAGGATGGAGAGAACGACAATGAAAATGATGCGGGCCTTCTGAATCATGCCCCTCAGTTCGTCGAAGAAGTCGGCAATGTTGTTGTTGGTCGAACAAAACTTCATTGCCTGCTTCTGGGCGACGGGGAAGACGGACCGGTCGAACTTGTATCCCTTGTATGCATCTTCGACGGTCTGCTTGAGGAGGTTGAAGGGGAATGAGATGGCCTCGGCGGTCATGTTCTGGACCTCGTCAAAAGTAGGAAGGTCGTCGTTAAGCTTGTTTAGGTCGCCAACGAAGCCGCTGGTGTCGATCTTCAGGTCACGCAGATCGTTGACGGGTCCTGAGAAGTCGACCTTGGGGAAGTCGGGCAGGACGCTGCCGAGGACGGAGCCTTCGATGGCGTCGACAGCCTTGTTGATACCATCGGACAGGCTCTTGGACGCATCGTCGATGGTGTTGCTGATGTCGCCCAATGCCTTGTTCATGGCGTCCGTGAACTTCTTGGTAACATCCGAAGCGACGTCAAGTCCGCCATGGATAAAGGCAGTGATAAGACAGGTGTACATTGAGGTCAACATGTTGATGACGAAGATGATTAGGTTCTGGACACCAGTGATGACCAGACCAAGCATAGCGACCATGCCATCAAGTGTCTTCTCGATGCCTGTTGCCGATAGTTCGTTCACACCGACAGAGAGGTAGTGAGGCATGGATGCCATTGCGCTGCCAATGTCTTCGACCTTGGTACAAGCAGAGAGCGCCTTTTGGTTCGCTTCGTCGACATTGTCGTTTAAACTGGCGATGAGCAGGATGACTCTGAGGAGGACGAGTAGGAGCAGGATCGTCCACCGGTTCAGCCAGATCTGGGAGAGCCTGGCGCGAAGACTGAGGTACGGCGTAATGTAGGGGGCAGTGTCGGCTCGCGCTTGTTGCGTCTTTCTAAGCTCCGCCATCTCGAGCGAGTCCGACCTAAGGGAGTCGGGGACGGCCGGGTAGGCCTCATCTTTTTTATTCCGTGAGGAAAACATCTTGAGTCTGTAGAGAGCGTAAGAGGATGATGCAAATGTTTCTTGACCAGCAAAAGTAAAAGCAAAACAGGATTTCAAGATCCGCAAACGAAGAAGAGAGAGCGGTCGACGCCGAGAAGGAAATATTATGCGTTGACGATTGATGACAAGAATTAAGTGAATCACTCGACGCAAAGATGAAAAGAGGAAGGAGAGAGGAAAAAGGAGAGTGACAAAGGAAACCCGTCAAGCACTGATTCTGAACAAGCTTCTATGATTCCATGGTGGGGTATGACTTGGGAGAGCAGGAATACGCAGGACGATGATGACTTGGAAGGACGACAGAGACAAGAGATGAGAGACGTGACTGGGAAGCACACACAATAAAAAGGAAGCCGACTAACACGGCCCCAGGCCTCGCGGCGTCGCACAGAAGGTTCCCTAGCCGCGCAACAAGGGCAACTCGAGAGAAGAAAGAAGACGGCTTACCTGATTCACACCACAATGCCAAATAAAGTCGTCAAAAGACCCTTTGGCCGCGGCCTTAAAGGATATTAACTCGACTTGGCCCAAATCGCTGTTCCGTTTGGCGGCACCGGGTAAGGGTGGATTTGGGTGAAGCCGTTTTCTAAGCGCGCTCTACGGCTGCTCTCAGCCAACCAAATGCGTCGTCCAGGGTCACGATGAGCGGTTGCCCAAACGCTGCTAAGGCAAAGCGATATTTCCGGAAGACGAGATGGGGCTCTCGAGGCTTAATGTCGTGTAGCCGTATAGTCAGATCGGATGATGTTTAGCCCTGTAACAGTAGACTCGGTCTGTCTTCAGAGCAGGGCTAAGTGGGAGAGCTGATGGAATGAGCACGCTTGGCGAGAATGGTAAACCGTGTGTTGTCGGTTGTTGTTGCTCCTACAATGAGGTCTTATCGAACGATGAGACTCTTTGCTTGAAACTTGCGTAGCGAGATCTGGTCGTTGTAATATCACATGAGCAAAGACCCAACTCAAGATGAGCCAACAGCAGATGGCTTCATGAATGGGGCGAGCTCGAGTGATATACCAATCGATGTTTGAGTCACTGAGCAAGGGGACACCACGGAGCGACAGTTGGATGGTGCCCATCTTTCCAAAAACCGCCATTCTGGGGGTGTAGCAGAGGATGAAAGGCATTTTAACGTGAACCCGGTCTCGTTCATAGGCTCGGGTTGATGCGAGAGCTCATGGCAGGAATGCGCTGTGACGCCATTGGCAAGCCGAGAGCATTATTGCGGAGAGTTCTTCTCCCACCGGGCCACCTCGTGGACGGCGCTGCCCAGTCCGCATCCCCGTCACGAGTCACGCCAGCGAGAGCAAGCCAGGTTGGTGGTTGCTGGTGGCTGTGCCCGGCGGAGGAGGCATGGCCGGGTTTGGTGCCTTTGCGGGCGAAGAAACGGTGAGTTGGCCCTGGTTTAGGGTGGTCTGGACGAATTCTCGATCCTGGATTTGCTGGCGCACCCGGGGCGGTTTCCTTGCGGAGCTGCACGAAGGGTCATGGTGACTGGGGAGAGGTCGTGAAGACGCCTAACAGCCACAGGAAGCGAAGCAGGAACAGAGCAAAGATCGTCAGCCAGCGAACGAGAAGAGGCAGCGGATGGCTGGCGCTTGCATGGGACCCCTACATGCTTTGCCAAAGTTTTTGTCCAATCGATGCGCAGAGGAGGCCGTAGGCTCACGCCGCCAAGAGAGAACCCCTGTAAACAGATGGCGAAGAAGGCGGGAATTGGCAAAGACATGGTGGGATAATGGGACGGGGCCCTGGGCGGGAATTTTTGGTGTTGTCACTTGTGTTTGGCTCCTCTCTGTCCCCGATGCCCGTCCTTACTGGGCATTCCTTGCCTCCAAAGAAGCTCGTCGACCGACGAGCGATGATCCATGCCAAGCGTTTTGCCACTTAGCGCGACGGAATGCGAAAACCGGTTTGCGACAGGAACGGCTTCTTGGAGGCTGATCTTGGTCAGACAGCTCGAAAGCTTACTTATGCGATTCCCACAAATGTGGCATCCCAGGAAGTGTTCGTCCCAAGCCATTGGTTACGTCCAAGATGCACAGATAAGAGCCGGACGACAGGCAAGAAGGAGGGCGCCGTGGGCCTTTCCACGATTTCCCGACGCTACCCCGACTTGCCGATGGCAGGCGCAGTGGGGTGAGGGTGAGGTTGCGGATGCTCTCTGTCGGTCATTTCTCGCGCGATCGGCCAGGCCCAAGGCAAGGTACGATGTATACCACCGATTTTCATGCCCGTAGTGTACCAAACCTTTGCGCCAAGAGAGTTCACAGTTTGTTTAGAGAAGGTGCCGAACGGCAATGGCTCCACTAAACAAGAAACTTGTACCTGCCCCGTGCACCTTCTCTTTTTAGTGTATGGGATCGTCTCAAGTCTTGACGCTGGCAGAGAATGATTGGCCGCTATTGGCCCGCGCTCTGCGACAATGGGCGCTTCGCTGCCGAACTCAACGCTGCGAGCCATGAGGCCGGCGCTTGCCATGTCTGCTACCGAAACAGTCATATCGAGTTGGTTCTGGTGATGAAGGGTTCATGATCGTTTCCGCGTATAAATAGCAGCTCTTCTCGTCCAGAGCAGAAATGGGCTTGCCAACGTGAAGACCACAACGAGCGACCCAGCTTGATATCGACGTCAACGATCAAAGCCGCCGCCTTCGCCTACCTTGCCGCCATCAAACTCGGCCATAACCGCCCGTGTCTCGCCTCGCATTGACATTGCCTTTGCCTCACACTTTGCATGAGCATGCTCTACGCTGACGTAGTTCAAGAAAGAATCCCCTTCTTAAATGAGAAATTCAGCATCCATCATCCCGGTTCGGCCGTGGTGCCTGAAGTGTCAATTTAAACCCACTCATATAGGCTGTATCGTTGCCCATGTAAATGTGAATAGCCTGGTTGTGAGTCCGCTGAAGACTCTGAATGTCGAAATGGTACTCTGTAAAGTGTCAAAGTGGCCTGTGCTCTTATCGATGACGCTCTGGCCAAGGTACCTAGCACCCTGTCGGATATTCTTTTGAACCACCTCTTTCCCGGGCGCGGAACGACAAAATTCCGAGCCTGCCGATTTTTCACGTCAGCTCCACTTGCCAGCCTCCTGCCCCTGCCTCCTGCCGACCAGGCCTTTGCGCATCCCGCATCGCAGCTGAGCCAACTGTGACGACCCACGGGAAGGAGCAATCTTACAGCTGTTTTCGGCAGGCGGTCTCTTCAAACCTCAAACTTCTGCAAGATCCTCTCGCGATCAGCTTGCTCTAACACCCTACAAGCTGACAGCAACAATTTGCCAATCCTGTGCGGATTCCATATAATCAGAACGGCGGCCGTCTCCATTGCGGACTTTGACCTCAATTTCGTGACTTTGCTCGCATTGATACCAATTTCTGTCACCTGATCAAACCCACTCTCGGAATCAACCCGATTCACATCTGCGCCGCGCTGAAAATTCAACTCGCGCGCAAAGTCTTCCACCCGCCAAACAATACAATCGCCCACTCTTTCTTTGACAAGTCGCAATTCATTCTTCGATCGCGTACTATTGTCTTTGCACGCGACAGCCACAATGGCCGAACCACCTCGCGACATCTCCTCCATCCTTGCGGCCCTAGGTAGGTACCCAAAGACGCGACCTGAGCATCGTCTGCGACCTCGAACATCCTTGGCTGACTATGTTTGTCTCTTCAGGCGCTGCACAAAGAGGCACATCTTCGACGCCCACCCAGGCGCAGCCCGGCATGCCTCCTGGATACCCTCCTCCCCCTGGCGGTCAAGCGCCCCCTTCATACCCTCCGATGCCCCAGCAGACCGCTCCGTATGGCGGCGGCTACCCAGGCCTGCCCCAGCCTTCGGCCAGCGGCAGCTTGGATCTCAGTTCCATTCGTCCTGTCAACTCCGGCACGGTCAGCATCGCGGACGCCATCGCGCAAGCTAAGGCCTTTGCTGCGGAAAAGGGCGTGACCTCGTATGATCGACCCATCGTCTACTCCAACGAAGCTCCCCGCGGCCCAGACTCTCGGGGGTACAGCAGGACCTCGCGCTCGCGCTCGCCTTCCAACCGTCGCGACCAGTTCCGCGACAACTTCAACCCCTACAGAGACGAGCGTCGAGGAGATGACCGTCCTACCCCCCGAGACTACAGTCACGGCCGCGAGCGCTCCTACAGCCCCGGCCCCGCGGTCACACTTTCTCTCCTCGCAACTCCAGCGCCAGAGAGCGATCCCCCTCAGAGGTAGCGGCGGCGATGACAACGCCGAGACCATTCAGATCGAGTCGAGCCTCGTTGGTCTCATTATCGGCCGTCAGGGCGAGAACCTCCGTCGGATTGAGTCGGAGTCCACCTGTCGAGTACAGTTTCTGCCTTCCAGCGACAATGGTCCCTTCCGCCAATGCAAGATCACCGGTCCTAGAGCACGACGCGCCGAAGTCAAGGAGGCTATCAACCGCATCATTGATGACAGCGGTATGGGGGCCATCAACCGCGGCGCAGCCAACCCTAAGGGTCCGCCTCCCCGCGACCATCGCGCTGGCCCTCCCGGAGGCCCTGGAGCTGCTGCTGGTGCTGCCGGGGCAGGTGCGGCAGCTCTGCGAGACGGCGAGGACTGCATGCAGATCATGGTCCCCGATAGAACCGTGGGCCTGATCATCGGTCGTGGAGGCGAGACCATCCGCGATCTCCAAGAGCGATCCGGCTGCCACATCAACATTGTCGGAGAATCAAAGAGCGTGAACGGACTCCGTCCCGTCAACTTGATCGGCTCCCGCGAGTCGGCTGCCCAGGCCAAGGATCTGATCATGGAAATTGTCGACAGCGACAGTCGAAACGAAGGTCAGCCTGCTGCCCCGGCAAAGAAGCCTCCGAGGCAGGATGGCGGTCACCAAAGAGACTCCGGCGCTGGAGGCGGCGGCGACAAGATTCACGATGCCATCTATGTCCCCTCCGAGGCCGTTGGCATGATCATTGGAAAGGGAGGCGAGACCATTCGGGACATGCAGAACGGCACCGGGTGCAAAATCAACGTTGCGCAGTCTTCTGGTCCAGGTGAGGTTCAGCGAGAGATTGCTCTCATCGGCTCGCGTGATAGCATTACCCGCGCCAAGCAGGCGATCGAGGAGAAGGTCGACGCAGTGGTGAGTTGATTTCTAAATATGCATGATGCCGGCTTGGTTACTAACGTATGACAGCGGCAGAAGAACTCTGGAGGCGGTGGTGGTGGTGGTGGCGGTGGCCGCGGTCGCCAGAACCAGGACTATGACAGAAGCTACTCTCAGCAGGCATCTAACCCACCAGCACCAGGATCGACTAATCAGCCAGCTGCTCAGGCTCCCGTTGGAGCCGACGGTGCTGACCCGTACGCTCAGTGTAAGTACATGGAGAACGCAGGCAACATCTTGAACGCACACTAACATATCACAGACGGAGGATACCAGAACTATCTCGCCCTTTGGTACCAGTCCCTTGTGTATCAGCAACAACAAGGCGGCGCAGCCGGCCAACCCGGCCAGCCTGGTGCTCAGCCTCCATCAGGCTCCTCGTAGAGGCAGCCGCATGCGCTCTTTCCAGTGAGGGCCATGCTTGTGTGATGTGATTGATCACTTGCCACGGTCCTCGACATGATGCCTCTTTTCGCATTACGTATACTGAAGTGCCGCACATGCACATTGATTCTGGTGGCTCATGGCAGTGCGAACTTACGATTCATCCGACGACTGATACCTTCATACTGCTGGACTCGGAACAGCACAGCGCCAATTTGTTTTTTTTTCTTGGACAAAATCACGAACTAGGAGGGGACCGGACATCGAAGAGGGAGACGGGCTGCCTCTGGTTTCGCTTCGCTGATTTCCCGATGCACTGCACTCGACATTTGACGATGATGATGGCACTCTTCGCTTGCACATGATCCTTGACTGGCATGACTGGGATTCGGACTTTCCTGACATGGACACGGTGCGTGATGCCGCTCTGCGACATGGTTCTGCTGCCAAATCTCCATGATCCACGCCCTTGACGCCTATGTGACGGGCTGGGACATTGTTCTGCTGGTCCCTGGACGCTCATGGACTTTACGTCGTTGTCATGCTTCACCCTATGGAATCTTGATGGGTGGCCATGATGAAACTCCGAGACACCCGCCCGGTGGCTCTGATATAAGAGATTCGGCCTAAGAAAAGCCGCAACTTCGGCTCTCGGCGACTGCCTCAAAACCGTCCGCTATTGAATCATTTTGTGGGTTCCTTGGTCAATGCTGCTCCCTCGAGCCAAGCTTGCTTGCGTTTTCCTCATGGTTCTCCCGTGTAGTCCACTTCTCCTTCTTGGTGTTTGTGGATATGATACCAACCTGGTTTATCTTTTCACGCAAAGCTGATGCTACTGATTCCCCATTTCTTTTATATTGCTGGTGGACGACGCTACTAGGGGCGGACGACGGACAGGGAAAAGAAGAAAAAAAGAAGAGCGCATTCTGTATTAATAGTAATCTCTGAGGCAATCGATTCTCATGATTTCACGCGTTTCATCAGATGCAACTGGCCCAAGCTTTACCTAGAATAAGGCCTTGACAAAGAGGCACCGCCTCGGGTTCGCGTCTGTGTCTTTGATGTGAGGAACTGATGGCATTCAGACTCCAAACCAAGTCGGAAACAATGGTGTCCATTGATGTTTGCATGCAACAACACAGCAAGGGACCACAGGCCTGGTCCTGGGCCACTCACGTGAGAATCTCTCTTGATCTCATGTACCTTGCTTTTGCTCTTGACCCTGTTCCTTTTGTCTGCCAACCACTTCTTGGGGGGTTGCGTGTCCTACACCTCTCGAGATCCCAGCGCGGCCCTTGCACATGGCCCCGCGGACATTGCCTAATTGACATGTGGGTTGCGGATGCGCCTAGGCGGTCGGCGGGGAGGCACCGCGAACTCACTGTTTCAACGACGAGGAATGGCACACGCATCATCTCCAAACCACGGAGTTACAGACATAACTACGTGCTCTATAGCCCCATTTTCGATCATCGGTCGAGCCAGGTAGAGAACAAGGGTGGTGGCACTGCATGCGGAGGGGGGATAGAGAGACATTGGGGCTTGGAGCGGCATGCCATGGCGCCTCGGCCTGGACCGTGGCCGAGGGGACACTTTTTTTTTTTTATGATTTTTTTGAGATTCGAAGGTCTGACATGCCAGCACGCTTATTGGCAGGAAGTGATGTCGAAAGGATGTTGAGTAATCACGAGGCGCACCGTTTGATGGACGAGCATGATATCAAGGGTGAGTGGTTTGTGCGAGTGGTCGATGTGTCATCGAACAGACGTCCTCGCTTATCTACGTGTGCGACATCGGGCTTGAGATTTGGTTTCTTGCGACATGGCTATCGCGACAACTCAAACTAGGGGTTTGACTTCCAGCGTGCAGCTTCGGCGAATTATCATCTTGACGCAGAGCTGATGCCTTACAGAGCCTGTGCGCCGCAGCAGACGGATGCGTGTGATGATGGCAGGCTGGGCTGGGTTTGAAGTCTTTAATGCTCGGAGTTAACTCCAGCGGGTATGGTTTGACTGAGAGAGAGTGTGTGTGTGAGTATGTGTGTGCGCGCGCGTGCCATCGTGGCAGGGCTATGGTTTGTATCTGCAGGCCATTCGATGAGATAGACTGTGCGTGACGATGCCCACGCCTGTGCCGGGCGGAAAGCCCCCGAGCACCCTAAAGGATCTGCCACTCGATCGGGGGGAGAAACTAGATGGATCGGCGGAGATGGATGCTTTCGAGACATGTCTTGATGGGTACACAGGCATGGATAAGGCACGTCGTGGCCTTGCGTCCATGGCTCTTGGTATGTTTTGTCAGGTCATGTCACGTCATGTCATGACAGGACACGAATCCCTTGAGATGAGTCGCAGTGAGGTGAAGACTGTGATAGACGTGAGGAAACAATTCCGCTACGTAGAGGCATGGACGAGGCACGTCGTGGTGTTGGGATCATGGCACGGCCCTGAGCTGAGTCGCAGTAAGGTTAAGGTTATTGCAGACGTGAGGAACCGAATCCGCCGCGAAGTGTATCTTGCAGAAGGATTTCCCGTATCGGTCTGATGTAAGGCGCTTGCCGACGCACGCAAACTATACAAACACTTCACCGCGGGGGGAACCCCGTTGTCCGCGGCTAATGCTATTTCCCCGATCGCAACAGGACTCGACGTGTCAACCAAACGAGAAACAAGAAGAGGGCTGGCAGATGTTACTCTTGTTAAAAGAACTCTGCGCGAGGGCCTTTGGGGTCTGGGCGATTCGAGCGAGAGATATAGCTGGCTTCCGGAGCGAGCATCGGTGGATGCTTGGAAGGCCCGTGTATGGCGGTCGCTGATGTTTCTGCCTTATCTGGCTGCATGTGCCGATCCATTGTTGCATCGCAGGACAAACCAGGCCATGAGGGCGGAGCAATCTTGCATGGGGCTGTGTAGATCTAGCAAAACGAGGCCATCCCGGTCTGCCACTTGATCCATCCGAGTAGACTCGTCTGGGGAAGCAGGCCAGTGCATGTACCAAAGGGGTGACAGAAGAGACGCGGATAGAAAAGAAGAGATGTGCGGGTGTGGGAGGGCGAAAGTGAGAGACAGGAGATCTGCCGTTTGCGAGGGAGCTCCCATCCCGGAGCTATGCTGATGCTGCATGCAAGTGTCATGCCGCATTGCCCAGCCCATGATCCATGCTTCCTTCTTTTGCCCAACCCTTGACCACCCTAAGAAACTTTGGCATCCCCAAAGCTTGTCTTTTGCTCTTGATCCGTGCCTCCGTGGCCCTCGAGTTGTTTTGTAGAGGCGAAGACACCAGTTACGCCGGGTTCGTCCGCTGAGGCCGAAGAGGCTAGATTGTCTCAGCGCCGTTGAAAGGATACATCGGTCGAGATCGCCCTCTTCTCAGGGTTGGGGAATGTCACTGCAAGCCATAGCGTCTTTCAAATAGTACGCGGAGAGGGGGCTCTACAGCTCTAGCGCAAATGCCCTCGCCTCATTGCTTTGAAGGTCCCGTTCCGCCCCCTTCATCTTTGGGCTCTGCCCCATACAGGCATACAGAGTAGATGGGACGGGGAGCTTGCCGTGCCCATCGCCGCCGGCAGAGTGCCGTAGGCCGCGTGGATGTTTGAGCTGGACACAGCGCAGGCATCCGGAGGCGGAGGGGGGGCCTCCTGCTGCTACATCCTGCATCTGGACTGCTGCAAGACGGTTGCTAGCTGCATGTGCGTGCAATGGTCGCTTCTGGCTCATCTCTGATTGTTGCTTTTTTCTCTCTTTCTATCCCATTTTCTTACGCGTCTAGCCTTCGGCTCCTTTTGGTTCCTTTTCGATAGGGCGAGGACTTTGCGCTGCTGACCTGCCTTGATCTGCCCGTGCCGGCTGCTTCACCCTGCGCACTCCCTTTCCTTCTTCTCTTCTTGTTGCTCGCTCGCCCGTCAAGCGTGCTTTCTTGGATGTGCTAGAGCCCCCTGTGTCGATCACTTGTAAAGCTTTGTGGCTGCTCATCCTTCGCGGGTTTTTAGTCATCTTCTCCTCTGCCGTTATACATTCCTCCCTTGCCCCAGTCTCGACCGTTGTGGCATCTCTTCTTCTTCCTCGTATTGAGGCTTCAATCGTATTGAAAGCCAACAACCAGTGGAGGACCCTCCAACTCTGGTCCCCCCCAACCATCATTTTACCTACACACCATCGATACTCATTCAGTCTATCGTTGCCATTGCAGGTCAAAACAGAGTCAGCCGTCATTCTTATTATCTTCAACCTCTACGCCTTCGTTTTGAAACATCACCATGTGTCGCCTCGTGCTCTTCGCGGGAACTTGCACGCGCTGCAACGAGTCCCTCACCTGGGCCGACCTCTCGCAGCAGCTGTCATGTCTGGAGGCCAAGAACGCAGACAGCTTCGGTTCCTGTCGCCGCGGCGTCGAAATCGAGACGCATGCCTTCGACCAGGAGTGCGATGCCTGTGCCGGCGAGGATGAGGGTGTTGCGGGCATGGATTTTGGGGAGCAGGAGTACCAGCAATATCAGCCATACCAACAACACCAATCTGCATCGGCATCGGCATCGACCCCGTCAATAGCTCAAAGCTCAAGCAAGAGGGGCAGCGGCAGGGAAGACGGAGAAGGGAGGAAGAAGAAGAGAGCGAGGACGTGAGGTCCCTGCGACAGTGGCAACGATGAAACGACGACAAGGACACGATTCGAACTGGAGATTCCCCTCTACTCTTCGCGAGGCGTTTGGTGTTCAAAGGACTTGCTCAAATGGCATTGGGTGCGGGGCTTGGCAATCAGCGTGATATTCCATCATGGCACTGTCATCAACTGGAAAGCATACTGGTACTATGGGCACACGAAGACATACAATAACCAGGACAGATGGACGAAATGGTTTGGACACGCACAAAGTACGGGAGGACAGCGGATTCTCTGCAGCATTCCTGGAGGGAAGAGAAAGAGGAGAGATACCCTAGTCTACGTTTGTGGCGTGCCGATCGGGAGGGGCTTCTAGTGAGGGGATCCGGCCTTCTTGGCATGCGGGTGATGCACAATGCGCATCTCGATGTTGAGATGGGGGACGTTGGGAAGTCATGTGCTAACTTACTGGTAACACACAATTGTAATTAAAGCAAAAGTTGGGTCTGTTTTTTCGAGAAAACGGCCTTGTAACAATGGCTTAATGGAGCGAGGTTTCTCGTCGTCATATGCATGTGGCGCCGTTGGATTCTGTAAAGCGGCCCATTGTGATTGTTCCTTGGCAATTTACGATGAGCCTCCCGTTCGAACGCAACGACTTGCTGTTCTCTGCTGACTCTTCTCCTGAGTGACAACTCTAACATCCATCCAATCCGTCACTACGTCTTGTATGCCTTACTACCTCGATTCCCCTGATCTCACCCCCCTACCAGGTGGCCTCAAAGGTTCGGTCACATTCCGGCAGCGGAACACCGATGGCCTTGTCCCAATCTCCCATCATCTGAGCCCGTGCGCCTGAGCCATCTAAGGGCAAATGCATCATATCAAATGACGGACAATAGAAGCGATTGTATCTGCCAGTTGTGATTCACGATGAAACAAGCTCAGTGATCCGACGTTGCTGCTCAAGTCGTTGTTACTTGCCGCAGTAGTTGGAACCATAGACGCCAGCTAACCGTAGCGCAGTTGCAGCATCGTGTCAGTAATGTCCTCAATGTTTAGAGTTAGTACCTTTTCCCAATTGCACTGTTTCCAGCTGGGAGCTGAGCCTATTCCCGGCCCGGAAAGGGTGTATCAAAGGCGACTCTACCTTGCGGATGAGGTCCTGTATTCGATGCTGATGTTATAGAGCTGCCATCTCCAACGTCGAAAGTAATTTGTGTATACGTTTAAATCTCTCTACTTTTGTATTTACTCCTCAGTAGCAAACTTCTCACAATGATTTAATGGAAGTCATAGTGCATAACGTGCTTCTTCATCCAAACCTGGTGCCAACGCCTACTGTCATTTCAGGTACTCGAGGCACCTAATGAATCTGCATGAAGATTGCATATGAATCATTCATGATTTATCGACAGACTCAACTATCAACCCATCCTCCTGGAATGTGCAAAGGCGGGTTTTCTATCTGCGCCCAAAAGTCCCCAGCATACTCCCATGCGTCAAGGTCCCATATAAGTTTCCAATCTTGTGGTTCGGGCCCATATGTAAAAGACACGAGCCTCCAACCCGAAATTGCGCGCATTTCGGGCTCTTCGAAATTCCCACCAACCCATGGACCGAACCACCGCCGAAGCCGTAATGGGGTATTAGAGAGATACAGCTCCAGCTCCCGCTTGCCATATTCGATCACATCTAACCCTGAGGCCTGAACGTCTTCGACCCAACACAACAACACTTTCTGGATGAAGCGTAACCATGGTTTGCAGCCTCTACGCATTACGGAAATTATCTCTCCTGCACGGATCAATCCAGCAAAAACCGGTGTCGTTGGGACTGAGCCAAAATCTTTGGGCTCTGTGTGGCTAAGATCCTCTACAGATAGACCTTTGAAAATCCATCGAGCAAGCTCTCGCCACGGACGGAATTCTCGATCTCCTATCTTATTAATTACCTGTAATTTGGAGTTGGGGAACGCTACGCTGTGAGCCAAGTCATTGAAATACCCCTTGGCAAAACTGATAAGTGAGCTTTCTCGGGATATCCCAAGAACCACTCGAAAACCTGCAGGTTTCAGGTTAACACCTTTGCGTAGATCTTCGAGCAGGACTTCAGGTCTGACAAAATCCCAATCCAAGCAATTAAATCGCACTTCTGGAGAAAGTTGATAATATGAGTCCAGTCCTATTGGTCCCATCTTGATCATCGTTTCGAGGAAGCCAGGAACTCTCCATATTAAATCCGGTAGGTTAGTTGATAGTTCATCAACGTCTCCAGAGATGAAGTATTGCTCATTGTGATCCTCAAGCTCGCTAGTCTCAAGTAAATATTGGAGTAACTCGAGCGAGGGCTCTGGGTCTTGCCACCAGTCGTAGCCGATCAAACCCAAAGGGGTCCCATGAAAGTCATCTACTTCATTCAAGCTCAACCCCATGTTGACTAAGCTTTTAGTGACATCAGGCTTTCCAAACCAAACAGCGTACTGTGCACAGTGGTCAGCTAGTCCTTGATTCGGGGATCTAAGTTGGTAACGGGCCATACGTGTAGCAGTGTCCATCCATTGGGGTTGACATCTTGCAATGAAGCTTCTCCCTTATTGAAAACCTCCAGAGCTTGGTGCCACAATCCTTGGCTGACATAGCGAAATATAGGGGTATCGGAAGGCCGTCTTATCCACGGTTTGAGTGAAACTTTCCACCCAGTATACGCTCTGCACGCCTGTAAATCCCAGACTGTCTCTGATATCCACCATGGAAGCTGGACGCGTGCCTGGTGTACTTCTTTATGTTACTCAACGTCTTTCAGATTGGGGGTTTCAGAAGGAAGTTACCTTTAAACTCGGGATGATTTGGATCTGGAACCGATTGATAGAAAACACCACCGAAGAAGGAGGCTCGTCGCCACGCTACCGAAGTTACTGTCAGCTCTCTGGAGGTACCTGAAGACAAGCGTCGCCCGAAGTGTGTACTTTTCAGAGTACCTCCAGACTGAACAGGTTGGTATGTTGTTTCCATTTGGGTCGAGTTTTCTTGCATGTTTTGGCATGGTAATGACAGCAGCCGAGACTTGACCACGGAACTATACGTGCATGCTTCGTTAGAGAAGTCCCTACATAACGCTTGGTTAAGAACTCATACTCACATTGTGTAAGTTTGCTGCGAGAGAGAAAGAAGCTGTAAAGCAAACTGTATTTTCTCCTGATAACTCCGAATCAGGTCCTTCTTGAAGGTGACTTTCAGTTTCGTGATGTTCCTCCTTGACCTCTTTGCGGCGTTGATGCGTGACTGTAAATCTTCGGTCAGGGCATCAAGCTCCCCTACTGCCTGCTGACAGTACTCCATACTGAGGTTCGCCGCGCTGTTGTGGTACACTTTGTGTGTCTGCTGAGTAAACTCGGATTCCATCTCGGCGAGCACAGGTCTAAGCAGCTCTAGCTGCCGGAAGAGCTGGTTGATCTCGTTGGGGACGTCTTGGACCTCATTCCATAGCCTTTTCAACTTGATGATGCTGCTGCCGAACTTGCCCGCCATTTCGGCCACCGTCAGGGCGCTCACTACAACGCCAAATACCTCCGCCATCGCGGTGATCGTTTGTTCGTACCTCGGCGCTTATGCGCTTATAGGCGTGGTTCGTACTGGCTTTGGGGTGCGCACAAGTCGGATTAGATTTGGAGGGTTCACAACGTTGTCAATTTGGAAGAGTCAGGTTGTCAGATTGAGAAGAAACCAGGCTGTCAGATTGAAAATTCCGGGGAGTCCAGCCTTATTTGAGCAGGCGGAGAGACTGCATAGCCACGGCATGCCCTTCACAGCGTCAGGCTTTCCTGCAGGCTGTGCGAACTCGCGCATGCAAAAATGCCGCTTGGCAGGCCTTCGAAGTTGTCCCAAACGCTTAGCTTGAAAATGTCAGCTGAAGTTCTGGAGCAGCCAGTGAGAAGAACCGGCGGGGTCCTGTCGGGTCGCACTGCACTGTCTCTGGCTGGTGATGCTGGCCAATGATCAGCCGGCCCGACCTGGATTCTCTTCGACTACTTGCATCATACAAGTACCTAATCACTGTAACCCGTCGCGTGGGTTTACGGGGAGACAGAAGATGAGATGAACGAATCTCCCAGTTGCAAAAGGAGGATCACTAGAGGCCGTTTGGGCCACTTATCGTCAGTTTTAAATCACCATCTTTCTTTTGCGTAATAGATCACTCGCAAGAGACTCTCTAATGCATTTTGTATGATTTTGCGAAACGATACAATGATAGGAATTAAAAGTGACATAGTATCTAGATTGTATGCGTGCAGTATTGTCAGTCTATCCTACAATACAAAAGAAGGTATCGTCTATCTAACATATGAGACCAGCTCAGCGAGCTCTCACAAACAGCTCACTGAATGGTCGGAGGGGGCGTCGGCGCCTTCTTCGGCCTGGGCGGCTTCACTTCTGGCGGCGGTGCCGTGGCAGCTTTTGGAGCTTCGGGCTCCGGCGTAGACTTGACCGGTTCCAGAGCAGGCATCGGCGGTGCCGCCTTTGGCGCTTCAGGTTCCAGCGTGATCTTTGGCTGTTCAAGAGCGACCTTGGGTGCTTCAGGCTCTGGTGCCGCCTTTGGCGGCTCCGGGGTAGGATCCTGAGCAGGCTTTGCTGGTGGCTCGATCTTCTTCAAATCCTCGTCCCACAACTCCTTAACCACGCTCCAGTACCTCGACGGGTTCAGCTTCGCATGCGCGACATGCTGGCTTCCGTCAAATCTCTCGGCCCTGACCTGGAAGCCGACCTCCTTGGACTCCTTCGCGTGCCTTTCGACGTCGGACCAGTGAATCATCTCGTCCTCTTTGCTATACAGATATGCCCGCCGCCTCTCGCTTGCCAGCAGCGCCTTCTGTCGCAAGGCAGCCCACATCTTTCCAAAGAAGCCGACCCTCCCAAACGGGACGTGGAACAGCCAGAACCAGCCGATGAAGACATGCGCCAGCGGCGCAAGGATCCTCGGCATCGAGGCCGAGATGGCGCGGTAGCTTCGCATCCAATGGAACCCTCCAGGACAGGAGTCGTAAAGGGTGACATGCGGCGGCAGCGCCAACCGGTCCGCACGGTCCGCGTCGGCGTACATCTCCAGGAACTTTGCAAAGTTGGTGGCGCCGCCGTTGGAGAAGACGTGGAGCAGCAGCTGGGGCCGCGCCTCGGAGGCTAGGGTGGAGTCGGCCAGGGTCCGGATGATGGGCACAGCTGGCTTGATCTGGCGCTTGGAGATGCGGGTGGAGAGGGTGTGGACAAAGGGGCACTTGACGAGGAGGATGCTGGCGGACGGGTAGAGGGCCATGTAGCGCGACGTGTATTTTGCAATGTGGACGTCCTGGGCCGACATCCAGCTGAAGATGGCGATGAGCTTGGGTGAGTTCGGGTCCGGCACCGCCGAGGGCGGGTCGTAGAGGAACGTTGTCGGGGAGAGCTCTTGCATGGCGGGCAGGGGTCCGGCTGCGCCGACGGGTTGGTTTGATGCCATTGTGACTTTTTGCTTTAGTCTGCAGAGGAAACTCTCACGTTGTGACGAGGGAAACTTTCTGGCGACTGTCACTAGAGGGTTGCAGTGCCGATATCTTGGGAGGAGGGAGGGAGAGAAAGGGTGAGTGAGGTCGAGTATAAAGTAGTGGGAACCGATGAGATGGACGGGTCACCTAGGGGAGCTTAGGCCGTGCATCTTCAGCCTTATTTTCGGGTCTTGTCGTCATCAAGTCAAGGTTAGCTGGGTTACCCTTTCGGGAAGTGCCTCGGCTTTTATCCCTGATGCACGGTGCGCCGATGTCTCAACCGCATCCTGAAGGATTTCCGTTGGGTTCTTGATCATTTGTCGTTTTATCAGTAGAGCTGACTGTTCTCAGTGTTGACCCCGGAGAGACGTGGGAAGAACGAAGCCAGCGGGCCGGCGGTGGGATTACGGCTCCGATTCTTGGCGGCCAACCAGACGCGGATTTCTGGGGCGGGGTTCGAAGACGCTGGCGTCCTGTTTGTGCAGCTCTTGTGGATTGAAACAAAGTCATTGGTTTCTTATACTGACGAGAGGTCCAAGTTGACGATATCTCCCACTCTTTGCAAGATACATAGAACGAAGTGCACAGGTAACTGTGGCGACAGCCGTAACTCCCAGGGTACCTCACGTACCGGAGGAGGGACTCGTCAACCAAGGTAACCCCTCGTCACGGTCATTCGGTTGAGGAGAAGTGCCATTGGTGGCAGCGGCAGCGGGTTGCAAGACTGGCTACCTAAGCACAACATAGGGAACACATGCGGATAACGCGTCATCTCGTATCTCGCAGGAAACAGATAGATCTGGCAGGCATGATCGAGCGGGTTCTTGAGTGCACGCATGACAGGCTTGCGTAGCCAGACCTACTGAGAATAACTCAACGACGAGTGCCCATCTTTCGCCAAGGACAGTAAGCAGACTTGAGAAGTATGTTGTATGGTAGGTTGCTTGAACTTGACAGAACGGTAGTTGTTCCGCCTAGAGAAACTAAGGTTTGTTGCAAGGAAGACCCTGTCGACACTACTGGGTCTTTAGGTGTTTGCTAGACGAAAGGTCGGCTTCCTGGTGGCCGTGTCTTGTGCTACCCGTACCTGAGATGACATGGGACGACGGCTGCAGGCGTCCGTCGATGGGAGTTGGTGCAGATCGAAATCCAGACCAGGCTTTTGAACGGCTCGATAAGCCTATAGCGTTTCAAATACAGATCGTTTTGTGATTGGTTCAGTATGGCAGCTGTCAGCTTGGAAACGCCGTGCAATTGTCTGACGGATACAGCGACTCTATGATATTCCATCCCAGACGCTTCTTATTACGGCGTTGAGATTGATGATAATCACCTTCCAAGCAAGAGTGCTCGGCAAAGATTACAGAGTTCGACTTCAGGTCCTCGATCTCGGAAAAGAGCTGTCGACATCAACAGTACAAATACGATGCTGGTTTGGTGGTGGTTGTAAGTAAGGGAAATGTCACCTCATTATTGGTAGCCTGGGCCCAATCTAGTATGAATCATTTGGGGACGGAGAACGCGACAGGGAAAAGCCGTCCAAGACAAACCAAAAACCACTTGTTCCTCGTAACATGCGACCGCCGGATGAGCGGGTATCAAGGCGGGAGAAGGCTAAACGGACCGAAAGACTCGTTTACGCTGTCAAGGCGAAGAGCGATCCCTGACCACAGTCTCAATTCCTTATGACGAGGACGAGGGTGAACCAGCTCCTGCCTTCGAGGCTGTCTATGCAAAGACGGACACACTCTTGTTGTGTGGTCCGCAGACTAGTTAGCTAGGTAGTCTTGCCGATGACACTGAAGCGACGACCCGGACAAACGAGGCAGGCGGCAGCTTTCCTCTGACGGAAACTGCCCCCTTTTAGCTCCTGCCCAGGTACGATGAGGAAGCCAGCACACTCTTTCCTGGTGTCACGTCTTTTCTCGGAGGGTAGTAACGTACCAGGGTCCGGCCAGACGGCAACCCGCTGCTCCTTCCTTTCGGCATTATGCATCTCAAACGAACATCGCCTCTTCTTCGGCTCTTCATCATCTCACTCGTTCCGACCTCTCTCCAATTTTCTCTTCAACATCTCCCATTCATTCCCTTCGTTTCGTTTCTTAATCCAAGACAGAAGCCGTGTCTCGTCTCTCTCGTTCTCTCTCGTTCTCTCTCTTCTCCATCGACCATTCCCTTCCGACTACACTCGTTCTATTGCCCCTTCCACCTCGCAACATGAAGGTCACCAGCGTTGTTTCCTACCTGCTGGGAACCGGCCTACTTTCGGCCAGCGTCACCTTGGCCAAGGACAGACACCGCGTCGGCGTTGAGATCAAGAGCCCCCTTAAGGGTGTCAACTTCCAGCGCATCAAGGCTTTCCGTGAGGTTGCCCCTGACGAGGTCTCTGACCACCTTCAGGCTCTTAAGCCCTTCCGCAGCAAGATAGCTGGACACAACGCTGCCACCGCCCTGGGAGCGGCTCAGCCCCGTGGTCTCTCATCCGCTTACCAGAACATCACGGCTCTTTCCCCGTATGGAACCCAGTACGCCGTCGAGGTCATCTGGGACGGCAAGCCCGTCAACATGATCTTCGATACCGGCAGTAGCGACACCTGGGCCACCAGTTCCAATTTTACTTGCACCAACATGGTCGGCACTGCCGTCTACTCTCAAGAGGCTTGTGGCTTTGGCCCAAACAAGATTGACGGCTTCAAGTACGGTCCTATCGAGGACATCCACTTCTCCTTGGGCTACGGCTCTGGCGAGCAAGTGTCTGGCCCCATGGGTTTCAGCGACATCGAAGTGGCTGGGATTACCGTCCAACAGCAACAAGTCGGTCTCGCTAATAAGACGTACTGGCTGGGCAATAACTTTACCAACGGCATCCTTGGACTGGCCTATCCCTCCATCACCAGCGCTTTCACTGGCGACATGGACGAGAATCGTCCTGCCTTTCAAGTCCCGTACTCTCCCTTCTTCACGAGCATGGTCCAGCAAGGATTGGCTGCGGATTCCTTCAGCGTCTCTCTTGTCCGCAACTCCAGCGGAATCATTGGATGGGGTGGCCGCACCGGTCTGCCGATAGACGGTCCCACAGCGTACACCGACCTCATCATTGTAAGTTTTCCATGCATTTTTGCTTGCCTGGCACCAGCTGAAGAGTGAAAAGACAACCATCAACCCGGATCGACCTGAAGGCAGCTGGCAGTACTCGTACTACACCGTCCTCGTCGATGGCATCCGCTGGGGATCAACCTCGGACACAAGAAAGTACCCCTACATCGTCGACACCGGCACTACGCTCATGTACGTGCCTCCACCTATTGCCGAGGCCATTGCCCGGTCTTTCTCCCCGAGCGCCGTCTACCTCTTCCAATACGGCGGGTATTTTGCTCCCTGCGATGCCATTGCTCCCAAGATTGCAGTTGTTATCGAGGGCGCGAGCTTCTTCATTAACCCGGTGGACCTCATTTACCCCGGTCTTAGAGACCCTCTCACGGACTATTGTCAGATCGGTATCACCACCGGCGGCACAGGGCCATATGTTCTCGGCACTGTCTTCTTACACAATGTCGAAGCCTACTTCGATATCGGCGCTGGCCAGATGCGTTTCTATGGCCGAGAAACATTTGGCGCAACTCCCCAGCTGCCTGAGAAGTAGATGCTCGGCGATCTATTCATTGCCTACACGGGACTCATTCCCAATATGCAAGATACTGATGTTAAGATGATGCAGTTGATATGTTTGTGGCCAGGCGGTATGGGGGTGGATTTGCTGAGAATTGCTCGTGGGTCATGGTGGCCGGAAAACAACTTGTTTTACCAGACAGAGAGGGGTTTTTACCTGTGAGATAGGGTTCAGTCTAATGAATGTCACTTGCCTCATACTCTTGTTGACAACTAAACCTGTCTACTCAGCCTGAGTAATGGGGTTTCACCACGCTTCTATGCACCGCTTGAGTCCAGGCCTCCTCAAGCCAGATGAAGTGGTATTAGAGACAGTGGGAGTTTTAGCGTGAGTGTCATTGCCACAGTGGACAGCGCTGAAACCACTGCTTCGGTCGGGACTTATCGGAGTGGCGATGGGGCCTTATCGCACTTTGGCTGCCAGTTAGGTCCTTATCGATAGCGGCTGGCTGTGAACTCACTGACGGCTCAATCGTTTCTGCCACTTCATTCAATAGTTCGCGATCCAAGCCCTTCACACCCTTCTCTCTTACCAACTCACCTCAAAGCAGCGACCTGACCGACAAGGAAACAACCTTACCTCTTCATCCCTACACTCGTGCTTTCTTCTCCGGTCTTTCAGCATTGTCTCCTCGTTCTCACGACCGCCTCAAGCTGCCCCCGGTGTGCTGCGGTTATTCGGCAGTCACTGTACCGATCCCCCCCTCCGATATCCCCCGTGCTCGCAACGCCTCAGGAAAAAGGAATAAGCGGGATTTCCTTAACCTGGATCGAGTCTACAAAGTCATTCCCAGCGACACGAACTTTAGTTCCCGATTCAAACGCATCCGTTATGGGCATCGGAGTAATCCCGGCAGGTGCCGAGGACGCGAAGCGCCAGCCTCGGCGACAGCATACCTGGAGCTTCAGTAAGGTACGGACAATTGAGTCTTCTTTTTTTCCATCTGACCGAGAGAGAGTCTCGAGGTTCTTGATCATCGTGATTTATGCGTCTGCCAGCCAGCCTGCGTCGCAGCGCAGTACTTTGCAGCAGCCACTTGGCTCGCTAGCATCGTGGGCTATCGTCAAGTGACATTTTTCCCTCCGTTTCGCCCCAGTCAGTTCGGTGTTTTGGTGGTCTCAGGCGGTGTGAATAATCACGCAGGGGTGTTGGTCAGTACCACACCCTGGGCCTTGATACGATCTGGCAATCGTGCCGATTTGCTGGTTCCGAGTCCCAGACGGCTGGACTTGCTGGTTCGGAACTGGGTCTGGAGGGTTGGCGAGCCAAAAGGCCCTGGCTGTCGTGAGGGTTTCCTAGCAAGTGCAGCGGTGAATTCCATGTTCGAGGTCAGGAGACTTTTTCGGGTGACCTTTTCCCCTGACAGCCTCCGTGGGGGTCAGCTGCTAGCGACCGTTTATGGCCTTGTCAATGGAGCCTCGAGAGTCTGTCTGGGAGACAATGTGAGTTGCGGTTTTGAGATGGTTCCGGTTTTTTGCAAAAGACAAGAAAAAGGTGCAGTGTGGACCTGAAGGCATTGTCTCGTGGGCGGTGGTCAAATTGCCCGATTTCGTACGTTGGAGGATACCAACAGCCGGAAATGGCCTGAGTGAAGATGGACATTGGCTGGGAGCGAAAACGAATGGCACAGTTGTCAGAATAGAGGAAAGGGCTGCAGGCTCCCGACTTATGTGATTGAGAAAGAGTGTTGGCGTCTTGACTGGAATTTTGTTACATTCCTCGCGCGGTTCATCAGTTTTCGGTTGCGTCGTCATCAGGAAAGGTAGTTCACCAATTCCGATGTTTGCTGTGACGGGTCCGGCTAAGGCTGGCAAGTCAAATTGGAGTATTCGGCGTGGCCTGATGTCCACCTCGGTTGTTCTCGGTGAGAACCAGCCAGCTTGGAGGTGGGCACCAGAGCAAAGCTGACTGGCAAGCTCTGCAAAGAAGGATGCGAGATGTCCCGTTGATGCGGGGATGGACGTGGTGTTGGAGCTGAACCTCTAGCCCAGGCCAACCGAACCTCTCTGGCTGGGCCAGGCCCGACCAGGGGCCGGGGAAAGGCGGGCACAGGACACGAAAATGAGGGGCATCGAATGGGGGGGATTGGAGTTGGGATGGGGTCATGGAGGGGCGGGCAGACCTGACCACGGTCAAGAAGCCGAGAGAGGGCGGCCTCTGCCATTCCGCGCAATGCCATGCTAGGCCCTGCATGCATGCGGTCATCGTTCACGAGCCGTCTAGGTACTGGGAAAGCTGTGGTGGTTGTGTGCCGCGGACCGGCGGACGGGAAGTCAAGAGTGACAAGATGACTTTTCTGGCATCCATGATCCAACGCACTCGAACTGGACGGCGTGTCCCGGAATAGGCCAACCGCCATGCCAATTGCTTCGCCAGTGGTGATCCAATGCAAGTGTTCTTCCTGGGATTCCTGATCGCAACGAGGTCGTGTGCAACCAGGGCTTTGCAGGCTGCGACGATGTGAGCTGGTGCGCATAAGTCTTGTCAGTCTGCCTAGCAGTGGATTGGATATCTGGGCTAGGCAATCGAATGGGATGGACGAGATGAGCTAGTCGCTTGCTCTTGTTTCTCATTGTCGTTTCGCCGTTGCAGCTGCTCTTGGTCCTGAGTGTGTTCAGGACCGCCGAGTCCAGCTTAGCCATCATCACCTTTTACCTGCACTCGGCCCTTTGCTGGCGGCCAAGTTAACTCCAAGCTTTTCTGTTTTGTTCCTTGGGATATTCTCTCGGCGCCCTCTCTTCCCCCCTCCCCCTGTTACATACGTTTTACGTACCTTTCTCGCAATCCCTTTCACACTTTCGCATACTCGTGCACGCCGCTCACCCACTCATTGCTCTATTCCCTCCACCCTCACCTTGACCTTACCCAACGTCAGGTCACTTCTCTTCTCCTCACTACATCATCCCCCAAACCTGTGCTACCACCGAAGCACCTGCGTCTTCTTACACCTACACATTCACATACCAAACACATGCACATGCAAACAGAACTTCTTTACCAACCGTATTGAAACCTACCCGTACCCCATTTACTTCAGCCCCTGCTAGTAGCTCTTTCACAGGGTCTGCCTGAGCCCTGTCTTAACTAGTGGTTCCGCGGCAGAGAGTGCATCCACCCCGGCTCCAAGTCACCGCAGCCGCCCCGAAATTCACACCCGAGAGGACCCGCCTTTTTGGGCATAGAGCTACTGCCACAGCTGGGAGCATCACGCGAGCTGCCTTCCACTACGATCTCCCCTGCCTTGACACTCAATTGGGCCTTCCTTCCATGAGCACGCTTGTTCTACTCCTCTTCCCTTCTGTCTCGGCGTTACAACTTCTACTCAAGACACCAACAATAAGCCAATTGTCAAGATGCCAGCCAAGACTAACGGTGTGGGCGTTCAGGTGGAGGATACCAAGATATGCGTCGTCATGGTTGGCCTGCCCGCTCGGGGCAAGAGCTTCATCGCCCAGAAAGGTGAGTGATTCAGGCTTCATTTCCAACCTGACATGTGGACCCCGCGTCTTTCGCAGGGCCCTCGACGCGTCGAAACATCGACTGTCCAATGCTGACTCGTCTGTTTAGCGCAACGGTATCTGGGTTGGCTCTCCATCAAAGCCAAAACCTTCAACGTCGGCAGCTACCGTCGCAAAGAAGACGCCCACCCCTCGGCGGACTTCTTCGACTTTCACAACACCGAGGGTGAGCGCAGACGTCGCGCCGCGGCTGAGAAGGCCATTGAGGATATGCTCGCCTGGTTCCGCCAGGGCGGTGTCATTGGCATTCTGGATGCCACTAACTCTACCAAGGAGCGCCGCAAGTGGGTTCTTGACATCTGCACCAAGGAGGGCATTGAGGTCCTCTTTGTCGAGAGCAAGTGCGACGACGAGAGCCTCATCATGGCCAACATTCGTGACGTCAAGACCACTTCGCCCGACTACCAAGGCCAGGACCCTGAGGAGGCTGCGCTTGACTTCCGCAACCGCATCCGCAACTATGAAAAGGTGTACAAGACGCTCGATGAGGATGGCGACGAGAACGAGTACACCTACCTCAAGATCATGGACGTCGGCAAGCAGGTCATCATCAACCGCATTCAGGACTACCTCCAGAGTCGCGTTGTTTACTACCTCATGAATCTTCACATCCGGCCCCGCTCCATTTGGCTATCGAGAGTGAGCACTTGTTGTATCTTCATGGCTGAGCCTTTGCTAACCTGGTACAGCACGGAGAGTCCATGTACAACCTGGATGGCCGCATTGGCGGCGACACCACGCTCTCTGCTCGCGGCGAGCAGTACGCCCGAAAGCTTCCCGAGCTTGTCCGCAAGTCAGTTGGTGTAAGTGGTTCCATTGTCTGAATTCAGTTCGTTGTCCGCTGACCAAACCATAGGACGACCGTCCCCTAACTGTCTGGACTTCGACACTCAGGCGAACCATCGCTACTGCTCGCTTCCTCCCCTCCGATTACAACCAGCTGCAGTGGAAGGCGCTCGATGAGCTTGACTCTGGCGTCTGCGACGGCCTCACTTACCAGGAAATCAAGGACCAATTCCCGGAGGACTTTGCCGCTCGTGACGACGACAAGTACAACTACCGCTACCGCGGCGGCGAGTCGTACCGTGACGTAGTTATCCGTCTGGAGCCCATCATCATGGAGCTCGAGCGTAGTGAGGACATCCTCATTGTCACTCACCAAGCCGTGCTGCGCTGCATCTACGCTTACTTCATGAACAAGAGCCAAGCTGACAGCCCCTGGATGAACGTACCCCTGCATACGCTCATCAAGCTCACCCCGCGTGCCTACGGAACCGAGGAGGTGCGCTACGAGGCCAACATTCCGGCAGTCAGCACCTGGCGCGGCAAGGGTTCCACTGCCAAGCACGAGAACCCTACAACGGAGTGTATGTAAATGTTCTAGATGGGATGGGTGATTGATGAGGAATGTTCTGCTGAAGAATGAAACAGGAACCTGAGGAAACGCGGGACGTGGCGTATCGGTCACCAAATTGGAAACCACCAGTCAGAGGTTGACTGGGGTTCCGCGGAGGATTTCCTTTTCTCTTGACGACGACAATGTTTCCAGCTCCACTTTTCGGCATATTCATCCCGGTTTACGACGGCGGCGTTCAGGACGACAGACAAAATGTTGATAAGCACAGGGACTACGGCGGCAAAACGCGGAGGGTGGTGGCATATTAAGGCGGGCGTGTCCAACAACCATTCTCGATGTAACTGCAAACTTGCTTTTTTGGGTCGACGCCGCAGACATTCGCCTTAGAGTTATGTGGTCCCGTTGCGATATCGACCCGGCTTTGCATTACTTTGCTCTTGCTCAGAACCCTACGATAACTCTAGGACGAACGAAGGTTCGAACTCACACCAAATTGGGAACTAGGGGACAAAAATGCATCCACGGTTCAGACGGTAGTAAGGACAGACGCCGGAATAGAGGTTCGGGATGTGCCGAGTACCGTTCTGGCACGATGGAGGGACTTTCTTCTTTTCTACTTTTTTCTTTGACACTATCGAGTTTCTTTGCTCTCTGTGGAGTGTACCCTAGGTGCCAATGATTTTTCGACCGTTGCATGCCTGGAATCAGGTGGGTCGTGCCAATATAAAGCCTACGTTGACGTTTACTATGCTGCCTTCTTCTGACCCCTCTGGATATCCCTCCTCCTTCTGGCGTACCTCATTGGTTTTGTCCATCAGGAGGAGCCTCGGACCAGAGACCGCCACTTTACGCTTCAGTACGCTCGACAGCAGGAGAAAAGACGTCTCCTTTTTGACGGCCCTGAGGCCGAGAGACTCGGCCAACGCTCCCGTTCGCAGAGGATTTCTGCGGGCTGTTCTGGGAGCGTAATGGTCCCCAGGCTGTGGCAGGCCCCACGGATTGGAGCTGCCATTGCCCAGAGTGACTCAAGCCATAGGGTTTATAGAACCTTGGTGATAGGTTCGATGGACCAAGGCCATCGCTAGTAAGTCAACCACGCTTCCAGCGTGGCCAAAGCCGCAAGGTTTTGACGTCCTTGGTGAAAGGCTCGTTGAACTGAATCTATCACTAGTACGTTGGTCGCATCTTGGTGGCAAGTTCATGGTAGCCATCGTTGTCCAGCGTGACTCAAGCCGCAAGGTTTTCACGAGCTTGATGGTAGATTCAATAAAGCAAGACCACCGCCTGTACATCAGTCACGCTCGTGACTTAAGCCGCAAGGGTTCCAAGACCTTGGTAATAGCTTGAATGAAGCCATCACTGGAGGCTACAGCTGAAGTGAGAGAATCATTTCACGTCAGTTCCTTTCCTGGTTTCTAAGCGGATCAAGGTACCTTGAGCCAGCCCAATTAACCTCTTCAAATCAAAGCCAGCCCAAACTAGATTGTCCAAGAAAGTCAAGGTCTGGACATGCGTGTAGACCAACCTAGACATCTATAAGTGTGAAGGCCTCGCTGCCCTCAAGCATTCCCATGGAAGCATTCGGTACGTACTTCTGCCCCGCACAATAGTCCACTCGGCACGGATCATTCACATCCGCTATCGCTCAGCTCCAGATTTTTTTTCCCCGATAAGAAAATTTCCTGGCGAGGGTCGACCGCCGCTCTCATGGATTCGTGCAGGTTCCCTCGTCTGGCTGTACTGTACAGGTCTCACAACTCCAACCCATTGTAAAACCACAACAGCCACAATGGATTCCACCACAATCAAGAAGAGAAAGTCCCGCGACTCCAATGGCGTAAAGGTCTCGAGCAAGAAGCGAGCCGAGCCCCCCGCCGCCGCCCCCGCGCAAAAGTCGAAGAAGGTGAAGCGCAGCAAGGAGCCCGAGCCCGAGCCGGAATCCGACGAGGAGGAGGTTGAGGCGGGCAGCGAAGAGGAGGAGGAAGAGGACGTCGCAGACAACTTCAAGGAAACCGAGAACCAAGAAGATGACGAGGCCGACGGCTCAGACCTCGACGAGGACGTCAAGGCGCCCGCGAAGAAGGCAGACGAGGGCGACGGCACCGACATCCCCAACCGCGACAACCTCACCCTCCCGCCCGTCGCCGGCGCCGAGGCGCACGACTTTGCCCAGCTCAACCTCTCGGAGAAGACGATGAAGGCGATAAAGGAGATGGGCTTCACCAAGATGACCGAGATCCAGAGGAGGGGAATCCCGCCCCTGCTGAGCGGCAAGGACGTGCTCGGCGCGGCCAAGACGGGTTCCGGCAAGACACTCGCTTTCCTGATCCCCGCCGTCGAAATGCTCCACGCCCTGCGCTTCAAGCCCAGAAACGGCACTGGTGTTATTGTCGTCTCGCCCACGCGCGAGCTGGCGCTGCAGATTTTCGGCGTCGCCCGCGAGCTCATGGCGCACCATTCGCAGACGTACGGCATCGTCATTGGCGGTGCCAACCGCCGCGCCGAGGCCGACAAGCTGCAAAAGGGCGTGAACCTACTGATCGCTACGCCCGGCCGCCTGCTGGATCACCTGCAGAACACGCCGTTCGTGTTCAAGAACCTCAAGTCCCTCATCATCGACGAGGCGGACCGGATATTGGAGATTGGTTTCGAAGACGAGATGCGCCAGATTGTCAAGATCCTGCCCAAGAACGACCGCCAGACGATGCTCTTCTCCGCCACCCAGACGACAAAGGTCGAGGACCTCGCGCGCATCTCGCTGCGACCCGGACCCCTGTACGTCAACGTCGACGAGGAGAAGCAGCACAGCACGGTTGAGAACCTGGAGCAGGGATACGTCATCTGCGACGCCGACAAGCGGTTCCTGCTGCTCTTCTCCTTCCTGAAGCGGAACCTGAAGAAGAAGGTCATTGTCTTCTTCAGCAGTTGTAACTCGGTCAAGTACCACGCTGAGCTGCTCAACTACATCGACCTGCCGGTGCTGGACCTGCACGGCAAGCAGAAGCAACAGAAGCGGACGAATACGTTTTTCGAGTTTTGCAACGCCAAGCAGGGCACCCTCATCTGCACCGACGTTGCGGCCCGTGGTTTAGATGTAAGTATTTACCGCCTTGAAGGAGAACGCCTAAGAAAAGTGACTAACAACCGCAGATCCCCGCAGTAGACTGGATCGTCCAGGTCGACCCCCCCGATGACCCGCGCGACTACATCCACCGCGTCGGCCGAACCGCCCGCGGCGCCAACAGCAAGGGCCGGTCCCTCATGTTCCTGCAGCCGAGCGAGGTCGGGTTCCTGACGCACCTCAAGGAGGCGCGCGTGCCCGTCGTCGAGTTCGACTTCCCCGCCAACAAGATTGCCAACATCCAGTCGCTGCTCGAGAAGCTCATCAACCAGAACTACTACCTCAACAAGAGCGCCAAGGACGGCTACCGCAGCTACCTGCACGCGTACGCCAGCCACTCGCTGCGCACCGTGTTCGACATCAACAAGCTGGACCTGGCCAAGGTCGCCAAGAGCTTTGGCTTCTCGACACCGCCGAGGGTCGACATCACCGTCGGCGCGAGCATGAGCAGGGACAAGAAGACGCAGGGCAGGAGGGCGTACGGCAGCCAGCCTAGACAGCAGCAGGGCACCGGTGGGTTCTACAAGAAGCGGTAAATTATACCTAGGCCAGGATGGGGGGGCTGCAGAAGAGACGATGAAAGGGAGAAGACACAAATGGCTTGGCTTGGTCCTGTGAGAATAGATTTGGTCAGCACGGCGTCGCGTCATCAAAAATGATAGTCAAAAGGGTAATTGGGACTGATTTTTTTTCCTTCACACGAGATTTTGGTCTCATCTTTTTATGAGATGTGAGTGTGAACAAAGAATCCGTTGCCATCGCGGTGAAAAGCAGAGCGGTCCTTGTCGGGCAGACGCAAGGAACAAGTTTTTCAAGCCTATATATGCATAAAGGCTATAGGCTTTTACATCGTCTTCCAATCATGCGCCTCTGTCGTCGTGCTCATTGTGTCCGTGTTTCATGCCAGTCTCCTGCCACGATCTTCCGGTATCATGGGAGGGAGGCCAATGAACCATATTTCTGAACGTTATTCTATTTGGGAGACGGCACCGCGGTGTGTGGATTTCGAGTCAATACCGACTGCATCTGCACTCACCTTTCGCATCTGCTCGTCATGGTTCGGGCTCCTGCCTATTTCTGCTTCACCTTTGCATTGCCAGTTTGGCAGCAGCTCAACCGGCAATGGGGCTTCGGCAACACCTTGCCAAAGGTTTTTGGCTGTCAACATTTGCAGTTTGACTGCTTTGCCTTGCTTCTTTCCTTTTGCGTTCAAGACTGACAAAGAGACAATCTCTATTGTGAATAATGAGCCGCTCGTCACATACAGGTTCACTTTTCTCACTATCAGACGAGCAAACGATCAGCTCACTTGCCTTTTCCGACAACACTTCCAGCGAGGAGATTCAGACGCATCACCGCATCAGCCTACCACCTAGGCTTTCCTTATCCCCTACCTAATTCGTTTTCACTTCCGGAGTGAAAGCAAAGACAACCGCCACAATGTGCACCTACATCTACACCCTGCACAAGGACTGCATGCACAAGCAGTATCAAAACATCTTCAAATGCGCCTCAGCTCGGGGCAGTATGCCGAACCTGCCCTCCCACGGCCTCACCCTCGATAGAACCCTTCACCTGCCCGACGTCCCACCGTGGGAGGTCCCGGACCCAATGTGCAACGAGAGAGCCAAGATAGCGACGAGGCCTGTGAATGGTCGGTGCCGGGCGTGTATGGGGAGAGAGAGGGAGCTGAAGGCTTTGGAAAGGGGTGAGTTTTGCTCTGATGCGGCGGCGGTGGCGTCGACAGGCTTCGGCTGTCTAGAAGGTGGATGGATTTCAGGACTGAAACTCATGATGGTGGCAATCTAGGCGCTCAACAGGCTCCAGAGGGTACAAACACAGCGGCAGGTGTCAGGACGAGCATTCTTGGATTGGAGCAGCTTGTCGCCGCGTCGAAGCCGTTGGACATGGGCAAGTGAGAGGAAAACTCTCACGGATACTTGCTGGAATGTCGTCAAAAACACATGATACCCGCTGCAGGATACAGCAAACATTACAGACGACAGGAAACGGACCGGTGGAGGAGGGAGTTTACGGCGTTGGATATCCGGTCCGCAAGATGCAAGATGACGGATGCGAATGCGACACCGACACGGACGCGTGGGGCAGACGGTCAGCGACCAGACAAATGACATCGGCTAATCAACGAGAGCGCAGAGTTGTGCAGGCAAAGCGCAAAGACTGTGGGGGAAAGAGCACCGAGGGGGAGGGGAGGGGGATCGGCGGTCCATGCTTTTTGGGGGTTTGGTTGGTTGGATGAGGTTCGCACGACCTCGATTGGCGGCCTGCGGGATTCAACCCCAGCCACTGGGATTTTGCAACCTTCCAGAAGTTCCTGGCAAGACATATTTTTTTTGGTGGTGGTGGTGGTGCTCTTAGCTCCCAGCACCAGTCCGAGGAAGACGAGATTCTTCAGAGAGAGGGTCCAGCCTGCAGTTCTCGTAATTCAGACGCATGACACCTTGGAGCGCTAGTGAATTGGGCCATGTGCCACTTTGAACCGTCTGGCGTCTGGCGTCTGTCAGACGGGAGGGGTCCTGGTCTAGAGTCAAGGACTGCGTAATTACACCAGGCGCATGGAGAAATGGAAATGCATACCCGGGATTCAGACTTTCAGTGTTCGTCCCGTTTGAGTTGATGCCAGTGATACGTGAGGAAGAGGCCTCTTCCAATAGGCCGGGTGTGGGTTCCCCGAAGAGACGATGGACGATGCCAATGAACTCAATTAGCCTCGAAGCAGGACAATCTCTCATCAAAACACCTCTGCACTACACACACCTCTAGAGCTACACACCTCTGCGGACTGTCTAGGCAAGAAGTGGAAGTAGATCCATGATACCCTGCGTGCCTGCCATGCCTGTTTTGACACCCTGCCCGCCTTATCCACCTCGTGGCCCTGTCCAGCAACCTACACCTACCTTACCCTACCCCGACCTCAGGTGGCAGTGATGGATCCCAGGATCCATCCTTCCAACGCATTGGATTGCGCCAGCTCCAACACCAACAGGAACAGGTGCAGGCGACGACACCCTTTAGCCTCGCTGACCCCATCTTCCCGCCCCGTCTGGTGTGTCTGGCCCGTCCAATCCACCCCATACACTACATACATCATCATACCTTGACCAGTGCTCCCTCGCCCTCTCTCCATCTCCGTGCCCCATACCACGGACCTTTAGCCCGACCACAGCCACCACACACCAGTTCTTCCAAGCATCACCGACCGGCGCGCGCCTCTCAGAATACAATTGCTTTTCCATTCTTCTGTTCCTGCCTTAGCATTGCATCTCGCCATTCTTATTGCATTGTTTCACTCTCGCATGCGTAATCTATAATCGAGCCCCCGCGCTACCGCTCGAAATGGCTAAGAAGGCGCGCCAGAGGATCAGCTATGGTGAGTCTGTTCCGTGCCGCCCTCGTTGGTGGTCGTGTGCTGCTGCTGCTGCTGCGCTCCCCGTCGCATGTTGGCTGAGGCCGACGACGCAACCCCGCACGTCCACCCGGTCGAGCTACACGAACCTCAGCTTCCATCGAAAGACTCGGACCCTGCCTGCAGTGTTCCTTGAAAGCCCTCGGTATCCAGTTGCTAACCGTCCTGTGCCGCAGTCCTCGAGCTTCCCGCTGGGTCCCAAGGCGGCGGCCACAGGCTAGGCGTCAATGGCCTCGCCGTCGACAAGGATAACGCCATCCTGTAAGGTCCCCGAGACATACACGAGATCCCGAGCCCGCTGCCGCTCTCCCCCGCGCGCCCACCGTCGCTAACATGCCCTGCCTGCACACAGATATTCGGGAGCCCGCGATGGCTACATTTGCGCATGGGACCTCAACCTCAACCTCCAGGGCGGCGGCAGCGCGCCCCCCGCCGACCCGAAGACCAAGACCACCTTCCGCTCCCAGACCCAGGCGCACATGGCCTGGATCAACGACATTGTCCTCGCCAACAACAACTCGGCCGTCGTCACGGCCTCGAACGACCTGACTGTCAAGGTCTGGCGCCCACATTCCGAGACGAACGACATCGCCGCGACGATCGGAGAGCACGCCGACTACGTCAAGTGTGTTGCGACCCCGCCTGGCGGCTCCGTCAACTGGGTCGCTTCCGGTGGCTTCGACCGCAAGATATACCTGTGGGACCTGAATGGAGGGGGCAAGACTCTCGAGATTGACACCCAGGGAGACGAAATTGCTGAGAAAGGCTCCGTCTATGCCCTGAGCGTCGGCCACAACATCATGGCCAACGGCGGCCCCGAGTCCGTCGTGCGCCTATGGGACCCCCGTTCCGGCAAGAGGGTCACCAAGTTCGTCGGTCACACGGACAACGTGCGAGGCGTCCTGCTCAACGAGGCGGGCGACAAGGTCCTGACCGCCAGCTCTGACCACACCATCAAGCTCTGGAGTGTCACGGCTGGTCGTTGCATGTACACGTTCACCATGCACGAGGACAGCGTCTGGTCGCTCTTCTCGGACGACCCCGAGCTGGGCACCTTTTACAGCAGTGACCGATCTGGTTTCGTGGTCAAGACGGACGTGCGAGGAAGCCAGGAAGACATGGACGAGGGACTCTCAGTTGCCGTCGCCCACGAGTCTCACTCTATCAGCAAGGTCGTGGCCGCCGGCGACTACATTTGGACGGCGACCAACACCTCGTCCATCAACCGTTGGTCCAACGTAGACACGGGGCCTAATCTACAGCTTCCCGAGGCTTTCCAGCGCCAGCGCGCAGCGTCCACGGCTTCGAGACCTAGGCAGCCGTCGAACCCGCCACCCGCAAACTCTCCAAAGAAGGAGATCTCTCCCAGGTCCATCTTGAGAATCTCCAACACAGCAGCATTCCCCGTCCAGACTAACCCTGGTCCGGAATCACCCCCTGCTACTGGGAACCACATCCCTCAAGGAACTGAGCCTATCAACCAGAACCCCGAGGAGACGATTGAGGGCCAGTTTGGTCTGGTCAAGCACAGGCTTTTGAACGATAGGAGGAGAGTCTTGACGCTAGACACGGCCGGCGATGTCCTCATGTGGGATCTCATCAAGGTATGTCGGTTTGTGTAAGTGACTGCAAAAGCAGCAGCTGACAACTGCAGTGTCAACCAATTCAAAAGTTTGCCAAGAGGCATCTCGAGGATGTTGAGCCAGAAGTCAACACCGTTGAGGCAGTAGCCCCATGGTGCTCCATCGATATCAGTTCTGGAAGTCTGACCGTCGTCCTCGAGCCGTTCAACTGCTTCGACGCAGAAATGTATGCAGACGACCTGGAGTTGGAGGAGCCGGTAGAGTTCCGGGAAGACCAGAGGAGTACGATTCACACACTACTCATTTGAAGCACTCACTAAAACGATCCTAGTCAACCTTGGGAAATGGGTTCTTCGCTATCTTTTTGCTGGCCTGATCGACGAAGAAATCAAGAGAGACGAGGCATATCGTCTGTCGCTCAACGAGTCCGTAGAACGGAGACTGGCTGCAAGCCGTGCGAACCCCCCGTCATCAATAACCATCCCTGAAGGCGGCTCTTGGGAAGAGAACTCGGGAACGACCCCGCGCGCCAACGGTTCCCACCACCCTATGACGCCCGGTATGGCCATCGGACTGGCGACCCCAGGCCCGTCTGGCAAGCTTCACGATGTGCCCGAAGGAGTGGCGACGCCATCTAGTCCGCTCGATAACAAGTCATCTCAGTTCAGCCGGCCTTCGAGTGAGAAGGAGGATTATTTCACCAGTGCCATCGGGCCCATTGAGGGTGCTTCGAAACCCACGGCTGCGCCGGCGACGCCTGCCGAGCAGACAACTGCCGCTGACTCCAAGGCCAACGCCGACACAGGCAAAGACAAGGATAAGGAAAAAGAGAAAGACAAGGATGCCACAAATGGAAAGTCACCTAGCACGCCATTCGGCAAAAAGTTCCGCATGAACATGGGCATGTCTTTTGGCAGTAAGAAGATTGGGAGATCTGCTTCGACGACCGCTCCGGAGAAGCCTGCTGTGGTGGACGAGAAGGCTGAGGAGTCCGAGGCGTCGTCGACACACGAGAAGGAGGTTGATGACAGTTTCCTGGGCGCCATCCAGAAGATTCGCAACGACTACGACAAGTCATTGACTGAGAACCCCGACAAGCTTATCGAGACAAAGGTCACCCCAAGCTTGGCAAACGATACGCCGGTGCTCAAGCTGCCGCCCGGTACAAAGGTCGTTCTCCAGGAGGAGACGACTGGTGGCAGCGCCAACATCTACCAAGGCACGGTGGAGACTGTTGGAAAGGGCGCAGACATTATCGAACAGCGTGGCCCTATGTGGTTGGGCGAGGTTCTGCTCCAGAACCAGATTCCTTTCAAGGAACCCGTCAAGGTCTCCTTCGTGCTCCAGCCGTGGCAGAACAGCTTGCCCGACATTGCAACAACAGACGGCAACAGCCGTCTCAACGCTAACAGGATGTTGCGCGTCAAGAAGATCCTGGCCTACGTTGCTGAGCGAATCGACCCTCAGCCCGAAAACCCGGAGCCGGATGCGCTCCTACCTCACGAGTACTTGGAATTGTACTGCAACGAACAGGTGAGTTGGCTCAATTTGCGCCTCGCGGGCTCTGTACTGACTTGAATAGCTGCTTCCAATCACCATGACACTTGCGACCCTGCGAGCCCACATTTGGAAGGGCGGCAACGACGTCCAACTTCACTACAAGGCGAACGGCCGCAAGGAGATTCCAAACCCGCCGCCTAAGCCTCCGGCTGCGGAATCTGAGACGGCGCCCTCGCAAGGCACCGCGACGCCTCCCCAAGCGACAGTATAGTCTCGACTGTCTAGTTGGTTGCGGCGACTAAGGTCACGTGTGCGAGCGCGACGTTCTCAGGCGGGCAGATTCAACGTCATTGGTGTGGTCAACATGACAGACCAACAAAAGTACCTGCAACGGGCTCCATCGCAAATCACCATGCCGACGGCTTTGTCGATAACACCACCGCCTCCGGCTTCGCGATAGGCTCGCATGGCCAACAGCATGCGGCCAACCAGGGAATACGACTGGTACAATGGCGGCTTAGTGTCTGTGAAGTACACATGGACAATCGGCTCGCGTACAGTGACGCTCACCAAGAAATATGAGTGAAGCGGCCTATAACTTCTATCAGTATGGGTATTATGGCGTTTTCAGTAATGTACATAGCGGAAAAGTTGTCAAGCGCAGCGCATCTATCTGGCTGGGTGCTTGAGCATATTTATACAGCGGGGGGCAGATGAGGGCCTCCAATACAGATTCTTTCCTTTTTTGCGCCGCCGGCTGCCCTCATTCATGTCGTTGCATATCATGCTTCTACGCAAGTACGCAGGTGCGCGTCCTGTCTTCCTTCCACTCTCAACTCCTCCGTAGATGATCACAGCACTGCGCCTGTCAGGGTGTTGGACGCGAACTGGTAACTGCCGAGGAAGATGGCGCCGCCGATGCTGATCCACATGACCCTCGGCCCAATACCCGCGAAGAAGGGCCGGACGCCGTGCTCCTTGTATATCGTCCTCAGCACGTCGCCAATCTTCTCCTTTTGCTGGCTCAGCATGACCCTCGTCTTGAGCACGTCGAGCGGCGTCGTGATGCCGGCGGCCGCGGCGCCGGCGACGCTGCCGTACAGCGCGCTCTCGACGGCGCTGACCTCGTACTCGGTCTGCTTCGCGGCGGCGCCGGAGCCGTCGACGTCGAGCTTCCAGTTCTTGTTCTGCTTGCGCTCGCGGCCCCAGCGCTTGAGGCGCTCCCAGAGGGGGAACTGGATGATGGTGAAGGGGACCTCGCGGAGGACGGTGATGGACCAGCCGCGGTAGAGCTCGCGCCAGACGCCGGCCAGGCCCGCGGGGGTGTTGTACTGGGCGAGGATGGAGCGGAAGGCGAGCAGGGAGGAGCCGCCGTGCTGGCCGGCCTGGGCGCGCTGCTTGACGACCTCGGTGGGGACTCGGACGGCGCAGGCGGCGATCTCGCCGAGAGAGGCGGCCAGCATGTGCGAGACCGGGTCGACCCAGCTGGCCTTTGGTGTGCCGGGGACGGAGGAGGCGGAGGAGAGGGAGGCGAGGCGGGCCGAGATGAGGGACTTGGAGCCCTCGTAGGTGCAGAAGAAGAAGGCAGCGCCCGGGGCGGAACCGATGACGGCGGAGCCGATGCCGCGGTAGATGCCGGTGAAGCCGCCCGAGGGGAAGAAGCCGGCGGAGGACTGGAGGCGGGTCTTGAGGGTGTCGAGGGGGAAGAGGGAGAGGTCGACCGTCGTGCCGGCGATGCCGCCTGCGAGCAGGGCTGTTGTGAAGGGGTGTTGGAGGAGGAGGACATTGTGAGGTAGGGGTTTGTCGATTCGTGCTACGAGGGGGTTCGGGGTCTAGATCGGGAGGTGTCGAGGTCGAGATTTGCACCAAGTTTTGGTCGCGTGCTCGAGGATGCGCCGGCGATTGAGGTGGACGGTGAGGGTTGTTTGGCAGAGAGACTAGCCAGGCTCAATTGGCGCGGGCTGAGTAATGGAAAGGAGTGAAAGGCCGGAGCCTGGGTGTTATGACGACGAAGTGATCATTTGCGCTACGCGGGAGAAAGAGGGAATGTGTGTGTGGATAGGCATAGACATCGTGAGGTATTACTATGTAGATATCGGAGCTACGATCGGTTACTCGCCCGCACACCCCCTGTACGTAAGAAAAAATATATATAGCAGGGGTCCTGCGTTGGAGCTCCGACTCGCCGAGGCCTCGGTGGGAAAATAGCGACGACCTGGACCGTCTAGCGCGGGGGCGTGAAGGAGCTACCTACAGTTGGGAAATCTTTCCTCCGAAAGGCCCGAGCTTGATGAGAGCTCCGGGGATGTGCGGGTGGGCGGCCGGAAAACCGAAGCTCCATCTTTTTTTTATCCTTTCGTTACCGCCCAACGGTGTGGCTTCCGAGCCTCACTGATTCGCCAATTGTACACCTTTTGATCCCGCCGAGCTCCAACAAAGTCCAGCGAGCTGTGCGAGGCACTCACAAAACACACACAACCCGACAGCTGCGACCGGCCACCACACGATGGAATGGGCCTCACCAACCCCCCGCTCGCGACCGCGACCGCAGCAGCTGCCGCCGCAGCAGCAAGGACTGCCGCCGCAACAACCCACCAGTTCCTCCACCCGGTGCCGAAGCCCATAGGCTTCCTCGAGTTCTTCGATGCCGTCCGCGCCGCCACCCCTCCCCGGTTCCCACACGCCCGTATGTTGCAGCCGCGGCGCATCGGGCTCGCCATCTCGGGCGGCGTCGACTCCATGGCACTCGCGTTCCTATTCAACCAGCTCCGCGAGACCAACCCGCTCATGCGCATCGTCGACAACCCGCTGACCAAGATCTCGGCCGTCGTCATCGACCACGGCCTGAGGGAAGGCAGCGGCGAGGAGGCGCTGGCCGTGGTGAAGGAGCTGAAGAACCTCCGGCACGTGAAGCCGCAGATGGACAGGGTGAACTGGAAGGCGGAGGGGATCGAGGGGGACCCGGCGGCGATGCCGAACGTGGAGAGCATCGCGCGCAGGGCGCGGTATCGGAGGCTCGGCCTGCTGTGTCATAGGATGCACATCGAGAGCCTCTTCCTTGCGCACCACCAGGATGACCAGTACGAGACTGTGCTGATGAGGTTGCTCGCGGGACACGGGAGCCGCGGGCTGAGGGGCATCTCGAAGGCGGCGAACATCCCCGAGTGCTACGACATGCACGGGGTCTACGAGAGCGGACACGTCGACGACCAGCTGATGCGGATGCCGCACATCAGTTTCCGCCTGCCGAGGAGGGCCTGGAAGTCGATGCGGAGGGAGATGTGGTCGGAGCTGGACCTGGATCTATATGGAGCGGAGCTGAGGGCGGGCCTGCAGGTCGGGTGGCACGAGAGCCCCTACGTCGGCGACGACGAGGGCAGTGATGCGCTGTTTTACGCGGCGAGCTCGGCGTCAGCCAAGACGAGGGCCGCTGCGGCCGCGGCTGCCGCGAGGAACATGCCGCAAATCCGTGTCGAGGACGCGGGCATCATGATCTACCGGCCGCTGCTGGAGTTCAGCAAGGACAGACTTGTGGCAACGTGCGAGGCAAACAACATCCGCTGGTTCGAGGACGCGACGAACAAGGACCGCACGCTGACGATGCGGAACGCGGTACGGCACATGGTGCGCGAGCACGCGCTGCCCGAGGCGCTGCGCAAGGAGAACATTTTGAGACTGGCAGCACGGTGCGATGCCAGAGTGAAGGGGCAGGAGTGGGAGGCCGAGCGGTGGATTCGAAGGGGTGTGAGGGCCAAGTTTGAGCCGAATGTCGGGACGCTTGTCGTCCGGCTCCCTGAGATGGGGGTCCCCGGCCAAACACGGAGGAAGAGGAGGTCGGCGTACGATGATGCGAGACGGGAGCTGCGGCTTGTGCATAGACGGCTCATCGCGGCGTTGATCGTGCGCAAGCTCGTCTCCTTCGTCTCGCCCGACCGAAACCCGCCGCAGCTTTCGTCGCTGCAGCCCGTGGTCGGGAGGCTCTTCCCCGCGCTCGCGGAGCCTTCCGACAACAGCAACACCTCGAACTCGCCAAAGGCCTTCAACCAGGCTTCGGTCCTCTTCCTCCCCATCGGGCCCAACAAGTGGTATCTCGTCCACGAGCCGTACCCCTCGCTGCACCCGCTTCCCGAGTTCACGTTCACGACAACGACGAACCTGACCCAGCGGCGGTACCCGACGTTCCCGCCCACAAAGTGGCAGTCGGTCAACAAGAACGATGATAGCGGCACTGGGGAGCGTGTAGTGGTGGGGAAGGAGAGGCTCGTGCAGCTGCACCGCCAGCCGCTGCCCCTCCCCGTGTCTCAGTCGAGGCGGTGGTACTCGTGGCGCCAGTTCCAGCTCTGGGACGGGCGGTTCTGGGTACGGGTCAGGGGGCGGGTAAAGGCTGTGTTCCGGGTCGCGCCGTTCGCGCCGGTTCATGGCAAGGCTTTCCGAGAGGCGCTAGGCGGAGGTGAGGCTCCCGCTGCTCCTCCTGCTACCCCCACTCCGCCTGAAGAGTCCGGCAACAGCGGCAGTGTCAGGATAGGTGTCACTGGTGGCGCAAGCAGCGCAAAGACTACCGCCGCCGACGACGGCAGAGCGCGCCTTGAAGGGATCCTGAAGCGGTTCGCGCCGGGCAAAGTACGATACACCCTCCCCGCGCTATATGCCGTCAACCGCGACGAGGAGACGGGCGAAGAGGTGCTACGGATGCTCGCGCTGCCGACCTTGGGGATATGCTTGCCCGGATTGGAGAGGTGGGTGCAGTACGAGTTCCGGTACCGGAAGGTGGACATGGACCTCTTGGACAGCACCGTCGGCAGCGACGTCGCTGCAAGGGGCAAAGATGAGAGGGCTCCAAGGGCGGCGGATGGCGGAGCTGCGGTGCAGAGGAACAAGGTGTTGCAGGAGGGAATTGCGGAGCAGAGGGTGAGGAGGCGGATTAGCGGGATTCGGAGGGAGAGGATAAGGGGTGGAAGGAGGGGAGGGAGAGGCAAAAGGGTTGTGGTTTGAGGCTCGAAGTCGAGGTCGGGACGGTCCAGCGTTAGATACCCCTGTACAACTTAGAAAAATGGCTTTTCACAAGAATCAAGATGTCTCTGCGGGGGAAAGAATCACATTTATCTCAAAGATCCACGAGGTGAGCCGAGGGTTTCGTGATGTCAAGGTGATATTCTTGTATATTGAAATAAGGGAATTCGAGGTTGTGCTTCCTCGCCGGTACTGTGCTATAAACATGTATTGATGAAACTCGCCCATCGTCGATAAGTTTCTTCCCAACGCCGTAATTCTCAAAAGCCAGTTCGAATCTCGTAACGACAGGTATATATATCCTTTATCCATTCCGTTCTTGGCTTCCCTCCTCGTCACACATGACAGCGTGATCTCCATCCACATATTTCCCGCATATCTGGATGCATTCATATCATTAGTTCCACTCTCTTGCCCTTTTCCTAGAGATTTCCTTTGCCGATTTACCCCCACCTATACAAACTGGTTGTCCTAGCCGATGATGAGATACTGGTCACCAGAGACACTGCCTAGCGAGGCGTCACAAGCCCAGGCTTGGCCTTTGTGCGCATAGACGGTCTTGGGCCAATTTGTCCTGCTGTCGACATTGACGCCGTTGCCGCTAATATCAATCTTGCCGCTGGTTGACTCAGCCGTGACGGTGCCCTCCCAGGAGCCCGGGTAGCGGATTTCCATGCTTCCGCTGATAGTGCCGTGGGTGGACTTGAGGTGGCGCATCGGCGGCTGGGCATTGATCGAGATAGCGCGCTCTTCGGTTTGGGTTGAAGCGTCGACTGAGGAGCGTCTAACGGGCCATGCGTCGGCCAATCTACCGGCCAGGGCAGGGATGCGTCTGTACGGGTTCCCGACGCCTGGGATGAATGGGGCACCCGGCATGCGAGGGATCTTAGGGATGTTGGGCATAGGCAGAGGATTAGTAGGGATGTCGACGGGGTCGTCAGGGTTGGCCCTCGGCTTCTCGCCCCCGGGCGCGCCGTCGGTGTTCGCAATTTCAACCCAAATGGGCTCCAGCATCTTGACGGCAACGTTGCCGCTCTTGGTCTTAGTGTGCAGCTCGGGCACCCTGATGGACTGCAGCAAGCTGATGTTAAACACGGGCAGGAGCTCAGCAGCGAGGTCGCCGCTGAGAGTCTCGGCAACAGCAAGGGAGCTGAAGGCGACCCAGGCGCGAATGCCGCCTGACTTGGTGTCGATCGTGGTGATGTAGTCGCGCGGCGGGATGACGGTGTCGGGCTTGCTGCTTTGGGAAGCCTCTTTGAGGGGCTCCTTGACGCTGATGTCGCCCGAAATGGTGGTGACCTCCAGAACGGCAGAACGGGGCTTGGACTCGAGGACTGGTTGAGGGGTGACGCCCGCGGTGATGTCGCCCGTGTCGGAATTGATCTTGAGAGAGTCATATAGTGGCCACCAGCCCGTGATGTCGCCGGAGATGGTCTTGACGACAATGTCGCGTGAATTGAGGCGGTACGAGCTAGGGGGCTCCACGGGGGTGCGGACATCGCCGGATATGGTGCCGATCTCGAGGCCATTCTCGATGGTGATGGAGAGGTCACCCACGATCTTGACGTCGAGATTCATCGCGCCGAGGTAGAGATGAGACAGCTTTGCATTCTCTGGTACCCAGATGGTTGCGCGTAGGGCCAGGCAAGGACGAAGCGAGCGGTTCCACTCGACGCGCAGGGGGGTCTTGATCAGGAGCTGTTGCTGTTCAGAGTCCCACTCAACGCCGACGTCAAGGGCCTCGTCATTGGTGACAACCTCGAGATCGATGGAGGGGCCCGGGCTGCCGGCTTGTTGGCGGCGAATGACGAAGTCGCCGGAGACCTGGGGTTGGTACCCACGGGATGGCACGTTACTCTCCACAGCTTGGAGGATGCTCAGGGTCTTGTCTGGGTTGAAGGAGACGTCGAAGACTTTAGGGGCGAAACGATACTCCGACTGCAGGCACGTGCTTGCAGGCTTCCAGGGGAGGGAACTTTGAGGCGCGTCGGGTTGATCAGGCTGGCTTGGCGGGGATGGTTCACTGGGTTGAGAGGGGCCGTCCTTAATGGGCAAGCCGGTAACCGGGTCGAAGTCCTTTGAAGGCTGCGTTGAAGGGGACTTGTCGGATGGCTGGCGGCGTTAGCTTATGGGCAGTAGGTGAAGACGAGGTCATGCATACCATGTTTATGACAGTTGAGGCCAGCATGCTTAGAAACCCTGACAGGGTGAAGAATACCAAGGCGGCAAGGAGCGCCATCTTCAACGTCCGCCTCGATGCCCAGGGGAACTTCTTGAAGGCTCTATCCTTCCATGAAGGCGACGGCCTTGGGTCATCGTCGTCGTCGTAGGAACCGTCGCCCATGCTCTCGGGGTCGCGGCCCAGCAGGCGCGCCTCTTCCTCAGGCGCCCCCATTCTGTTGCTGAAGGTCTGATAGTTCCTGAACTCTGTAGGGGATAACGCCAGTGGTGATGTCGGTGACGGCGTGTACGCGGGAGGTGCCTCTCTGGGGATACGAAATAGTGATGCTGTTTGCGAGTAAAGGTTCCTCCTCGGGTGAGTCCGGGGTGGACGTAGGGGAGCGTCGGCGGAGGGCGCGTAGGGTGTATAAGACGACGAGCTCTGGGAGGCTTGGGGGGTGGTGTAGGTGTACGCAGTTGTCGTCGTCGTATGTGATGGCGTCGCCTCGCTGTCGGCTGTGGAGGCCCCGTCGTAATAGTAGTCCTCGTCGGCAGGTGCGGCGGGTGACGAGGTCCTACCTACGGGCGGCGAGTTTAACCTTGTCTCTTCTCTTGCTTCGCGATCTTTCTTGGACGTGGTAGAGGGCCCCTCTTCTTGCAGACGCAGCGACGGGTCCTGGACGAGGACGTTAGGTACATGCGGCACGCCAGCGGACGTAGGGAACGTCGCGTCGGTTACGTCGTCTTGGCTGTGGAAGTGCTCCTGTTGCGGAGGATAAATTCCTCCGGCTGACGAAGACGTACTGCTCTGGAAGTAGCCGTCAGTAGGTGACAGGTGGGCGTCGAGGTCGTTGTCGTCCGGGAGTTGGTCATAGTCGGAGTCATCGGCCGAGTACAAATTGTCAGAATACGGGACCGGCATGGCGGCGGTTGTTTCTAATTCGGTCTCTCTGCTATTGTTTTGCTTGGATTCCGTCTGATGTTTGGTGTCCTCCTGTTTCCTATTGCTGGGTCACCTAATGTTTGAGCTTCTGCCCCTGGCGTGGACCCTCAGAGGGTAGAACGGTCAAGAAGTGACGGTTCCTGGTTCGTAAGGGGACTTGGCTGATACGCGCAGTGTCGTGGACAGGAAGAACTAATGCCGAGAAACGGCGTCAAACAATCCAGGTAACGGCTTCGGTCCCACAGCGCAATGCTGGCCACAGCGGAGTACAATTGCCAATACGCGAGGCACTTAGAAGAGATTGTGCTTTGTCACCACAATACAATCGTCGCAAGACTTGGGAGGATTGGGGGGAGGAGTAATTGGGGCCACGAAGAAGTTTGCGCGTTCACTTGGTTGAGACAGGAAGGAGCGGGGAGAGGATGGATGGTGAAAGTGACACAGAAGAGAGAAAGGAACCGAATGAGTCTTGCGGCTTAAGCGATGCCTACTAGGGAAGAGATTGGAATCCCACTGGCCGACGACACGAAGGCGGGAGAGCAAGACATCGGTCACCCAACCACCCACGGAATTGCGTTCGAAAAAGGGTCCTAGTCGGGTCGCCGAAAACGTGGATACCTACCGCAATTCCCACGGTGCCCGTGCCCGATACGGCGGAAGGATTTCAATATCGCAAGAGAGAGGGGCGAGTCGTAAGCTTGTCGATCAGGGAAGATATGAGACCGCGTACCGACACCATGGTCCAAGGCGGTGTCTGAGACTTGTTCGACTACCACGTTGAGACTTGCACACGACGTTGTGCCCCCCCAGTTGCTACTCTGCAGTAACTTCCTGACTGTCTTGCGTGACACACTTGCGCACCCAAACGAAATAGGAAGCTGCTTAACGAAGGCACGCATAACGGGATAAGCGGTGCCGCTATGAAAGCCAATTGGATACTCATTGGTGCTGCGGTGGAGAATGTAAGACGAGCCTACAACACAAGTCCCTTTGCTTTGCAAGGATGAACATTGGAGGTACCAGTGGGCAAGATTGAGGCGCAAATCGACATGATAAGAAAGACAGAGGGGGAGAAAAAAAAGCCAAGCAGAAAGTTTATGCGCCATAGACTCGCCAAAGCCTAAGAAGCACTAAAATCCCTCTGCAGGTGGAGCATCGTCTGCCCGATATTACGCTGACAAAAGTCCCCATGGTCCACCGACTTTCGGCTATCGCTTCCGACCGGGGCGTCTGTGTTGATTGCCCATGGGTTACGAGTCACAAAAGTTTCTCTGCATATTGATTGGAGCAATGCCCATCAATCAAGCTTCTTGGTGGTCGGAGACACCACTAGAGGGGTACGCGGGGTGACGACGATCGCGACGTAAGCTTCTTCATAAGGCAGGCTGACGACGTCCTATTCCTCGTCCTGGTCTGCGCAACCAACCTGTCAAGCGTTGTCAAGCTTGTTCCTTAATCAACTTCTTTGAGTTTGGGTCACTGGAATTACACCTTAATGAAAGACCGCCCCACCTCCATCGTCATAAGGTGGTCACAGTCACGATGGCCTCTACTGTCCAAGCATTACATCCTCGTAGACGTCGGCCGCTAACATGCCGGCATTCGTCTGTATTGAGCGCACATATATGGAGGGGCTCTAGCTAAAGTATCCTCGTGCAGCTACCGCCAGCTCGGTTCCTTCCGCCCCTGCATCAATAAAGTCTTCTGGTATCTCTCTCCACGTCTTCCAAACGCCATTGACGACGGCTATGTAACAAAAATGGGCAGGCCGCTCTTCTTAGGCCGGCGATAGGCAACCCCTCCAACGCCCTTCCAATACTTCCTCGATGGTTCAAATAGGGAACCTTAGGCCACACTCTGGCACTTCATAGTTAATCGAGTATTTATAGTGATTCCGACCCCTTGTTTCCTGACTCCAAGCCTTTCTCCTTATTCCAAGCCAAGGAATTTCTTTGTGTTTTCGTACACAACCCAGGTGATGCTCAATGCTGGAGCAACTTTGAGCAGATTGGGTGTGAGTCCTTTATACATGCCCCGCATACCCTCGTTCTTGAGCGTCTGCTGTGCGACATCCACGATGCCTGTGTAGGTCGCAGGGTGCATGACGGTACCTTGGGTCTGGAGGCGAGTACGGAGGACGTTGAGGGGGTACACCACCGATGCTCCGAAAGCACCGCTGGTGGCGCCAATGATGCCAGTCATAATGTTGCCTGGCTTGGCGTCTTCTTCGTGGATGCCGCGGTATTTCGACATGTATCTTTTATATGAGGTTTTGAGAAACTCGAATGTGCCCATGTCAATAGCACTGTAGGGGAACATGCCCATCAGGCCCATGGTGACACCGCGGTAGGCAATGCGCACACCACCAGCCTGCCACATCTTCTTGGCAGTATCGAGAACCAAGGCGTTTCCAGAGAGGCCGCCCTGGACCGTTGACGTCTGGAGGCGAAACTTTAGTGTATCCAACGGGTATACACAGAACCTGAGGAGCGTCAGAAGCGGGACGGGGGACAAAGAGGACAGCCGCGGCTCAAAGCAAACACGGAAGGACAACAACAAGTTCTTTGGACAAACAGCTGCGCGACAGTGACTGACAGCCACAAATGATGAGCAATGGGATTTGAGGAATGACTTACTGAGCAACCATGCCAGCAACACCACCTGCGACGAATTTCGAGTAGCTGTTGATCTGCCTGGGATCGTTGTGGCCCTCGAGCTTGGAGAGAGTTCTCTTTGCAGCCTCATATGATCCGAACTTGATGGCACTCTCGGGCATGATCTTGATAACATTGAGTCCATTGCCTGGATTAGTCAACAAACATCCCAAACACTCTTTTCCCCTCATCAAGACACCCTCTTGGCGCTTGTGGAACCCCGGAAAACAAGAATTCAACATAAGAAAAGCAGCCCAAGAACATACCTGCAAACAGACTCCTCATACCACCAGCCTTCCAGAGATCCTTGACGGCATCACTGAAAGGCCTGACTGCGTTGCGAAGGGCGAGCAGCGGACGCCCTTGCTTAAGAGCACTGGCCGCCGTGTCGGTGCTTGCCCGAGTGTTGACGAGCAGGTAGACCTTCAGTCGATCGAGAGGAGCGGTGGCAGTTCGCGATAGTCCTCCGGCGACGGCACCCGCGATAAAGTAACCTGGATCAGGAGCGAAGTCAGTCAATCTCTTGGTCTTGGGTGCTACAGTTGCATCTGAGCTGGAGCTGGAGCCTTGCTCGGAGCTGCTGCCTGTGACCTGGTTCGCTTGAGAGGTGCCGACGCCGGGGAGTCTTCGAAGGATGCCTGCGCGCTTCTCGTCTGCGGCCTCGATGCACGCCTGCAGCACCGCTGCCTCCATGTTCATATTGTTCATGTTGGCGCTGGTACCTGAATAGCCCGGGGGAGATATTGGCAATACGATCGGTTGCGTGGACGGTATTTGCTGTTGTGAGGCTGAAGAAGAATCTGTGGAGCTGCTGCTGTTTGGTGAATCTTGTTGTTGCTGTTTTGACCAAGCGGGCAGCTGCGCAAGGCCGGGAAGGGGCGAGGGTGCTCCTTCCTGGGAAGACACAACCACAACCACGGGACGGCCGTCTTTGTCGGTGAGAGGCTCGGTGGTGGCGTCGGGCTCACGGTCCGAAGGGGATGCGATCCTCAAAATGGATCCAAAGAGGGTTTGCAGAAGGAAGCCGGTCGTACCTAAGCCTTCAAGTGTCTCCTCCGATACCATCGAGTCACCTTCAGCAGAGAGGGTGACGATGGAAGAATAGAAATCCAAAACAGCCTTCAAGGGTGTGTGGCCATTTTGTGTTGGCATAAATAAAAGAAAATCTCTGGGCACGGCGGTCGTCTAGTCAGTGGATCTGCTGCTGTCGGAGAAACAAGAAGAAATCGCGGACAGAAAACAAAATTGGACAGAGCCAAGGCATCGTGACGGTTAGCTTCACACCTCATTCAGATTCCTCACACCGAGCTACACCGAGGGCATCACCAGCTGCGATGCCCCTGAGCAACATGGTCATCACAGACCCATCTACCCCGACATGAACATGGATAAAAAGTTTGCAGAAAACTCGACAACAAGCAACGCGACCAAGAACATGTCCATACTTACCGCCACTCTTCGAAGCTAATGTAGCCGTCGTTGTTCATGTCAATGTCGCCAAAGAAGGAACTGAGCTTGCGCATCGGCACAACAAGCCCAGCCCGTCGAAATGCCTCCTGCAGCTCTGTCTTGTCAAGTCGCCCATCGTGGTCCTTGTCTATGGACTGGAACAGAATCATCAGTTGCCTCTCGGTCTGCTCGACAAAGTAGCGGAACTCTAGGGATGTCATCGTCAGAAGCTATTCCCTCAGCATACAAGACAGGGGAACCCAGCCGATAGCTCCAGCCTCAGCCCGACTCCCACGATGGAGCTCACCTTCGTATTGGATTTTGCCGTCGTCGTTCGTGTCGACGACGGTCATGATCTTTCGCAACATGTCGTCCGCATTTTTCATGGCTACAGCGCCAGGTTAGCACGAAACCGTACGGGAGCTTCGGGCAAAGATTGATGCTGACGGTGATCGATCCTCTTCAACCCCTTCTGCAACCCCTTAAAGTCCAAATGACCCGAGCTATTAGGATCCAATTGCCTCCAGAGGTCCTCAACCCTTTTATCCCGCTGGTTCTGCGACTCGTCCACCTCCATCTGGCGCTCGGCAACCCATTCTGTTACCCCCATGGCGGCGGCGGCATCAGGACGCAGGGCTGTAGAGTCGAGGTTTCGGGCTCAACGCGGAATTCATAGGGCGGCGGCGGCGGGTACGGCAGAAATCGTGGAGTGTGTCGTGTGTTGTGTCTCTCTCATGAAGACATGGCGGAAACAAGGCTTCAAGAAGGCGTTGTGTTGTCGCGACACACTTGCATGCTGCAAGTCACAAGGACTGACGTAGGAGGGATCGCGAGGTGCAGCGACCAAGAAAAAGTAGAACCGCCTGCCGCAAGTGGTTCGCACCGAAGCCACAGCGTCAAAAGCTCGGCAACATGGGGGGGTCGGTTTCCATGGGTCCCACTAATGAGACAAGCGAGGCAATCAGCTGCGACCAATTAGCACTGCTTCCGGGAGCTTCCAGTGCTCCAGCAATGAGCTTCAGTGCTGTTTCTGCTCGTTTCTGACTTCCTGGCTTTCCCGTCCACCCGTAAGGTAACCTTCCTTAGCCGGACATCTTCCGTCTTATCGATATCAGATGGCACTTGCCACAGGTTGATCCCTGGCTTTCCCGTGCACCAGCCACCATGTTACGCCAACTTCACCACTCAGCCTTGCTGTCTCTTACTCTTCCCCGGACCACCCACGACAATCGGAGAGGTGTTACGAACACATATCATGTCATAAACTCTGCCGCGAGCGCTTGGGAGAGGTCATCATGGCTGCCAACTTCTGGGAATCGACCCAGCGTCGTTTCTGGCTCTTCTCGAAAGACGAACTCCAAGCTGTGCGCCAGAAACTCGAAGACGAGAATGCCGAGCTCGTTCAGATGTTCCCTCTCCCGCAACCGCGGCACCTGGCCATATTCTTTAATCAACGTGAGTGTACGTGGGGTTCCAGGTCCGCCGTCCGGTTGCTGACTTCATTCACCTTTAGAGGTTAACCGTCTCGGTAAACGCATGGTCATCCGACAGCAAGCCATGGCCACCGCACAGGTCTACATCAAACGCTTATATACCAAAGTCGAGATCCGTCGAACGAACCCCTATCTGGTGGTTGCGACTGCCCTTTACCTGGCCTGCAAGATGGAAGAGTGCCCACAGCATATCCGGTTGATCGTCAGCGAAGCACGATCATTATGGCCCGACTTTCTTAGCCTCGATACCTCGAAGCTCGGCGAGTGCGAGTTCTTTATGATTTCTGAGATGAGCTCCCAGCTCATTGTCCACGCGCCGTACCGAACTCTGAACAACTATCAACAGGAACTGAACCTGACACAGGAGGACGTGAACCTGGGCTGGTCGATCATCAACGATCACTACATGACGGATCTACCCCTGCTGTATCCGCCACACACTGTTGCACTTACCGCAATCCTACTCGTGCTGGTCCTTCGACCTTCCTCGAGTATGTCAGGTTCGAACCAACCGACGGCGGCGGGCATTGCTGCTGCGAGTGCGGCGCTGGCCCAAGCCCAAGGGAGGGTGCCAGGACTGCCTCCCACTCCAGGGACGCCAAATCCATCCGACAAGGAGAAACAACCGGAGGCCAGATTCGGCCGGGTGCAGCGGTATGGCGCCTGGTTGGCGGAGAGCAATGTGGACATTGCCGCCATGGTTGATTGCACCCAGGAGCTGATCTCGTTCTACGAGTGTCATGAGCAGTATAATGACAAGCTTACCCGGGAGCAAATCAACCGCTTCGTCAAAGCGAGGGTCCTTGACAAGTAAATTGGCCATGGTTTTTATGCTACACGCTCATATGAACACCGCTAAAATAATTGCGTTCGATGAGCATAATATCATTGCTTGTTGAATCTGTGGCTGGTGCTGTGTCTTGTAAAGCTGGCAGCGCCGAGGCTGTTTCGCCGACCTCCAATCAACAGAGGTTGCATGGAGTCCGCGAAATTACAGAAATTGAGATGATCAACAGTATTGGTAATGCTCGCTCGCAAGTTCGATGCTCTCTAATAAGCACAGTCAACCCTTCGACAGTATGTACAATTTTGCATGTCGAGCATATGCGAGAGACACATATGACCGAAGAATTCACAGCACTCAACTGAAGAATTTTAGTCACTTCCTTGTCAACAGGGCAGTGATCTAGACATGGGTCATCCGACGCAAACTCTTCTTGGCCTGTCTGAGTCTGAGTCAAAGCAGTGACTTTTCCAAGGCAATGGAATGTTACACGCTTTTTTACCACATTGGGTCAACCAAGAGATACTGGAACAAGCACTAGATGCTTACCAGCCTCAGTGAATGGCCCTCAACCTCTAGGAAATGAAGCTCAGATACGGAACAAGAGGATGTCATCAATGAGGCAACTGGACGCGGAGAATAAACATCTCTACATGTTTTCAAATATGTGCATGGTATCGCCTTGGTACACTGGCATTGAGCACCATTCCCTTCGCTTAAAGAAAAGTACAGACAAGCATGCCCAGATTGAAATTCTGCTCTTGCATGCTGCAAATGGCTGGGCACTCCAAGTCCATCTAGAGCGCATTTCATCCAAGGAGTTGGACAATGGAGTTGTATGCCGCTTTGGGGTTGAAGCTGGAATCGAAGAGGAGGGGGTTCGCTCCCGTTCTCCACGAGTCCTGAGTGGGGTGTTAGTATAAACCTTTGAATATAGCAGTAACACCATTCTTGGTAAGGTTCTGAAGATGAGCACAATCTGCACATACCTTGTCACTAACACCCCATACGGTGATACCCCAGCACTTGGGGACGGCCAAACAGGCGCTGACGACGGCATTGTAGTCAGCAGTGGGTGCCCCCGCAATGTCGAGCTCGGTGATGGCGATTTCAGTGACTTTGGCTGAGGCGAGTTGATCAAGGGCGCCACGCACAGCACTACCCATACCAGCACTGAGATGCGTTTGAGTACCTTTCAGGTGCATTAGTGTTAGCTTTATGGGAACCGGGACGACACTATAGGTCTTCAAACACCCAACGTACCAATGCCGTCAATAGGGACTCCCTCAGAAATCCACTTATCGACGTAGTACCGCATCAAGTTGACCTTGCTGACCCCGGCACGATCTAGGTTGTAGTCATTGATGTAGAGGCGACAGTTGGGGTCGGCGGCGCGGGCCGCTTGGAACGCGATCTTGACAAACTCTTCACCCAGCACGTTGGAAAAGACTGAGCTGCGGAGGGTGCCATCCTCGTTGAAGATTTCATTGACAACGTCCTTGTGTTCTGTCAGTAGCCATCCTTGTCTCAACTCAATTGGTTTCAAAGCGTTGACACAATCCACGAGACACAAAGAGGAAAGTTCGGTTTACTTACCCAGGCGCGAATACGACCTTTGTAGCGTCCTACGACGGTGGACACGTGGGTTTGGATCACGCTCCGTAACGTGTTGGCATCACGGATGTTCGAAACCCATGTGGGAAGCTGGGAGTGCCAGACGAGAGTGTGGCCACGGACTGATTTGCCGTTCTGTGTGGCGAAATCCACGAGATAGTCGGCGTCGCCCCAGTTGAACTGACCCTGGTTCGGCTGGATAGATTGCCACTTCATGCTGTTCTCTGGCGTGACTTGACCGAAGTTGGCCTTGATGATTGCTGCGTTCTTGTCCCTCTGCAGCAAGGCGCGGTCCGTGGCAGTTCCGAAGTAGACCTTGCCCTTATTCTTGAATCGCTGATCGATGCTAATAGCGGCCTGGCGATCTTCCAAGGTTGAGCTTCGCTCCGTGATGTCGATGCTGCGGGCTGTCATTTCAGCATCGCTGCTCAGCAATTCTGTGGGCAGAGCTACAGCTAGCTGCACAAAGAGGAATGCGAGTTGAAGCTTCATGATGACTATATCTTCTGGGAGCTGATACAACAATTCAATGGAGACTGAGTGGGTTGCATTTAATTCACATCTGGCGCTTATGTATTTATATCCATCAACAAGGCGTACCATCAAGACAATGTTCTTCGCTACCTACTTCATGTTGTCTTCTTGGGACGGTAGCTACAAAACTTGGAAGAAGTCTCATTGGATCGCGTATGAAAGCAGGCGATGTAAGAATCACGGAGCCATTTCTTCCGTTAACATTCATAAGCCATAAGCCGAAAAACATTGCGCTTTGTCAACTGTTGTTGGCGCGACAGGAGCGCAGACATACAATGAGTTGCGTGATAGGTGCCTTTCCGCCAGCCTTTTTTCCAGCAGGTTGATGGCGGCTGCCCTCGCAAAGAACTTGCTAGTCTCACATATTGTTGCCACTATGCTACTCTACGCTGTACTTTCAGCGACAAGATACGAATCTACTGCGGTTAGAAATTAGGCTAATCCACCGTACCTACTTCGTAGGATTCTCATATGACTGCTTCAGTCCATCGTGGTGTGAACATGGAGCGAATTTCGCATCAATAACGCAACTGCTTTCATGAGCTGATTCGGGTACCTTGGTCTCAATTCGCCAGGACTTTAAAGAAGAAGTCCTCATCCGCTCACGTGCTGCTGTCCATGCTACGCCAACTCGTGCCAAGGCAAGCCAGCCATGGTAAACTCTTTCAGACTTTAACCGAGTTGGCAGGTCTTCAGGGCGATTTTACGAGTACGAACTCTTCGGATACTACGTCCTTCGCGGTCAACCCTCACATTTCTCCGAGACTAGGCTGTACAAATTCGGTTAGCTTCTGAGTACAGGATGCTCTGCTTGCTTGATCTCTTTTAGGAAGACTCAAGCTTCCGTGGTTGTCCATAGCTTAGCTGGTTATCCTCGGCCATCTTTTTGCAGCCTTTGAAACATGGACATACAAAATCATGTTTTTGGTCTGCAATTATATTTGCTTTCCGAAGGTCAATAACACGGTCACTTACCTGGTCTAAGCGCTGCTATCAAATGTTGCATGCTTCGTAAAAACGACTGTTTTGTGGACATAAACTTGGAACATATAACACAGTTACCGTATACCAGTGTTTAACCTCTTGAACTTGTGACTATTATATTAATAGAATCGAATACATTCTGTGTTCGAGGTAAGGTCAAGCGGCGATAAAGACCCCCTATTCACGGCAAATTTGCTGCCGTGCAAACTCAATGACTGACTAGCTTGTGGGAATGTTTATGTTGATTGTTTCATTGAAATTGCGGAAACCCTGAATGATGTAGCATGGCAAATCCGCGCCTGTTAAATGCGCAGTATTCCGAGACTGGCCATCTACAACCATTCCTATCCGAGGCTTTCGGACCGTTAGCGGGTGTCATTGAAATCAATCTTCCACGAATCGCTCAACACTATGTATTATCGTCATGCGATATGCCTTCAATTTTGTTTTGCTGAGTAGTATAAGAACTGTAAATCTTGGCAACTCCCCAATCTGACTCACTTTATCGATTTGCACGTTCTCGTCAGTCTTGAATAGTGGTGTAAGTCTTTCTGCGAAAATGGTCGTCCTTGGTAACTTCTTGACTGCAGCCGTAGGCTTTGCATCCTTGGTTCTTGGTCAGAATTTCAATAACCCCGTGCTCTGGGAGGACCTTGCAGACAACGAGGTTATTCGAGTCAACGATGCCTACTACTACACAGCGTCGACGATGCACTATTCGCCGGGAGCCCCAATCCTGCGCTCGTACGATCTCGTCAACTGGGAGTACCTCAGCCATGCCGTTCCATCACTAAATTGGGGCACAAAGTACAGTTTAACTGGAGGTCAACAAGCCTACGTCAAGGGCATATACGCTTCTACATTCAAGTACCGCAAGAGCAATGGATTATGGTACTGGATCGGGTGCATTGAATATTCCGCTACATACGTCTTCGTCGCTTCATCGCCAACAGGCCCATGGACCCAGAAAGCTAAAATCGCCACGTGCTACTACGATGCAGGCCTGCTCATCGACGACGATGATACAATGTACGTAGCATATGGAAACACTCAAATGAGCGTCGCACAACTCTCCAGCGATGGTCTATCCGAAGTAAAGAAGCAAGTGGTATACTCGACTCCGTCCAGCATTGGGACCTTGGAGGGTAGCCGGATGTACAAACGCAATGGCAAATATTACATCTTTGTCACCAAGCCGGCGAGCAGCCAGTACGTTCTCCAGGCCAGCAGCCCCTGGGGTCCGTACACCATTAAGGCTCTCGTTCAAAGCGTGGCCGCGCCCGTTTCTGGAGCTGGAAATCCTCATCAAGGCAGCCTCGTCGACACGCCGGATGGCAAATGGTATTACATGGCGTTTATCGACAGTTACCCGGGTGGTCGACTCCCGGTTCTTGCTCCGGTTACTTGGGGCTCCGACGGCTTCCCGGCTGTAACCCTGTCTAATGGTGCCTGGGGTACTTCATACCCTTACCCAACGACACAACGCTCAGTGCAATCACCGCTCGGCACCGATACGTTCAGCGGGTCGTCCCTCGAACCGGCTTGGGAATGGAATCACAACCCCGACACAACCAAGTTCAAGGTCGCTAGTGGGCTAACTCTGAGCACGGTGACGGTTACAAGCGATCTTTATGCTGCTCGTAACACGTTGACGAAACGTATTCACGGCCCCACTGGAGTCGGCACTGTTGTCATCGACTTCACCAACATGGCTGATGGCGACCGCGTGGGCTTATCTCTATTGCGCCAAGACTCTGCATACATTGCCGTTGCACGCTCCGGCTCGTCCTACTCCATCGTCATGTACAACGGCCTCACAATGGTCCAGAGCACCTGGGCCACTGCGTCAACAGGTTCCCAAGCTGCGAGCGTGCCCATCTCCCAACGACGTGTCTGGCTTCGTGCCACTGCAGACATTAAACCAGGTGCTGGGAAGAAGGGCTCATTCTCGTACAGCCTGGATGGCACAAACTTCGTTTCGTTCGGTTCTCAGCTTACTCTGAACAATGACTGGCCATTTTTCATGGGCTACCGATACGGCATCTTCAACTTTGCGACGAAGGCCCTCGGTGGTTCTGTAAAGGTTGAGTCTTTCACGAGTGCATGATACTGATTATAATCTTCTAGGCTATTTCTACCGAGTTAACAGACTCTTTGCTGCGCAGTTCCTATTACATCTGGGCGATCCGGGCGCCTTTGAGCTGCACAGTAGCCATTCAAATAGATTCGAAATATATTACACAATGCCTTCTCACTGAAAACGAGTAGCTACTTGTATATTGCTGTTGAGAAAACCCATACTGCTCAGCGAATAATCCTTGACTGATTAATGAATGAAATGATTAATGCTGCTATTTGCAAATGGTCACTCTGAGGCGGTGTCAAAGTACCTAGCCTTGTAGCCTTTGTGTCGCTTGCAATAAAAGTGACCAGCATCCGGTAGTCATCCAGTAAGCAACTTATGCAGTAATACTCGATGGCCGTACGTTATGAGATCTTATCTGCTTTCAAAGACTCGGAAGAAGCTGGGCCCCGCTATGCAGGTCTCTAGGTCATTGGGCGAGCCCCAACACAATAGAAGGCAAGGGTAAGACCGGCTAACGGTACCATCATTAATTTGATTGATTACAAACCTGATATTGCCGATGAGCACTCGGTAGTCTTCCAGAGTATCGATATCGACCTGTTAGAAGTGACATAACTGTAGGGGACCTGACAGTTAGAGGCGATTACCCAAGAGTCAGACATAGAATAGTCATAATAACATTCTGCCTTCTATCTGATTAACGTTCAGAGAGGTGTACTTATAGAGAATCGGTTTTGTATACGCGAAAACTAAAACCATTGCTAGATCAACCAATAGAAACTAGATACTACGAGATTCTAATGTAGCTCAGTTGACGACGTGTGAAATGTAAGTATTGAATGCAGTAAGACTGTTTCAATGGAAATGAGCCAGTAGGCTATATGGAATGACCAATCAAATAAGTTTCCATCATTGTCACATAAATAGAAAACCCCCAATCTCTTCCTAGCTTAGTAGGTACCTTGGGAGTTTTACTGGTTAGTAGACCGCAGTTCAACACCATTTCGATGAGCAGTTCTTGTCTTGGAAAACTTCCATGCTGGAATGTGGCGCTCGAACAGTTCGTCAAGATCTTGGTATGTTCTCCCCTTCGTCTCGGGGAAGAGCAGTATACAAGGAATCAGGTATACGAACGTGACGCCGCCGAAGAAGATGCCAATCTTTTGTCCCCAGCCAGCATACTGGTTTGAGAGCATCAGTGGCACAGTGTAGTTCTTCAACATGTTAGTTTTGGTTCGACAGTTGAAGAGTAGTACTTACAAGGATAATACCGGTGATGTACTGGACTGTCACTGCCAGAGATGCTGTCTTGGCTCGCAGTTTTGGACTCGAGACTTCCACCAGGGAAATCCAACCTGCGAGCGATTAGCAAGCTGGTTGGGCGAAAACGACTATGGACGACAGCTCACCAATTGGTGCCAGTGAGTTGGCATACAGAAACGCCTAAATGCCACACAAGCAACCAGGACAGGACCGGATGCCGCGGTGGGCTTCATGAAGTCCAAGCCACCAACAATCAGGCAGACGGCGCACATGCCAAACCCCCCGCCGAGCACAAGTGTACGGCGGCCGACCTTGTCAATCAAGTAGAACGACATGATGATACCGGCGGGCAAGATGGAGTTGATAATGATCTTGCCCAAGAACGGGTCCTCGACGTTTGCCATGGAGAGGAAATAGGTTGTGTAACCGAACATGAGAGGTACGCCGACGACGTTCTGGAAGGTCAGGGGGAGAGTTGAGATGACGGCACGCGGCTACTCAGCCTCCCTTCACTCGCAATGAGTCAGAGGCAAGTGGTCGAACTTACATTCCAGCTAGAGACACGGAGAGGCCGGTGATGTAAAGCCGCCAGAACTTCTTGATACACGCTGCTCGGCTCCAGTCTGCAAATGCGGAGGTGATGGGTGTGGTCTCGCCGTGCTCCTTCAACGGTTCGCCGGCATTTTCCACCTCCGCCGCTTCCCTCAGCTCTTCTTCTTTGAGCCTATCGTTGCGGCGCTCCGGTTCGTTTCCTTGAGCCATGTTGACGGGTGGCAAGGCGCAACGACGGAAAAGTTTTGCAAGAGGAAGAAAGTATTGGTGTAAGTGGTGGTGATGCCCAGTGACCTTCAGAGTCCCCTAGGACGTGGGGCCCCTTATGAACCCCAGACTCCCACCATGCTGGTCGCGGGGAAAACGTGGGGAAGTGCTTGCAGTGCTCGCGGTTCCAACATCGCGGGCTTCGACATCGTCACAGAGCCACCTTCGGACCCCGCTCAGAGAACTATTGATGCAGAGTCGCCAAGACCATCGCCTGGTTCCATACGATATCTCTGGGTGATCTCCGGCGAACCTGCCATCATATGGCTATGTTTTCTGCGCTATTATGACTCCTTGCGCGATGTTGGGTCTTCTCGATGATCTAATTACTCGATCCTGGAACTTGGTTGGAGCCTCGGGTCCAGCCCGATGGTATCGGGTCTGTTTGATACAACTCTACTCTCCCGGTATCAAGCCGGACATTTCCAAAACTGGCAATCAGAACAATTCGTTGAGCCCGAAGAACAGCCATGGTTTATCCTGTTCTCTACGCGTGAAGTTGAACCGGGCCCTTGATTTGAGAACCGTGTAGGATTGCCGGCCGTCATCGGTGCAAAAGATCCGGTTGTGAAATGTACGAGGCCTGCAACATCCTTGTCCGAGACCGTCCACATGATGCTCTCGCGACACCGAATGTGCTGGCCACCACTCGCGATGATGCAGCGGAGGTTTTGATTGGCATATCCAGCTCTTCTCGCGGAGAAATGCCAGTAGAATGGGATGAACCAAAGCTTGCTTTGGACATCCTCTCCATCTGCAGAGAGAACCTTACACCCCGTCGACTGTTGACTTTGTGCTCCTATCCATGTTTCACTCTATTCTGAAGACCTCTCTCGTACATTGTCATAACCGTCTCAGCTCCATGCCTCGTAGCACTTCAAACTGGCTCTCAGGACAAAATGCTTAAGCCTCAAGCAAACGCCCATCGGGAGGTCATCTCTCTAGACGGAACTTGGAACTTCGCGCTGGCCTCGTCAACTGAGCCCGACGAGGAAGCAGCCTGGAAGGGCAAACTCCCTTCCAAGCTACAGGTCCCGGTGCCAGCGAGTTACAATGACATCTTCCTCGAGTCTCACATCCGCAACCACATGGGGTGGGTGTACTACCAAAGGCACGCGACTGTCCCGAAGATGTGGGCTGGGCGTCGATACATCCTCCGTCTCGATGCTGCGACTCATCGAGGACGTGTGTATGTCAACAACCAATTCGTCACGGAGCACGTTGGCGACTACATGCCATTTGAGGCAGGCCTTACCGAAGTCGTCTCGCCAGGCCAGAAGTTCTGTCTGACCGTCGCCGTCAGTAATGAGCTGGGCTGGCATACCATCCCACCCGGAAGGATCGAGACCGTCAACGGCAAACGGAAACAGCATTACCAGCACGACTTCTTCAACTACCCGGGCCTGGCCCGGTCAGTTTGGCTGTACTGCGTCCCTAAGGAGTACATCAATGACCTCACGGTCGTCACGGACGTCACCAACGATGGCAAATCTGGTTCTGTTCACTTTCAGGTCGGAACAAATCAGTCATCTAAAGATCTTCAAGTGGTGGTTTCACTCTTGGATGAAGACGACAACGTCGTTGGCCGTTCACAAGGCCAACAGGGCCAGCTGGCCGTCGAATCGGTTCACCTCTGCAACCAGGGGCCGCATATCTCTACCAGCTGCGGGTCGAACTCCTCAACGACCAAGGCGCCTTCACAGATTCATACGAGCTACCCGTCGGAATCAGATCCGTTCAAGTGAGAGGCAACAGAGTCTTCATCAACAACAAGTCCTTCTACTTTACAGGGTTCGGGAAACACGAAGACACGGCCATCCGAGGCAAGGGCCACGACGCCGCCTACATGATCCACGACTTCGAGCTGATGAAGTGGACCGGCGCAAACTCCTTCCGCACGGCCCACTACCCGTACGCGGAAGAGGTCCTCGAGTACGCCGATCGCCACGGCGTGGTGGTCATTGACGAAACGGCCGCCGTCGGGCTGAACCTGTCCATCGTCGCCGGGCTGCACGGCGGGAGGAAGACGCCGACCTTCTCCCCGGACACCATCTCCGACGCGACGAGGGCGAACCACGAGCAGGCGATTCGCGAGCTCGTCGCCCGCGACAAGAACCACCCGTCCGTCGTCATGTGGGCCGTCGCCAACGAGCCGGCCGCGCGCGAGTACTTTGAGCCCCTGATGGCCCTCGCCCGGCGGCTGAATCCCACGCGCCCCCTGTGCTACGCCAACGAGTACCAGGCGAGCGTCGACAAGTGCCTCATCTCGGACCTGTTCGACGTCCTGTGCCTCAACCGCTATTACGGCTGGTACCTCCACACGGGGACCTGGAGGCTGCCGAGCAAGGCCTCGAGAAAGAGCTCCTGGACTGGGAGGACAAGTTCCGCAAGCATATCATCAGGTCCGAGTACGGCGCCGACACGCTCGCGGGCCTGCACACGATTGGCGACGTCCCGTGGTCCGAGGAGTACCAGAGCAGGGTGCTGGAGATGAGCCACAGGGTCTTTGACCGTGTTGACAGCGTCGTGGGGGAGCACGTCTGGAACTTTGCCGACTTCCAAACCCCGTCCAGTTTCATCTTCTGGGTGGACGGCAACAAGAAGGGTGTCTTCACAAGGGACCGGAGGCCCAAGATGGCGGCACATGTGCTGAGGAAGAGGTGGACAGAACAAAAGCCCAAGGAACATACCCCTTAAGGCTTCTGTTAGCAAGGACCCGGCTTGTGTCTGTGATATTCACAAATGGCCATAACAGTAGTGAACTACGGTATTCAGTGGAGAAAAGAGATAGACCGTAACGAGTTAACGAAGACTTGTGGTTATAATTACCTTGTCGGTAATAGACATATAACTGTATACCGTCTATTGTGTTCAAGAAGGGATCGTGACGTTGATCCATTGCAGTCAAAACGCATGTCTTCTTACAAATCGAAGCGGCCAGCCCCTGACGAGCTTCTCAAGGAGAACTGTCAGGGCGGTGATGTGAACCCCCTAGTTGTTCCTTGTTTCTCGAATAAGGAACACCTGCGCTAATGATGCGATGAGAAGCTCCCAGGAACTCTCGTACTTTGGGAAAAATATAGCGTGTAGCCATGCTCCAGCGCCAATCTCGCCAGCTCAGCTAAGTTGGCATCGATACGGGCGACGACTACGTCAAAGCCCTGCATCCACAATCTCAGTGACATAGGAGCGCTTCTGCATTACAGACGACGAAACGGAGAATCGTTTACCAGACAGGGAGTCTTGATATGTTTCTGAAAATGCCGCTGCGAAGGGGTTGCCTTCAGATTAGTCGGCGAGGCTTTCTACTTGAAAGCCTCAATGTCGCGACGAGTAGATTTCCGCCGGTGGGTTCCACAGAACATACTCGCCAATAAGCGTCAAGTCTCAAAGCCTCAAGCCTTTTCTCTTTTCAAACAATAATCAATGACATTCGCCGACTTGGTCGCATACGAGTACAGTTCCAACAACCTCCCAATTATCGCATGCATTTTTCCTCCCTCAAATCCTTTAGTCCCGGAAAACTCCCATTACGTGACTCTGTGCGTGTTTGTGTCGCAGAAAGGTATGCTATTGTGTGTGTGTGTGTGTATGGTAGATCCAAAAACATCATAAAACGGGACGGTTTCTAGTGGCTGTCGTTCATGCTCGTGCCGGCCTTGTGCTTCTCCTCGGCGTGGCCCTTGGTCTTCTCCTGCAGCTCCTTGGGGTCGGAGCCGACATGGCGGTCCGCCTTGATGGCCTCCTCGCTGTCTGACGCGAGCTCCGACTTCCAGTGGCCCTTGCCCTCCTTCTGCTTGGAAAGGGAGTCCTGCTTGTGCTTCTCATGCGTATCGCTGTCGGCGTCTGTTGTTGTGTCAGTTACCTGTTGAATAAAGGTGTCGAAGCTGCGCTCTCTCTCTCATTGTGAAGTGCCTCTCAGCCTCCATGAACGTTCAACGAAGATGGGTGACGAGGAGTAGGAGCAAGCAAAGAACTTGATGAGCTGGCCGGGCGAGGAACCACATCATGACGATCTTCGCAGCATCCCGCCCGCAGCTATCTAGCCACCAGCCCAATGGCAACAAGACACGGAGAGAGGAGACGAGGGGATGCACTCACGTCCTGAAGACTCCTTCAAGCCAACCTTGCTCGTCGTCGAGATGCTGAAGCCGCGTCCAAGGGTGGCAGTCTGCCTGCCGACGACGAAGGCGCCGCGGGCAATGGGGGTAGATGAGAGAACAATGCGGGAAGCCATTGTTTCTGTGTGTTGGGTTGCGTTACGTTGCGTTATGTGTTGGTACGTTCCTAGTGTAGTTGTGATGACGAGAATTCGAGCAGTTATTTTCAATTGGGTATCTGGAAGAAAAGGGTCGAGATTTAACAATGAGGTATTAGGGAGGAGGAAGAAAAAGAGAAGTAGGCACGATGCTGGGCGAGGTAAGTATCAGTACCGGTAGCTCGACATTGCCTAGGTAAACGAGCCTCGAAGTGTCTCGTTGACCCGACCGTGACGTCACCAGGTCGTTGCTATCCCGAATAGTGACATCCTCAGGACCGAGCTTTCTTCCTTTCCCCCCCCCCCCCCCCCCCCCCCCAGCCGGTTGCAGTTTCCCAGCAAACCCGTGCGGGCTGTGGTGGTAATCCCGCCCCGCAAAATGCCATTTTTGCTTGTGACGGCCGGCCAACTGCCATTGAGCCATTTGCAAAAGAAGAAGAAGCCCGCTTTCCTCTCGTCATCACCTCTCGCAAAGGGAGAGACGAGCCAGCGGCGATCAACTGGCGACCAGCTGCGGCCGGCTTCCGGCAGCTGGCCAAGCCAGTCAGCTCCAGGTCTGCAAACCATCCAGGTGGGGGGGTTACATCTTCAAGAATCCAGCTCAACTGGGCCCCCCGATCTCATATCGTCATCATCAATCCACTTGCAATCCTGACCATTCTGCCTCTCTTCCCCCCTCCAAGGCTCTCCTCCTAACGAGTTCATCACGTGATTTATATCTCTCGTGGCTCCCCCTCTGAGACCTGCAGCACTCCCGTCTGTACCTCACCAGCCGCCGCCGCCGCCGCCGCCTTCTTTACGATCCCGCTTCTGCCCCTTGCGGCAGCGTGCAGAAGGCAGGTCGGCTTTGACGCAGCCCAGCAGCCTAGGCGTGTGCCGCCAACAAGTCGACCGCTCTCGTCTAATACTGGCGCCTACAGGCACAAGAAAAAAAGACAGATCTAGTCCCCTTTTGTTTCTGCGCTTCCGTCGTGGGTTATACACCAGGACTCCGGGTCGATTGTTGCTCTTTGTTGAGGGGGATGGGATGTCTTCTAGCTAGCTTGCTACATCTCATTCGACTCAGCTGTAATTCAGCTCAAGCAAACCTCGGGGAACAAAGGGCAGTTCGGGGAGGTGGTCCAGGTCGCATGGTCAAGGTACGGCAGCATCGTCCTCACATAATAATAGTATAAATCCTATGATGTTCTGTATTGCATCAGCAGTCACATGTAGGGGGTAAGAACGCAAGTAAGCGGTAAGATACCCTCCAGAATCCTGTCATATCTTTGTTTGTGATTCACTTCCGAGTTGCTTGGTTCAATGTGAGTATTCGTCAGGGAGGCGAAGGCGTTCAGAGTCCAAACGACATCCGACCGTAGGATCCTATACAACACCCACCCACCCCACCAGCGTCCATGCATCACTCATGAAGAAAGGCAAGACCGATTTTGAGATGAACGTATCGTATATTGCATTGCGCCTTGCTGGCTTCACGCCACAAGATCGGACTATTCTGATCCGATCCCCTTGAACACCTTTCACGTCTTGAGCATTTCCTGTACAACCCCAAAAGGTATCCCGTTCACCAGCCCAGAAACCACAAGAGCCATTTATCGTGTCATCCCGCCTCCCAGAAAACACGCCACTCTTCCGAGATGCTCGCGAAAAGTGCCTAGACAAGGTGAATCCACCACCCATCGTTTCCCAGTGTCCCGAGATGCAAGACCCGTGAAAGAAGCCCCTCCCAGGAGTAAGTAGTAAGAATAGTCCATCTTCGAATAATGAAAAGTGAGAGAAGAGGCACAAGAAATCCAAAAGACTGCGCGCGTGTCCCGTCCGCATCGCTCAACCCAACAGGCAACAATGCAGAGGCTCGCCAGCAGACCGCGCCCAAAAAGCATGACCAACTCCACCTTTCCCAATAAGGTATTTCCCGGACCCCGTTTCCAAGCTTTGGAGATTTGCCGCAAAACAATAGCAACGCATGTCTTTGCCCGCCACCACCCATTTGATATTTCCCATGTGAGCCCATAACAGAAACACCTGTTGCCCCCCGCTCCGAATAAGTTGCTGAAAAGACACTCATTCTATATGTCGAGATAATCTTTTTCGATATGACTTCGTGACCCGTCGAGCACCATGATGAGCAACTGAAATTTTGAATCATCTTGGAAAACCAAAAAAGTCGTCCCGCTGTCCGTGAAAAATAAGATGCCGAGAATTAATTATATCCGAGAACTCCGCCGTGGTGTTTACACACCGATGCAATGTCGTGAAAATGCAAAACCGTCCGTGTGGAACGCCATTCGTGCAAGTCTAGCCTCATCTTGCGAGGTCAAGACACCGAAAGATTTTTGTCGATTTTTTTTGTAGTCGAAATGTCCCAAAAAGGAGAATGGTATCGATAACTTCTCGCGTCGCGCCCGGGGAAAAAGCCTCGAAGGAATTTTTGTCGGTTAAACAAGGGTATGTCGCGTGAGGTTGTTTGTACAGGAGAGGAATGTTTGTTTGAGCCAACGTTGTGACCAGACCACGCCAGCAGTCTCGCCAAAGACTTCAGGTACCCAGCCCGCAAGGAGAGAAATCATCGATGCCGTTTCGTTTCTTTTGTTCGGTGCCCGCCAAGATGATCGGCTAGAAAAGCCAAATGAGCAGAATTTTGCACACCAGCACGCATCAGCACAGACGGCAGGGAGCGCAGAGCCCCGGCCCTCTGTCACGAGAGCGGGATCAACGCTTTACCATCTGCGGATGCCCTGCTGCATCCTAGCGGGGGACACCGAAGGCGACGGGCTGGACATGGTGATGCCGGTAGCCGGGTTGACGATGGGGATGGCGTTGCGGGCGCGGGTGGCCGAAGGCTGGTGAAGCTTCATGCCCGACTGCTGGTAGGCGGGAGGAATGAAGGCGGGGAAGACGAGTTGAGAGAGAAGCCAGGGGCCACTGTCTGAGGCTGCTGCGTCGGCGAAGACTCGGGGGAGTTGCTCGCCAGGGAAGAGCGCTCAGAAGAGCTGTGGATGGAGTTCATCTGCAGCGGGCGACCAGAATTAGTCACCGGATCACACGAGGTAGATCCAAGGCTCCGAGATACTTACGTCGCTGTCAGTCAAAAGGCCGGGGCAGAACTCCATGTCGTCCTCGAGGTCGAAGGAGCGACCGGCCTCGAACTTTGTGCGGAAAGCGTTGATGGTGGCAGACTCGGTCAGCTCCTTCATGCTGCGCACGCCGCGGAACTGCTTGTGCTGGTTCTGAGAGACGGAGAGTCTGGGCGCTCTGCGGTTCCGGCCGCCATGGTGGTTGTGGGAGGCGCCGGGGACAGCCGGGGTGGGATGCGCCTGGTGGTGGTTGAACTGGTAGTACGAAGACATTATCTACGAGTGCGTCGGGTGCAGGTGTCGGTGTCGTGGTAATGTCGTTGTTGGAGGGTGTAGGTGTGCCGTCTTGCTGGTTGGGGGAGGCAGTGCGGCGGATGTGCGGTGTTCTGATTGTGGGCGAGCCGAGCTTTGCGGTATTATTGCAGTATTGAAACACACAAACAATGAGACCAGCCGAGTCGACGACGTTGTGCGAGTAGAAAAGTGTATACGTTTGAATAGATTCAAGGTAGAAAGAGTCGATTGAAGAAAGCAGTGCTTTTTCTTTTTAGTGGTTGTAATTGTATGATCGGTTGAAGCGTTTTGTGGTTGGAGGTGAGGGTGGGTGGGAAAAAAAGGTACGTCTGGACAGAGGGGGAAGAGAGATGTTGAAAAGTATCGGGAGGGAGGAATCTGGAGAAGGCGATGGTTTTGTTGGTTCGAACAGGACAGTGAGTGTGGGAGGGTGGGAGGAACGGTGGAAAGGTGAGCGGACAGGCGAGAGGAGCGAGGAGGGCACGGAGGGCAAGGAAAGGGAAGGGATGGGGGGGCGGTGGTGGACCCACAGTCGCCCAATGAGAGATGATCAAAGGGACAGTGCGTAGGGTGAAAACACTGTGACTCCACTGCTTGACGCCATACGCGAGTTCGCCACCCCGTTTCCATTGGTTGACCGATCCCCAGCTAGAACCGCCCGGGTCTAGCGCAGTCTGGTGGTGCTGGTGTAAATTTGGGGCGTGGCGCCAGCTGCCGTCAACCCTCCCAGTGCGGCGAACAGTACGGTTTACAGTTGTACGGGGTGGAGCGAGGGCTGGCCGTATTTGGATGAGAGACACAGCGAAACTGGGAGAGTGGGAGCGAGGGAAAGGGCCGGGGTTGTACTTGCTGAACAGTGAACGGCGACTGGAAGTGAAGAGCGCGGCGGGCGGGAAGGCACAAGGGAAGTTGTGGGAAGCGATGGGTTGCGTGTCCCCGGTCAGCCTGGGTGTACCTGGCAAGGTTCAAGCTCGCCAGCAGCGAAGTCGTGAGCAAAAGAGGCGGCAGCTGCAGCGGATGCACTGGGTGTACCTGGCAGAGTGCAGACAACATACCCCTCCACTTTCGTTCTCACTCTCGCTCTCTTTCTGTCTCTCTCACTCTCACTCTCTCACTCTCAGTGCCGCCGCCGCAGGTTCTCACCCTCTCCCAGTCTCCTCCCATGTCCCCCTTCTTCTCAGGCCTGTCGGGTCGGAACCTCGACGCAGGGCGAGCTGGCGCGTGGCATGCAGGTACTGAGTCTGCCCACTGCAGGACGCACTGTGGGCCCCCTTGTTCTTCACCGCAGTGCTGAATTCACAGTGCTGGGCGGCGCTCGCATCGGGGTGGAGGGGGCAATGGACGGGGACCGAGGAAGCCTCCTGACTCCTAAACTCCCAATAGGGTTGCCGCCGCTTGTCGCCCGAGTCCTTGTTTACAACTCTGGCAGGCACCGCTTGCGGCGATGGAGAAATTGGCTGCCCACACCTGTCATTCCAGAACCCCAGTGTGAGCGAGCGTGATGGAGAATCAAATCAGGAGCACATTCAATATTTGCGACGGTAGAACAGAGCGAGATTAGACGTGAGACCTGATACGGGGTGCCGCCGCTCCCTCCCATTTTGCGCATTTGCGCCGTCTGTTGCCCGTTGTCCGTCGACCGTCGTGCTCCCTCTCACGCACACACACACACACACTCTCTCTCTCTCTCTCGCTCCGTCTGCTGGGTGCCTCCTCTCCCCGTCCCTGTCACCCACGCATGTCCCATCCACAATCCACATTCAGCCATGCTCCTCTCATCCCACTCTTTTTCTCTTTCGGCATCGAGATGTCTCTCCCACTTGCGATCTGCGATCAACTGACCCTCTCTGCCTGCCTGCCTGCCCGCCCGCCCGCCTGCCTGCGCCTTTTGCTCTCGGTCCTGGCCGTGGTCGAACCAACGGCGGTGTCTTGTCTTCATCCCATGTTCGCTCCTCTGCTTCGGCGTCCCTTTCTTCTTCATCCCTCCCATAGACAGAACTCTTACTCACCCTCCGACCTCATCTGGAATTCCAGGCGACGCTAGAGAGCCCTGCGTGGGGCCCTGGACTCGTCGCTGGTGGTCGAAGTTCGGCAAACTTGACGGCATGCTTTTGGACTGACGCAGTCGAGGATGCAGCGCACGATCGCATCGGCCTTCTGTCGCGCTCCATCGCAAGCTCTCTCTCTCTCTCTCCGCAATGTCCTGTGCCAGGAAGCCCAAAGTGCTACCACAGGGGCATTAAACTGGTGCAATCTGATGTTCGGAAACACGAGAACGCAGCCTAGTGTTTCCTATTCCATGCTGGGTAGGAGTCTTCTTCCCAGGCCCTCACACTCGGCTGGCTTCATGTCGTCCGCTCACAGTGTGCGGCTGTCTGCCTCAGTCCGAAGTGAAACCCTCTCTCGCCTGGGTGGCCCTGGCTCGCCGGATCCCAACCTTTGGGGAAACGGTGAGCAGGGGCCCAGGACTGGCTGGGAGGGAGGGAGGGCATGGAGCAGCAGCAATAACAACAACAATGGAACGGACTGCTGATGCACAACTGGGCGGCGGGCAGACTGGGCTGGACCGACTAACCTCGTACTACCGTGTAGTCTACAGCACTGGACGGTCCGCAACTGGACCAGTGCAACCGACCACCCGCCCGCCCGCTTCCTCCAACTCCAACTCACCTCGCACATCCGTCCATCTGCGCGGTGCGGCGGCAGAGAGACGACCAAGGAGGGACCAGTAGCGTGGGATTGCCAGCCACGATCCCGACGTAGTCGCTTGCTGCCGCCCGCACTGTGATGCGGCAGAGACACTCCCAAACACTGTGAAAGACCCTCCCGTCGGGTACGTACACATATGTGCTGCTGCACACTGATGCAGGTGGTTAGAGCCCGGGGCTGCATAATGAACAACGAGGCAGTGGTGTCCCCCCTTTCCCTTCCCCCTTGAGCAACACACACAGGGCCATGAGCCATTGACATGCAGGCACTAGGTGGGGTCAAGTGCCGCTATGACTGGCTGCTAGATCCTGGTCTGGTCCAAAGAAAAAGAAAACACCGCGAGAAATGACCTGGGCCCTTGACCTGTGGCCTGGATTCGGAAACGTGGCGGCTGGCACGCTTGATCTATGGAGCGAATCAAGCGACAGACCCGGTCCCGGTTGCTTTGTGGGCCTGACGGCTTAGGCATAAACCACCTCACAGTGTGCGCTCGCCACCTGCAGACCGCCCGTCGAGGAAGCCCACCAGCCGACGCAGCCACGAAAGCCATCCACACAGGGCGGGGCTACGTACTGTACCTAAGCAGACTCACTGACAGACTCACTCACTTGGTGCTTCTGTCTGCCTTCTGGACCTGGCCAGCTTTCCATCATCATGAGCACTAACAGCGGGGCAACCGTCGGCAATGTCACCCTGCCCTACCAATCCGTCACTGGGTTGGCGCTCGGGCTCTCTCTCATTCACTCACCCCTTGTCACCCTCTTACTCTCGATCTCACACAACTTGCTCTGCTCTCTCACCACTCACCGCAGATCTCACTGAAGGTCTCTCGCCCCCCATATCGTCACTCGCGGCTACAACAGCCTGCCCCTCCCCCTTCTCTCTCTCACTCACCCCAGCATCATCCGTCAGTGGCCAAACCCTGATGAACATGCCATGATGCAGCACCCAGCGCTGTTTATCGGCGCATCCTCCTCGTGCATCCATCCGTCTTGGTTCTCGGCATCCATCATCCATCAGATAAGCCAAGAAGGGAGAGTTGACGGCCGATGTCCGACTGCCGAGTGCTGCGGGCTTGACAGGCCGATTTGGCTTGGGCGTTCCCTCTTCCGTATCGCAAATCTATCGCCAGCAGCGTCCCGCTGCGGCGCCACTACCCTCTAGACCGAATCTTCTTTTTGCCCGTGGAGGAACACTGGAAACGTCTCCTTCGATGAAGCGTGGCATTTGCTGTGGTGCCCGACCGTCCACCGCACATACATGCATGAAAGGCGAACGGGCCCCCCTGCGTGACCACACGCCAGCGGCCACCCGGGACAGACCCTGGGTCCTGTCTCTCTCCCCGGCTACTGTGGCACAGCACAGCTCCCTGTCCACCCGGCCGATGGCTATGAAAGCCAGGCGGGGCTGGCTGGCTGGCTGCCAAACTTGGCGAACCTGGCAAGCCCGTTACCCCTGCTGCAGAGGCAAGGCAATCTGCCAGGTGAATCGGGGCAGGGCACGGCTGGGGCATGGAGGATGGGAAACCATTTTGAGACACCTGACGATGGCTTCGTGATCTCTACTGTGGAGCGGGAGGGGAATCCGGCTGATGAAAGGGGGCAAATATCACATTCCTGTCGCCTTATCACCCCATGTCCAGTCAGTCGTCGCCTTGCCAGTCAGCCCAGTCAACCGAGTCTCACCCATCTCGTTGCCTCATGCCTTTGCCGAACATTTCCCTCGTGCATTCTTCCTTCCTTCGGTGATGGCGTCGGTCCGTTTGCTCACCGTTTCCGTCCCATTCGTCAATGGCTCGGTTCCAGCGCCTAGGACGAGACGGAGGGGGAGCTGCTGTTGCTATTCTGGTAGCCCAGTCGGCTCCCAGGCTAATTCGGCGCTTGCACATTCTGCAGAGAGCGCACAGGAGGAAGACGGGCTCTCTAAGGGTTCCTGGATTCTACAATGCCTGGGGAGGCCGAGGACCCTTTCCAGCAACCCAGGCGATCTTCCCCCTCCAGGTCGTGTTCCCCATCGAGGCAGGATTGACGCCCCCATCCATGATGTGCTCTGCCAGGTTGTGTGAGTTGTTGCGAAAGAGCTCACAGCCCAATGCCTGCAGCAGGGCAAGCAAGCCAACATTGGCCAGGGTCTGGACGCCAGGATGATGGAGGTGTGGGGGAGCCGGCCATCGAGTTCGACGCTCGCTATCACACAGTTCCTGTCGACGCATCCAATCCGCTCTCGACGCCCTACACCAGAGAAGGCCGAAGCTCTCATGGAAGGGAAGCATTCGATGCGGTTGAACAACCTTCTTTTGTTTCCAGCCTCTGGGCCAGCCTTCTAGCCCCGTCAACCGTGCCATCGTCCATCGGCAACGAACCTTCCTCACCTACAGTACGGACACCCGCATGAAACGGCAACTGTACCGTGTACAGGCTGTCGACAGCCATGTTTTGCGCAGTGTCGCCGTCGCTGGTTGCCGTTGACGTTGTTGGTCTCGCTCCTGTGGGATGACACAGCCGGACGGGACAGGCTCATCCCACGAGATCTGACGGATCGTCCCTCCACGGTGAGCGGTAATCTGGGTCTGCGTCTGCCCATTTGCATGCGTCGGGGCGGTCATGGCCAAGAAGGGGAGGGGAAGATCCAGCCCCGGCAGTACGAAAGCCACACGTAGCGGCGGCGGACCAACATGGTTGAGCAGGAGGACCATGGCAAAGACATGGGAGAGCCCTTTTCTTCACTGCCACACCGCCATTTTAGCATCAAGGTTGGACCACGGCTTGTGCCAGCCCTCGATCCAGACACGGGGAATACTATAGTGTATCGCTTGTTGCGGCGACGGGGGTTATTCCTCCTCGCTGTCTCACCACCTGTCTCCCCCCGCGGATTTTGTGTCTGCCGTCCCCCTCGGTGGAGAAAGCTTCGACCACCTCATCCGCCGTTCTCACCGTTCCCATCTTCCCCCTCCCCCTCCCCCTCCTTCCTGGGTTTGTGGTTGGAGGGTGGGAGAAGCGGGACGAGTGATAACGGAAGACAACAGCTCGGGGGGGCTAGCAAAGAGCTTAGAACTGGCAGGCTGGGTTGCTGAGCCACCTGGGCACACCAACCGGTCGCCGTGGAGAGCTACTGCAGCGACCGGGCGCGCACTGGGGGGGAAAAGCAAAGAGCAGCAGTGCGACTGGAATGGGGGCGACGTCGTCGGCGCCGCCAGCCAGCAACAAGAAAGACCGGCCGGGCAAGCACACAAGCACTTCAGCCCACCCACCCACCCATAGTGCCATAGCTGGGCAGTGTCCAGACCGACGGCGCATGTGGGCATGCCGGCAGCACTGGTGCATGGCAGCCATGCCGCCTTCAGCTAAGCTTGTGGTGGTGGGGGGGCAACCTGCCAAACGGCACAGTGCTGCGCTTGGCGGTCTGCTGCCTCGGACCTGGCGTCTCAGTGGCTCGCTCGCTGCCTCGAGGCTTTGGCTCTCGCTGGGCTGGCGAGAGATATCCCGCTCCACTCCAATCCGAAGCAACGCCGGCGCGGCGCAGCGCAGCAGCAGCAGCATCAGCAGCAGGAGGCATGCAGTTCGCGGCGGCGTCTCGATTCTCTGATTGCTTGTTCATGCTGCTGGTGTTGTCCGGGACTAGACGGGCATTTACAACGCAGGAAACTCTTCATCCTGTTCGCCATGTCACCGTTTCGGGATTTCTCATTTCCCCTTGCCATCCAAACCCCTCCCCCCTGCCGGCATATGTCGACAGCCAGTCCCCGAGTCCCGAGTGAATGGCATTGTTGGATTCCCACTAAACAGAAACAGCGGAAGGCCCCGCCCTGATCCAAGCAGGCGTATGGGGGAAGAGGGGCGGGAAGCAGAGACACAGAGACATCCGTCGGCCACTTTTGCGACGTCACCCCTTCGGAGGGGCACGGGACGTAATGCGGCGACCCCGACGACCCCTAGAGTGATTTCGCGATAACTCCCTGCCCAAAGGACGACCGACGCATGATTCTCACGGCTCGGTAATATCGAAAGTCCATCATGTGCAGCCGGGGTCGACCCGCAGCAGCGGCAACCATCTCTGTCCAGCCCGCCCTAGTGTAGTGAAGAAACGATGTTCCCCAATGCGTGCGAAGCGTACCGCATGGTTCGCACCCCATGCTCCCGTCCTCCGTGCGGTCGTGACGGGGCCTCCGTCCCACCCCCGGCGCAACTCTCGCGCAACCGCACATCCTAATCCCGCGCGGAGAATCCCGAACCGTCATGAGAAATCTCCCACAAACCCTTGCCCGCAGCCCCTTCGTTGCACCAGTTCCGGAGCCTCGCAGGCCATCGCACGTAGCACGACGTCGCTCTAGCCCGTTGGCCCGAACCACCCCTCCTTCGCGGAAGGAAAAAAGAAAAAAATGAGGGACAGGATACTGGAATCCCAGCACCTTGGCCTCGGCTTAGCCGCGGCTGCGGCAGCGGCGGCAGCGACCTACCTCCTCCTCACCTCCCACGCAACCTCTTCCGCGGCGGCCCCGCGCCCGGCCGTCGACCGCCGCAAGACGGCCCGGTCTCCGAAATGGACCGTTCTGCCCACCCTCTCGACGCTCGGCCGCGACGAGCTGCCGTACCCGCCCGACGCGCTCCCCGGAGGACGGGACGTCGCGACGGCGTACGGGAACCTGCGGGTGTACGAGTTCGGGCCGGAGGATGCGCAGGAGAGGGTGCTGCTGCTGCACGGCATCGGGACGCCTTGTATTGCGCTGGGGAGCGTGGCGGAGGAGTTTGTGGAGCGGGGGTGGAGGGTTATGACTTTTGGTGAGTCGATTCGATGCTGCCCTTGTTTCTTTGGCCTTTCCACCTGTTCGGTTCTTGTGTGTGGACGTGAGGAGAGGTGATGTGTGAGGGCAAGTGCTGTCTTTTGCAAACCCTCGTTGCAAAGGGTTCCTTTTTTTTATGCCGAGCCCCCCGTGTCTCACTCTCGCCCCTCCTCCCACGCTTGATGAACCCCCGTATCTAACACACCAGGCAGACTTCTTCGGCCGCGGCTACTCCGACGCGCCGCTGGACATCCCCCACGACGCCCGCCTCTACACCACCCAAATCCTCCTTGCCCTCGCCTCGTCCGCCCTCCCGGGCTGGACCGGCAACGACGCCTTCCACCTGCTAGGCTACTCCCTCGGCGGCGCCATCGCAGCCGCCTTCGCCTCGTCGCACCCGCACCTCGTCAGGTCCCTCACCCTCGTCGCGCCGGGCGGGCTCGTCCGCTCCGCGGCGCACATCGGGTGGAGGAGCCGCGTGCTGTACACCTCGGAGTGGATCCCCGAGGGCGTGCGGCGGTGGTTCGTCGGGCGGAGGATCAGGCCCACCGATCCCAAGAGCGCGGGCGACGTCCCCGAGAAGGAGACCGTCGACGACAACGGCGGCGGCGAGGGCGAAACGGCGGAGTGGGACGAGCTGCGGCTCGTGGGCGGCAGGCGGATCGGCGAGGTGGTGAGGTGGCAGATGCAGACGCATCCGGGGTACGTGCGGAGCTACATGAGCACGATCCGGCACGCGCCGGTCTACGACCGCGGGGACGAGGAGTGGAGGGTCCTCGGGGAGGTGCTGGCGGCGAGGAGGACGGGCGCGGCGCCCGGGTTGAGGAAGGGGCGGGTGCTGTTTGTGCTGGGGGAGCGGGACGATATCGTGGTCTTGGGGGAGACGGTGTGGGATGCGGAGGCCGTGCTCGGGGAGGATGCCGTCGAGGTGGTGGTGTTGAAGGGCGGGCACGAGGTTGCCATCACGAAGGGGAGGGAGATTGTCGGGGCTGTTGTTTCTGCATGGGAGAAAAGCGGTTAGATGTGGTGATAGACATTGATGGGCTTCGGAAATTGTAGATTTGGACTAGGTACGTATAGAAAACAGAATGCTTAGACTTCATGTATACTTTGCGGTATTCAACAGTAGCCAACGTGGTTTACCATGATACGTCCAGGCTTTTATCCCAACAATCCAGAACTAAGTAATCGTGTTGGCCGCCTGTAAGTGCTCATTCCCGTTTGCTCCATCCAGAGTGGTTCGATGGGCAGGGCTCATTCAATTCATCATCGACGCCGGATTTTTCATGGTATAGCATCTTACCCTTCCAGTCCCACTTCATCTTGCCATTTCTGCGACTGCTATCCCTCATCGCTATGGTCCCGTATTTCCCTATCAATCACTCAAGGGCGCCCCTTTTGAAGATCAACATGCCTTTGGGTTGGGATATTGACTTGGCCCAGTCTGGCCCGGGAAAGCATCCGGTTCTCACCAGATACTCTCCCGTCGGCCCGCATGGTCTTTCTGGTGACTGCCCTAGCTCTCCAATTTAGGCTCCTGAGCCTTGTGGTTATAACTCGAGTTTGTCACCTGTTCGTCCCTGATAAGTTATACGGGTTCCATCTGCCACTCTGTGGAGCTTGCGTCCATCACGGATCCGGGGAAGCCTCTGGTTGTCAAAGTATTTGATCCTCAACCCTACTTCAACGACCATGTCACCCCTTTAGCAACACAGTTTTCTTTTCAGAGTTTTTTTTTCCGAAGACGAGTTCTTCCCAGAAGCCTATGCATACAAGCACCTCTACAAGAGGTTGACTGGCCATCCGTACTTTATGGCAACAGTGTTACGGCATGTGTCCTGGAATCCTCACCGGCAAAACCTGAAAGGCAAAAACGAGTACAAGCGTGTCGGTTTGGTGATCTTGAAATACAATGACGAGTCCTCCATCGACGAATTGTAAGAACGTGATGACAATGAGCGTCAGGTTCCAGATGTTGGCGGACTTGTCATCTTCCACAAGTCAGACCAACGTCATTGCATCACCGAGTTTCGTCATCAGGTACGCCTCAGGTATCAGAACAACAACGGCGGAGCGTTTGGAGCCTCGATCGAGAGATCGTTTGGACCTCTGAAGGACAGGTCCAAGGAGGTTGGTCCAAGGTGGACATGGTGGATAGGCTGCCTGAGCAAGAGAACAGCGAAAAGAAACACCAAGAGGAAGGAAAGGGCTGAAGAGGGAAGAAAGATTCACTGATGTAAACCCCAGCCTGTTCATCATTCCTCACCCCCTGATCGACCGCGGGGGTTCAGCCTTTAGGCCGTATTTCGTTGATGCCCACGGAATCAGAATCAACGACCTTCCGCGTTAAGAACGGGGAAAGCCAACGTTCCCCTCCGCCCTCTGACTGAGCGGACGAACTCTGTCCTGTCTACCTCACAGAAGACCACTGGGGCGTCGGTTGTGTATAGGACGTGGAGAAGGCGAATACTGGCAGGCAGGGCTCACGTCTAAGGTTACCACATCGAGGGTATATCATCATCGGAAACCTGGATCTATTTGTGTAGGAACGATATGAGGCACAGGATATAGAGCAAAAAAATTGCTTGCTTGCTTTCCTGACTTTCAGACGCCCTTGAACTTAACGCCATTCGGCTTCCAGAAACCCACTTCTCAGCGTTCTAATCACATCGTATAGAACGGCATGCATTATCAGTTGTCCGAGTCGGCGTGGGGGCCGGACTTCGTGTACCACATTTCCCGGCCGGACGAGACTGACGAGCTTCTTGCTCGGCCCAGTCTTCTCTTTCGACTTTACAGTCCCTTCGTGACAGCAGTACGCAGCTGACATATCGATGCAATCTACCTTTGAAGGTGGAAAGACGATGAGAGTGGAGAGTGCACTCGCTTTAGACACTTGATATCCCTCAACACCGAGACTGCCGCTCGATTGCGGAATTCCCTGATTGGAAAAAGATTAGGTTCGGTCTGGGCGCCGAAATATCGGTACGGTGGGACTGTCAAGAGCTGGGACCCCTGTCGTTCCCCTGAGCTCCCAGCCAGTCGGTGCGTTTCCTCCCGCACGTGGCGCACGTCCCCCCCACTGGAGCTTCAACGTCTTCACCATTCTCGCCTCCCCCATCGTCAACCTTCGGGCGAGGTACGATACGAACAAGCGCATGTCATATTTCGGCACCCCGGCCGGTTTACCACGCTTTATGATCCCTGGAGCTGCATCGTAGCTTCATTTCGTTTCTTGTGCACCGCACCTCCCTGCGCGACGCGGAGCCACGTGGGATACAAACAGGAAAGAGGCTGTAAAATTGGCTGTTGGCCGCTCCAATCTTATCGAGAGTGACCAGCCCATAAGTATGGATGGCTTCCTCAACCTTTTTCCCGAGAAGACCACTAGGATCGCCGGTCGCCTGGGTGAAGTCGCTCGTCATCATCGCTAGCTTCCTCGTCTTCGTTGAATTCGCCCTCCCGCACGTCATGGCTCCCAAAGGCCGTTCTCTGCTGGCCGCTCTCGCTGTCTTTGGCAGCGGCAGTGTTGCGAATGCTGCCGGCGGTGTCGACTTGGGCTGGTACGCGCCTGCCAAGTCAGACGTCAACAATCTCACTGCCGTCATCAATGGCAAGGGCGTCTGGGGCTTCATTTACGACACCTCCGAGACCCCCGACGACAAATATGGGCAGTACAACTGGTGCAATATGCCCCATGTGCGCAAGACCGAGTATGTGAAGCCGTCGGATGAGTATGAGCTCAAATACGTGGAACTGGTAGATCTTGCCTTTCTTTTGTAAAATATCGATGGAACCCTCAATCGCTGACACCTCCAGGTTCATCGCCACCACAAGCGCACGCCTTACGCCTCCAACGCCTTCCCTGTGGAACCATACCAATGGAACTGCGACGAGCAAGGCCTCTTCTACTACGGCGAGCCCTTCGCCAGCAGCAACAAGCCGGCAAAGACGTACTGGAAGGTCTACATCTCTCCAGTCAACCCCTTCGTCCCTGCGGGCTGGATCGGCACCTGCCAATTCCCCCAGATTACCGCCCAGGGCCTGGACGACTCGTGGATCCACGGCGCCGACCTTTACGGCGTCTACCACGACCTGCTGGGCTTCCTCCCCTCCCGCGACTCCGTCAACTCCCCTGAGTGGCAGCGCAAGGTCCAGTACCGCGTCACCAACAACCAGATCACCAGCCAAGTTGCCGGCATGGTCGTCAACGGCATGTGGGCCACCACCGACTCCCTCCCGCTCAACATCCAGGCCGCTGGTGTCGACTCCCTCGAGCCGCAGTACACGTGCTCCGCCGGCTCCGCCCTCTTCAACCGCATCAAGTCCTCTTCGAACGCCGCCTGGGCACAGCACCTTGCCGCCGCCGGCCCGCTTTACGCGACACTCGACGATATCTCGGGCGTCCCTACAGATGATGCAGGCTTTCATGCCTCTCTTGACCACTACTACGATAACCTGTCCGCCCGGCAGTGTCACGACAAGCCTTTCCCCTGCAAGCTTGTCAACGGTGTCAACAGCACCACCTGTGTAACCCAGGACCTTGCTGATGCGGCCTACCGTCTGGGAAACTGGGAGTACTCTCAGATTTACCGTGATTCTCCCGACTCTCTTGCCGCCAGCGTCGCGACATGGGGTGTTTGGGTCGCCGAGCTCGCTACGCATCTCCGCGCTGTCGTCAAGGGAGAGAGCGAGACGATCTACTATCATAACGTGGCTCACGACGGCTCCGTCTCGCGGTTGCTCTCGATCTTGCAGCTCGACAACATGGTCTGGCCCGGCATGGGTTCCGAGGTCGTCTTCGAGCTGTACAAGAAGAAAGCTGCCGACGGCGAGAACCCCCCGGCGCCGACGTCTACGGTAGTTGCGCCGAGTTGTAGTCGTAACAACTGCCTACGCCAGATGATCCGCGAGTCTGCTTCAGCATCGACTTTCTGCCCGAGCTTGACTGCCACCGCGTCGTGGACCGAGCCTCTGCCTACCTGGGCGGCGAACTGCAACGGTGATGTCGCTGCTGTATCTTCAGCGTGCTCCTGCATCTACGCGCCTGCTACTGCCACTGCTACTGCGGCTGCCACAGCCACAACTGCACCCAGCTCTGGTGCTGGGGAGAGCGGTTGGTACGTGCGGGTGCTCTGGGGCGGCCAGGTCTTCAAGTCGTCCAACCCGACTTTGGGTCTTATGGACATGATTCCCGTTGAGACGCTACTGGCGTACTTCGACGGGCTGGTGGGAGAGAACGCCAGCCTCGTCAAGGGCAAGTGCAGCGCCTGAGAGTATATATATGATCTAATGACTGGAATGTACGAAGAGTTATCTTTACAAAATATGTATACATGTACATCGTCGCTATAATTCATAATGGTGTTTGGTCCTTGGCGACCCTCGCTCGCTCGTGTTGCAACACAACGTGAAAGCTATGATCTCGCATGCATCTAAGCCAACCCGCACTCCTTCTCAAGATCGTTCCAGCGCCCGTTGCGCATGGGATCCAGTTGACGCACTTTGGCCATCCACGTCTTGAGGTCGTCCGTCTCCTCGTCGTTGAGCGCGCGGCCTTCTACTCTCGGCAAGGCTCTCGTGTAGTCTAGCAACGCTTTGTAGATCCACATGATGTCGTCGTAATCTTCTAAAAGGTCCTTGATGTCTTCGATTTCGCGCTTCAAGTAGGCTGCCTTTTGTTCCTGCGGCAGATTCGGCGCAATCTTGGAACGGCCGTCCGATTCGGTCATATTCTGCACGAGGAAATGGTGGTAGAACCAGAGCGACTGGTCTTCCGGCCCGACATTTAGTGCTTCGCGGACGAGGTCGAGTTCTGTCCCATGTCAGTCCCGGCACCTTCGCCTCAAACAGGTCGCGCGTCATCTTACCGTCTTCCAAAAACTTCTGCCGTGCCCCGTCGTCGGCGCCGCGCTCCTCCAGCAGGCGGGGTATCAGGTTCGAGCGGCTGTGCCACGCGGAAAAGTTGGACAGGTCGACGTTGATCATCTTGGTCGTGTACTCGAACTCGTACTCGACGAGGCTGCTGCCGTCGAGCGCCGCGCTCTCCAGCGTCGCGACCACCTTCCGCCGGTAGCCCCAGGCGTGGAAGTTGCGGCGGTCCTTGGTCAGCATCTTGGACACGAGGCCGAGCTCCTCTTCCCATATGCGGCGGGCCACGGGCCGCGGGAGCAGGTCGATGGCTTGCTGGAGGAGCCAGGAGCGGTACTTCCAGATCCAGTAGCTTTTGGGGAACTCGAGGAGGAGAGGGATGGTGAACATGAGCTCGTTTTTGAGGGTCCCGACAACTTCCTCGGTGGAAGGCCCCTCCTTCCGTTCTGCCTCCGCCTCCGTCGTCGCGTCCCGAACTTCGGGCTCAGCTGTTGTACCACTCCTCCCACTCTCTTGGTCCGCTGGGGACGCGGGGCCGGGCCGGGTCGCTGCCGAGGAAGATGGCGACGCAGCGGCGGAGGACGGAGGCTGAGTGCATGCTGCTGAAGAACTCGCGGACGGCGCCGATGGCGACGGCCCAGGCGAGGGTCTTGATAATGATCCACAGGTTAGGCAGCGCCTGCGGACGTTCCATGCCGTATAGTGCTCCGGGTTGAGGCGCAGGAGCTTCGTCGTGAGGGCGAGGGTCGCGGCGGGGTCGAGGGGCTCGGTGGACGACGGGTTCGCGGCGCGCAGGAGGGCGTCCTCGACGGAGCGCAGGGTCTCGATCTTGACAAGGTCGGCTTGCAGCTGGGCTTCGCTTCGTGGTTTCCGGGCTGTGCGGGCGATGCCGTGCTGTTGTGCCGGTCGTCAGCGTGGGATGCCGTGGGGTTTGAGATATGTGTTGGAGATTTGAACTAGTAGCAGGTGCTGCGTGTTGGTGAGCACTTACGCTTTCCATGGGGATTTGAGGGGTGCTCCTCTGTGAGAGCGGGATAATCTGGCTTAAAGAGTGGGAAACACGAAAACCAACAAGGTCGATCAGGGTGGACGGAGAGACTCAAGAGCCCGCAGGATGGACTGGAGGAGGGCACCGGAAGCTCTGGGCGGCATAAAGCAGCTGATGCGGGAGCCGGTTCACATTGCGCGGAGCAGGGATTCCCCACCACTTGGGTCTCCCAAGGAGCATGTCATTTTAGCCAGTGGCCCGAGCTCCCTGCGAACCCGCGTTTCCGTCGTGCAACGTCGCGCCTTTCTTCTGCTTGCGAGTTTCCATCAACGGTTTTCAACTTGATCCCGCCACCGTGAGGAGTTTCTCAATGGTGGTCGCCCAGAATCTGGTGGACTGATGTGTCGTGTCTTGTTCCCACAGCCCAACACTGAAAAGTCTCAATGACCGGCCGGATGGGCAGTTTTGCAGCAAGACAGATGCAGCACCGGTTACTGTTTCTTCTCCTTTATAGATGTTTGATTGCATTCTCACGCGTTGTTTGTCTTTACTTTCGGATGTGGGTTACACATCTTGTCACCCCTAGAAAAGGTAGGTTGGAAGTCGCCCACGGCTGGGCAGACACATATTTGAACGCAACTTCCTGTCCTCTCGAGGGAAGGAATCAATGAGTTACGGCAGTTCCACCTGTATTCTATGTAGACAACACATTTACCTCTCCGCCACTTGATCTCTCTCCTACATTGTCTACCCATCCGCCCCTAGGTCGACCCCCTCCCCCCTAAGCCATGCATCGCTACATCCCTTACCGAGACTCGGAGACTCCCCTGTCCGACAAGATCCGGCTGAAAGCCTTGCGGCCGCCACCATCCCCGCCATCATCCCCGCCATTATCCATGCGCCCCATTATCTCCGTTGGACGTCCGTCGGTTTTGGCCCCTGTCACGCCGGAACCGCCAGTCAGAGCCCGAGCTGGTGGCCGGCGGGTGTCCACTCGGTTTTTCGGCCCTCGGCCGAAGGAGGAGGACGACCAGAGACGACACGAGGGGAGGCTCGCCGATGCGCTCAAGATCGACCAGACGGCCAAGGTCCTTCAAATAGGGCTCCCTTCACCCTCGAGCAGTCCCTCAAGGTCTCGGCCTACGCTTGAGACGGTAAGGACTCTAGGCAGCAACCTGCCTTCGGGACCCTACCGAGTGCTCCAGGCACCAGAGCTCGAAGACGACTACTACCGCTCCCTGCTGGCATACTCTCCGACCTGCAAATGCTTGGCCGTCGCCTTAGGCAACACGGTCTACAAATGGTCGGAACAGCATGATCCCCAGCCCGTCTACCGCGCGCCCCGTCAGCGACAAAATAGCTTGACGTCCCTTTCTTTCTCCTCTGAAGAGGGCGGCAAGGCCATTCTTGCCTTTGGCAGGAAGGACGGTTTCTTCGGTCTGCTGTCGTTCATTGACGAAATCCTACCCAGGTTCTAGTTTCACCACCCATTTCCAGTCGAATGCGTCAGCTAGCGGCCAACAGTGACGAAAAGACCATCCCAGAACCCCTTTAACCTGGGCGCCTTTGTGCCGACGGAAGACATACTCGTGGGGGACGGTCAGGGAAGCATTCTGTACTACATGGTCGAATGGCCCAGTCTGTGGGAAGTATCAAGGGACACTTGGTCTGGAAAGGTAACACCAATAGCCAAGATTGCGGTCCATACCTCACAGATATGTGCCCTTGTCTAGTCACCAAACGGACAGGAATTTGTGTCGGGAAGTAACGACAACACAGCCTGCTACTTCGAAATTGACTGGATGATGAGGAGTCGACAGAAGAAAGCCAGTTCGGCCATGATCCGCAGAAGCCGTCGCTCGATACAACAAAACGGCTTCTTCGAAAGAGATGCGGCATCTACAGAGCAGTCCGGACTCAGCCAATATCGACGAAGAGAAGGCGCAGAACAGCCGTTCAACCCCCTCCCGAGCGGCGAAACGATAGAGGTAGGCATGGCTGGAAGCATTACGCGAGCAACTCAAACATCCATGCAAGATCTTCGGCTGTTCGGGCATGGGACACAAACACACTGCTGGAGGCACGAAGCTGCAATCAAGGCCATCGCATTCTGTCCTTGGCAAGACGGGCTCATCGCAACCGGCGGCGGGTTAGGCGACAAGTGTATTCACTTCTTCCACATCGGAACCAGCACACCCTTGGCTACCATTGTTGTCGGGGCGCAAATCACTTCACTGATCTGGTCTACTACGAAGCGCGAGATCGCGGCCACATTCGGTTACAGCCATGGCTACGCGCAAACCGAACACCCATACCGCATTGTTGTCTTCAGCTGGCCGGATTGCCGACAGGTCGGCGCCGTAGCATGGCCGGGCGGTCCCAGGGCTTTGTGTGCCATCCCTTACCCCAGAGGACCAGCTGATGCGCAAAAAGGAAGCCGGACGGCGAAAGAAGGAACCATTGTAGTGGCATCGAGCGATGAGACTCTCAAGTTTCACGAAGTGTGGCGCGACCAGCCCAAGACAGCGATTAGTGGCGCCGTGGGGATACTTGGCAGCGACGTTCTCGAGGGCCTTGTTGGTATCGACAAGGAAGGGGATGTTATTCGATAAATATTTACGAGCGGAATGAGTTGCTAGCGCGAAGGCAGATATCAGTCATAGACAGAATGATACGCTTCACTACCTAAGTCTGTGTGATCCGTATAAGTCTTCAGTGCAATAAATCTGGAGGTTGCGGTGTCAAGGGCTGCGTATGCTGGATAACTGTTTAAAGATTTGCGAATAAAACAGTACTGTAGAAGAGCTCAGCGACATTCATCTTTTGCTATCTCTCCTGTGCCTCATCGTTACTGTTCCTGCCGGGCTCCATTCCTCCTAGTTCTTGTGAATCTAGTTGAAATGACGGATGCTAGGACCAGTAGGGGTAAGGGAATCAATGCAAAGGACGAAGTCTTGCGTGGATTCATTTGCCAGGCATGCAAAAGGTTACCTTGAGTAGATTGCTTTAGCAGTTAGAGACTATGTATTGCTACACTACTTCATTGGCCTTCTTTATTGATGTCTAGACAAATCGTGGAGGATGCCTCCCAGGCCCCCATTTATCTTGGCAATCCCGAGTATCCGAGAGCGCTACCCCAGGCTCCCCAGGTAGGTACTGCAGCGCAGACGCACTCTGCAAATAGGAACCGCCGCCGCTGCCTGCACCCAAAACGTAATCCACCTCACAGTCCTTCTCAGCGCATGTCTCACCCCCGTCCCGCCCGGCGCATGAACACGTCCAACCCGCAAATCTTCAGCCCTTCCGAACCATCCAGGAACAAAGTTCGCATATCGTCATTCCTCCGACCGAGTTCCTTTTTGTCGTCACCTCGTCCGCGACAGATAAAGTGGAATTGGAAAAGCCGCTAGACGTTTGATTTTAGCAATACTTCGCAACAAAGGGTCCTGGTTACTTCACATCCCGTCCACAATGTCCAACCTGAACCAGCTCTACCTCCTTGCCGACCACATCAAGCTATCCCTTCTCGAGCGCCAGCGCGCCCTGTCGCTTAACCTCGAAGCCGACACCCAGGACGGCCACATTTCCCGTTCGCTGGACCAGTTCAAAGATGGCTTGGAATTCCTAGACTCCGAGGCCAAGCGCCTCCAGGGTGCCGGCGATGAGAGGTGAGCTTCCCCCAGTGACATTTCGCCCTTGACGTCCAAAACACCATGCGACGTCATGTCGGATATGGCCCAGAGCGTCCAAGCACCAAAGCACTGCAACACCGTAATTACGCCAATAAACGGCCGGCTAACTGCAATCCAACAGCGCCGCCCTGAACATCACCGATTCCCTGCCTGCCCTCCAGAAGCAGTATTCCGAGCTCACCTCCCAGTTCCACGGCTTCTCGAACCCGTCCACGTCCTCAACCACAACCTCGCCCAACGACCCATCCCTTTCCCCGGACTTCGCCGCCGCCCAGTCCACGAAACCCCTCAAGGGCAGCCTCCGAGGTCTTCCCGGCTCTGCCTCCAACAACAAGACCGTCCGCTTCACCGACTCCCCCGGCGGCGGCGCGGCGGCGGCAGAAGACCCCGCGGCCGCGGCCCTCTTCGGTGAGGGCCGGTACCGCGACGACCCGGCCGACACGGCGGGGTACCGCGACCAGGCCGAGGGGCTCGACAATCAGCAGCTGCACGCGTACCACTCGCAGATCATGCGCGACCAGGACGACCACCTCGACCGGCTGGGCGAGTCCATCGGGCGGCAGAGGGAGCTGAGCATGCAGATCGGGGACGAGCTCGACTCGCACGTCGCCATGCTCGATGAGGTCGACGAGGTTGTGGACCGGCATCAAAGTCGGCTTGACCGGGCGCGGAGGTCGCTCGGGAAGGTCGCGCGGGATGCTGGGGAGAGCAAGCAGATGATTGCCATCATTGTGCTCATCATCATTCTTATTCTTCTGATTGCTGTCTTGAAATGAACAGGATCGGTGCGAGACGCACGGGAGAGAAATGGGAGAGAGAGTCTGTCGGATTTGACTGAAGGGGAAACGCAGCAGCGCAGGGGCAGTGATGACAGGCACTCCCGTTTGAAGACTCTGTTCCTCCGCCAGAAAGGCATGGGAGGTATATCTCGGTCGTCACCGATGTTTTTGTTTGTTTTGTTTTTGAGTCTATGGCGCATAGCATGGTTTGGCGTTCAGGAGTATTCTATCAAAGTCGTTCTTCACTCGCAGTCAGAGTTCTAGGATCGCATACACATGTTTGCACCTTTGGTCCCTTGAGAGCCAGCTTCACCCGAGCGACGTCAATTGTGTGCTACTTGGGAAATACAGCAGTCGAGTATTGCTCACAGCGGATCCCAGGCACAAACTTCAGCTTCGTACCTGACTTTGTAGTCTTTCGAAAACTTCTTTCGGGATCATGTACTGCCCGGCCTGTTTGACTTGGTTAACTTGCGGGAAAACAAGTGGAGAAGTGCGTGTTTTATCAGCTGACCTTGTCGCTCCTGACCTCCAACAAACGGGGCTCTTCCCCATCAAACTATCTCGGTCTATTAGTCTAGTTGGTTAGGACGTCGGATTCTGATTCACACCCAGAACCTTCCGTAAGCCCAGGTTCGAATCCTGGATGGACCTTTCCTTTTGCTCTATCATGCAACGATTGCCTCTGCAATAAACACTCTTTTTGAACTTGTCTGTCAGTATAATTTTACTCCTCTAATCTGTAAGTTTGTCTTGTCCTGCAAATTGTTTGTGGTGAGTTGAGCATCTGCAGGAATAGCACAACACAAAACGCAAAGAATACCACTTTTCTCATATTTGACTACTGATTATGCGTTCGCAATCTTGCTTACACCGAAATGAACAACATATGAACAGCGTGGGATGCATGGCCTATTGACACAAGTTTGGTTCGGCTCCAGGCTATCATACCTCAGCGAGAGTTGCTGACTGGTACTTCCAACAAGCCATTCCTGCAAGTCTGGTGATTTGTCACAATCATGTCATGGAGGGGGATCACGCGGCTCATAGCAAACGAACAAAACTTCACCACTACAAATTCACATCGGAGATTGCCAGCTTCCTTGGGATAACGTAACCGCGACTCGCAATGCGCTTGCTTTGTTGTCGGATTGCATGCTACTCAGTCAGTTAGTCAATGCCACCAACTCTGCCAACACGATCTCACCTCGTCTAAGTGATGCGGATGTTGGCGAGCTGATGGGTTGCTTAAAATGGCATCATCCTCCAACGCATGACTTCTATATCATTTTACATAAACATAGAAAAGACTTCATCGTTTTAGAGACTAAGATTTGGAAGATGGCACTCTTCCGCAGCTCCTCCGGCTTAGACGCCATACTCAGCCGTCCCGACGACACCTTGTGGGAGCGGTTGCGCTCGAACCCGCTGACGACGATCGCTAGATACCTGAACAACGCCTTTCCCGTTTCGTTCCCTACCAGAAGGCCCGAGATGAATACTGGCGACGGAGACGGCTCGGTGACGGTGGTCTGCATCTCGGACACGCACAACTCCCAACCACGCCTTCCATCTGGAGACATTCTCATCCACGCGGGCGACCTCACGGCGTCGGGCACGAAGGATGAGTTGCAGCGTGCGCTGAACTGGATCAAAGACAAGCCTCACAGATACAAGATTGTGGTCGCCGGGAACCACGATCTATGTCTCGATGAGAACTTTCCGACCTCTCAGAAAGGAAGGGTCCCCCCAGAGGCCGAGGCCGATCTAGACGAGGACAAGAAAGAGGTCGAAGGAAGAGGAGACGAACCTTTGGACTGGGGCGACATTATTTACCTCAACCACACCTCAGCCACCCTCAGACTCCCCAACCACCACCGTGAGATCCGCATCTACGGCAGCCCCTGTACCCCTCAACACGGCAACTGGGCATTTCAGTACCCGCGCTCCCTCCAGCCGGACCCATGGGCCGACACCGTGCCCCCGGCCACTGACATCCTCGTCACCCACGCGCCGCCAAAGGGTCACATGGACGACCCGCGCGGTAACTGGGGGTGCGAGTTCCTCTTGCGGGAAGTCTGGCGTACGCGGCCGCGGTTACATGTCTTCGGCCATGTCCACTGCGGACACGGGAGGGAGGCGGTTGCATTTGATGCCCTGCAGGAGGCGTATGAGGATGTTGTGCTGCGCGAGGCTGTTGCGAAGGAGAGTAGGGGGTTGAGGCCTTGGGTTGAAGGGTGGATGGCACTGGGGATGTGTTTTGCGGCTTGGGCTAGTGTGTGGTGGAACGGTGGGAGGAGGACAAAGGGAGAGACTGTTCTTGTGAACGCTGCCGTTGTAGGGGGCATCAAGGACCGGTTAGTGAGGGAAGCTATAGTTGTTAGGATATAGATGCAGTGAGGTGTTGATGATGAGGGCTGGCGTTCAGGGAGTCAGGAGACGGTATCGATAACAGAAGACCACCGATATGGGCCCTGAGGTATCGCGGCTGTAGCCAGCCATGGCCAGATCACGGGGGACTGTACACAATAAAACAAGAACTCGTACTTCCGGTTCGCCTAATGGGTTTGATGCCCTGAGTAGCTATCCTCAACTCAAACACCAGGAAAGGGAAGTGTACGCTGTTAGCTATCCAGGCCGGGCCAGGCCGGGTCGGACTCGAAATTCTTCGTTAGTGTTGCTACTTTCTCGTTGCTTATCCAGAGTATTAGCTTAAAGATACGAGGCTCCGAAGCAGGGGGCCAAGGGACCAGCAGAAGCCGAGAGGGAGGGACCGAGCACGAAGGTACCCAAACACCGGAAGATGTCATGTCTGAATATTCACTCGTTGCTGTACGAAACCAACACGGCAATATCACACACTTAGGAAACATCCTGTCATAGATCTGGGGGTATGCATAATTCCTTTCCGACAAGAGACTAGGTATTTGTGATATGGAACAGGCAAAAAGCAATCAGCAACGACTACGCCGACAAAACACCACCCTCTCCGCCGCCGGAAAATGGAAGAAAAAAGAACTTTCCCACCAGGAAATTCCACACAGAACTTCTTTTTTTAAGAGCCATCTTTCCCCCAACTGATTTCTCGCCAACAGCAATAGGAGTTATGGAGACGTAATCGAGAGTAGACTCGAGAGAGGAAAAACAGCAATAACAAGGCAAAGTCGACGGGATAACAACGTGAAACAGTGAGCCCAAGTTAGACAGTACTCGAGCGTGATATCGTACAGGTGGGTTGTAGGAACATGGACAACTTTGGCTGCCTCGATTAGCCTCTGCGAGTCTCGTTTGAAGGGCGGCAGCTTGCTGCCCTTCCTTGCTTCTCTTGGACAGCGGTAAGCGCCTCCTCTGGGCGCGCGCATCACCACCTGTACAGCAGACAAGTGGTCACGTCGCAGCCCGAGCCCATGCAGGAACTTGCCTGCCCTTCAGGTGGGCGTGATCGAGAAGAGGGGAAATCCAGATGCCAAACGAGAACGACTGAGTACCTGTGGCGGATATGGCTTCCCGCCTTACCGAACGACCGAAATGCTTGCCGAACACCCGCGTATGAACAGTCCTAAGATTCCAGAGCCAGAAAGCCAAGCACTAAGACGCCGCCATGCTGCATAATGATGACATAGAAAAGGCATTACTGAGTCTGCGTAGCCGGACTCGTATTAGAGCAAGATCGGATGTCCAGACAATTCCCAGTTCACGCCGGGTTGCCCTTCATCCTTTTTGCCATCCGCGGCGTAGGCGGCTTGCCCTTGTTCTGAACACCATTGACTTGAGGACCGCCTGGAGTCGGGGCCTGGGAGCCGTCCTCCTCCATCTTGACACCGGATGGGCGTCTTCGCTTGTTGGAAGCTGGAGACGTGTTTGCACTAGGTCCGCTGGAGCTGGTGCCTTGCTGGCTCTGCTGCATCTGCATTCCGGGTGCCTGCATATGACCTTGAGCAGGGCTGCCCTGGACATGAGGCGAGCCAGGCAGCTGCATGTGCGGCTGTGCTGGGCTCGCCCCCATAGGGAACTGACCAAAGCTGGGTGTCCTCGGGCCTTGAGGCATGGGCTGGCCATTCATGTTTTGCGGTGCGGCGTTGATCTGGCCGACGTACTGCTCCAGGGCAGCGTACGGGCCGAGGCTAGGGTGGGTGTGGTAAAAGGCGAATAGAGGGTTCATTTGGCCGATCACTTCAGCGATCTGCATGCCATCTTAGCACCAGAGATCCACATGCATGCATGGGGGCGCTATCACGTACCTCGAGGAATTGGAAGACGGCTTCGGTAACACCCATGCCCCTCTTGACTGCCGACTCCGGGAGATCCACCAGTGCTTCTGGCGGAGGATTTTGCGGAGACTTCATGGGACGGGCCTTACCCTTCTTGCTCATCTCCGGAGAAGCCTTGCTGTCTTGGGAGTTAACCTTGTGCCACTCCTTGACCCAGTTGTGTACAGGCTTCGCAGCTTCGATAGCGGCCTTTCGAGAAATATATTCTTCGTGGTTGCTGGTCAAGAACTCAAAGAGCTCGATCTTCTGCTCTGCATCAAAGTGCGCTCTAACAGTACCCGTTGCAACAAGCTATCACAGTATTAGGAAGTCTCTTGCCAATGGAAACAGGGTTAGCTTACGTGGGAACCGCTCTCAAACCAATAGACAAGGCTCGACTTGGTATTCTCGATCCAGTGGCCATCGCCTGGTAGTGGCCTGTCCGTAGTCCCCTTCTCCATAATCAACTGCATATTCTTCACACCACTGTCGAAGTGCGTGTGGAAGTATCGCGGGAGGGCGGGGTATGTGATTTCGTATTGCTTGTCCGCCTGGTCTTCGATGTCCGTAATATGTACGGAGTGGCGGAAAACACCCTTTGTAGAGAAGAATTGGTTGACGAAGCTGTTCCAGTAGGACAAGTCGTCCTTGCCCTTGGATCCCTGTGCGTTTATTAGTGAACTCATTCCGAACACGTGTTTCGAACGCTTAACTTACGGGAAAGCCGCTCAAGTGTTCGCTGAACTGCATGAGCTTGAGCAGGCAGTGTCCCTTCATCCCTTCCCTCCTTTGCTGAGCCAAAGCCATGCTGTTGGCAACGGCAGCCTGAGCTGCGGCCTGCTGCGCGGGGTTCATCTGTTGCGGTCCAGGTTGGGGAGCCATCTGAGGAGGGCCTTGAGGCTGGGCCTGTGCCTGAGGAGGCTGCGGCTGTTGATTCGGAGCAGGCCCCGGAGTCTGGGATGGCGTGGGCTGACCGGCAGATTGAGGGTTGACAGGCTGCGCGGATTGCTGTTGAGGAGTCTGATGAGGCGTCTGCTGGGGCTGGGGCTGAGGCTGTTGCGGCTGGCCCTGCGGCTGGCCCTGCTGTTGTTGCTGCTGCTGCTGCTGCTGCTGCTGCTGTTGAGCCTGTTGCTGCTGCTGTTGCTGCTGTTGAGCTTGCTGCTGAGCCTGCTGTTGTTGTTGCTGAGCTTGCTGCTGAGCCTGCTGTTGCTGTTGTTGCTGCTGCTGCTGCTGTTGCTGCTGTTGCTGTTGCTGTGCCTGCATCGAAGCAGCCATTTGGGCCTGCTGGATTTGCATGTGCTGGGGGTTCATCTGGACCGGCTGACCTTGCTGTTGGCCCTGTTGCATCTGCTGGTTCTGAACTGCTTGCTGTTGGAGAGCAATCTGCTGGGCGAGCATCGCTTGTGCCTGAGGGTTGTGTCCCTGTTACCGCCATGCATCAGTACTGTCACTACGGCGAAAGTAGACATGTCATATTTACCGGTCGCATGCCCTGCCGCATTGCTGCAAGTTGAGCCGCGTTCATGGGGTTCATCTGCATTCCCATCGGCATCCCATTGACGCCGGCCATGTTCGCGTTGAAGGCCTGTTGCGCCATAAGCGCTTGACGTGCCTGTTGCTGCTGCTGGAATAACCGCTGCTGCGCGAGCTGGGCATGCGCCATCGCGGCTGGGTTGTTGACTACGCGTATCCGTTAGTGAAGATACAGAGTAATTGGACCAGCGAAGGTGTCGACATACAGTTACCGAACTGGTTCTGCTGGAACATCGGGTTTTGGGCAGGATTCAGGTGCTGCAGAGCGTGAGCGTTCGGACCACCAGCACCCGGCGGCATGCCGCCCATCAACTGATTTGGATTAACCTGACCACCAGGCCCTGACACCGCCATATGCATCTGGTGAGGCATTCCTCCGCCCGGCGGGCCTTGCTGACCCGGGTTATGAGGCATCCCCTGGGCCATAGGGTGCCCGGGAACACCTGGATGTTGTTGCATGCCGGCAGGATGACCTGCAAACGACGGTCCCATACTCGTCATCATGTCTTCAGCGTGTCGATAATCCACAGTGTGGATATCGACGTCTCTTCCCTCGGCACTATCTCATGCGCCTGCGCCCTAGACGTGTTCGATCTCGATAGTATCGGCAATCGGCCGCGGCGGAATTGTTAGAATGTCGGGGTGATGGCGCGACGCGAGAACGAGGGTCGTGATTTGCGAGACGCGGGTAGTGGTTTCAATCGCGCGTTGGTGGTGCAGCGGTTTCGACTAGCGTTATCGATTGCGATAGTAGTCGTCTTTCTGGCGAAACGGCAGGGTCAACAAGTGAGGAGGGACCGCAAAGGCATAGATGATCGGCGTGACGACAACGTGGATATTTTGGGTAGGGGGAAGTCGGGATGCGATCGCAAACAAAATGAGCTGGAGGAAAGAGTAGGAGCGGGCAGATTGTTGGGTTGGTGCGACTAAAAGGAGCCCAGTGACGGGAGGAAAGTTGGCGTCGGTAAAGGGACGTGGCGAGCGGACGGGGGGGGAGAAAGGGAAGATGCGTTGTTGCGATCTCGAAAAAGGGTGGACACGACGCAAGACCGTGTTTGTGTGTATGTGTATGATGGTCGCACGATAGCGAAAGCGAGCGAACAAAGTGGGATTCCCTCGTAAGGTGGCCGGACGTGCTTCAATCGACGTATGTCGATGACATTCGGAGCGGTTGTTCGAAAGCCCAATTTTTGTTGCACACGTCGTAGCGCGGGCGAAAGAACAAGCCTTTGCGCGCCGCCTTGCTTAGGAAAAAGCGGGAGAGGGAGTTTTGGGGGTGCGAGGTGGGTGAGTGGTTGCGGTGCAGGCTGAGCAGGTAGGTTGGGCTTGAGGAAGGACGTAAAGACGCAAGCAACGGACCTGGGGGACCTGGGGACCTAAGCTCTGGGCTTCTGGGCTCTTTGCAGGCGGGCCGGCGATTTAGCAACACGATGGGCGAGACGAGTCCCGGAACCCCGATGCAACGAAATAAAAATAAAAAGTCGAGCCCAGGGGTGTTTGGGGGAGGATTGGGGAGAGAGAGAGAGAAAAGCCAGGCTCGATGTGGTGTTGCAGAGGAGGTTGCGGACGGTGAGGCGTCAAGTTGCGGCCAAATCCAAACCCTGAGGCCGATCAAGAGACACACACAGGCAAAAGAGAGGTAAGGTACGACAAGGCGGGACAAGGTCGAAAGAGGTCGAGAGCGAGACGGGAGAAAGCAGGGACAGAGAAGCACGAGGTGGGCGGGCGACCATGCCAGAATGTCAGGCTGGAGCGCCGGGGACCACCCTTTGCTTCGACCGGGGTGTGGGGATCATGTCGCTTAGTAGCATACGCCATGTAATTACGGAAGACCAACGCATGGATATGCCGGATTGAGGTGGCGGGAAGCTCCATAAGAAATGCGGGATATTCGCCTAAGCATAACGGAGAGTGGCTGCGATCAGCATTTCTATGCAACAAGCCAAACTTCTTCAGCAATATCCGTCCAGGGGTGAAGCAGTGTCGCAGGATAGCAGTGAAGCAGGAGGCAGGAGTCAGAGACGCCTCGTTTTGCTGCAACTCATCACTCCCTTACCTCCCATCCCGCCCTCCCACTTCACTGGGGACGCGAGACCGTGAGATGATAAATGGGTTTGCAAAAATGGCAACGCTGGAATCGCGTCGACCTGCCCATTCACTTGCTGGGTTTTTCGTCTGCCAATGGCCAGCACATCTTCGCCGAACCTCCCGGGGACGTGTTATCCTTCTATCTTCGTGCCCACGGCCTTCTTCCCCTTTGATCCACGTCTGGTGACATGAACCTTGAGGAGCTGGCCAATGAGATTGAAGCTACTTTTGGGAGGCGGGGATCGGCATCACGGCGAACAACTCCGAGCTTCTGGTCACGTGGCAGCATCCATCCTCTCCGGACCCGATCCAAACGACGGCAATCTCCAGAAACTCCAGTCACGTGCAGAGTGGGCCGTGCGAAGGTGCCAGAAAAAATCTTCCCAACTGTGTCTCCATTTTTTCCCTTCGTGAGCCTCATCTATAAAAACTGTTCCTCTGCACGTCAGGCCCTTTTCTTCACCACTTCTCGGCATCACACTCTGTCTCTCATCGACAGCAGGGCCGCGTCCTCTTCCCAGCTCGTTCGCATCCGCGACGTTCAAAAGCTTTAATCTAAGCTGTGCGGAAAGGACGCCGCGCCCTGCGATCGTGACGAGCAGAGCTGCTATCTACAAAATCGTCGACATACTCACTACTACCAGCTTCCAGCTTCGACACTCCAGGTAGGCCACTTTCCTCACTGTTCTCCCCCCAAATCCGAATGATGACACTCAAGAAACATTGTCTTCTTTTCCCAACCGAATCGACCATGAAGAAATCTAGTCTGTTCGGGTTCCCGTCAAGGCGAACCTGTTACTTGCCAGTATATTCTGTCTGACACATCACCTTCACATCTCATCAGCATCAAGCCATTTGGGAGCACTCGCTGACATGTGAATCAGATATCATGAATAATGACTGACCGTCATCTGCTATCACCGTGTCAACTAACACCTACAGCGACCCGGACGCTGCTACCATCACCAAAGGTTAGTCCACACATGTCTTTTTTGCCTTCCCATTCCCACCTCAACATGATGAAATTTCCACCCGAATTCGCAGTTTCCACTCGAGTCACAGCCTCGAGCCTTTGGCGGGCGCTTCTCCTTCGGGAGAGGGCGTCTTAAGTGACGGATGAGGGCTTAATTCTTCCTTGGATGTCTGATTTTTCCCACTCTTTGCTTGTTTTTACGATCCATTTTGGCGTGGAATCTTGTCTAACAAGCATCCAGGACTCGGAAAAACCAGCAGATAAATCTGCGCTGGCAGACATTGCCGCGTCTTCCTGGAGAATTAGAAATACATTCATTCAAAATGCTACACCTTGATTACCCCCGAGCATGTGACGTGACACCGTGACCGGTCCAAAATATGAATCTTTCATACGATATATGCGCCAACCTTTCGGTTGATCTAGTTCATCAAGTAACGCATTTTGCTTGTTGTACGCGTACGCATCTGACCTTGGAAGAAAAACCCCTCTCATCGGTCACTCTGAGACCAGAGTGACCAAGCCATTTGTTGAAAATATACATCAATTCACCTCAGCAAGTCCAAGCCCCAGGAACATGGCGTCAGATGCAAGCCCACAAACAAATACTTGCTTGAATAGTTTCAATTTGCAGTGTTTCCATCTATACAACAAGGCAAATCATGTCCGTGAGATGCCATCCCCTCTCCCCTCTCGACTCTTGCCAGACGAGTCAAAAACACCCCTTCGCTCTGCTCGTTGGTGTCCTGATAGATGCCTGCCTGCCGCCCATGAAAACGCCGTCACGGAGGCCGTAGCCATTCACCGCGTTACTTTTGCGTCGTCCAAAAAGACATGATACGTGCGAATCCCCCAGAAAAAAAACGCCCCGCCCCCCTTTCCTTTTTGCGCACGAAAGCCACCACCTCGGCATCTCCTCAAACGACGCGCAACCCTTCTCTGATAGATTCGGGAATCTCCCGCCGTCTACCGCCAACGATCCCCCTACGGTTCCTGCCCGTCCGGCCCCTGCCGAGCCAGTTGAGCTTCAGCAGCCGGCACAGTTCCTCCATCCGCCTGTTCCCCTCGTCGCTGCCGTCACCGGAGGTGCCACCGATGCTGGCGAGGATGCTCATACACTGCAGCATGCGCCCGACCATCTCGGTGACCTGCTTAGAGTCCTCGACGTTCTGCTCGCGCGTGAACGGCCGCAGCTGCCCGTCGCTCCCGCCGCTGGCGTAGCTGACGTTGCTGAGGCCGCGGCTGCGCCCGCCACCGCCGCCTCCCGCGCTGCCATCGCCCAGAAGCGTCGTCGCGTTGGAGTTGTAGCTCGCAACGGATGGGTCCAGGCTCATGGCTGTGCCGGGGCGCATCATGCTCATGGTGTCTGCGGGGCTGGAAGAAAGCGCTGGGTCCGGCAGCGGGGAGGCGAGGGCCAGAGAGGCGAACGAGGACGGGAGGAACTCAAGGGATAGTCGAGAGAAGATGGCCTTGAGTGAGTCGTAACGGGGGAGGATGACGATGTCTCGGTATGCCGTGAGGACAATGCGGCGCACGTCGAGGGCGGTGGATGCGGGGCTGACATATGGCGCGCTATCGGAAGACGGTGCCTTGACGCCGCCCCAGAAGTCGCGGGCTTGGTCGGCGTTCATGAGCACACCGCAGCCAGAGAATTCAAGGTCGAGGGGTAGGAAAACGGCTTGCATGTAGGGCAGGATGGAGGTATAGGTGATGAGCCACATCTCGACCAGAGCCGGGATGACTTTGTCCTCTTGCGTACGTCTGAGGGTCATATCCAAGGACGCAAAGCCAGTCGCAAGAAGCTCGCGCAAGTCCTCAAGGATGATGTTAGGCGACCTGCGCTGAATGCAGTATTGTATGTGCAGCGTGACCAATCGGTTGAAATCCTCCACCGGCTGTCGTAAATCCTCGCCCTCAAAGATGACGAGCATTTTCGCCTTCAAATACGGCCATGCATCGTCGAGCGCCATGCTGTTGAGACCGTACTTACCCGCGTCGATTGGTTCGGATAGATATGACGACTGGTGCGTCAAACTCGGTAGACTGCTTGGCCCTGGCCATTCTGAAGGGAGCGAACTTGACTCGACGCTGAGGTTGCTGGTCTCCTTTTCAGTCTTTTTGTCCCGCCGAGCCTTCCCAAACGACGTTGCAGTTGGGGCCGGACTAGGGGGTAAGTTGAAACTGTACAAACTCGAGGGGGCACTGGGGTCTGTGGGTTTCGAGTTGCTCGATGCGGAAGACAGCGGAAGATGGTAGTCATCCTTGAGCTTATGCTTCTGCCGTGATAGAAAATGATGCTTCTTTTCCTTTTCTTTCCCCTCCTTCTCCATAGTGGGTGTTTCGGGCACTGCGCGGATGGTGGCCGCAGACGAATTGTTGAGGTTGTAGATAGATTGACCGCTGGTATCAATCAGACTGCTTGTGCTGAAATTCCCTCGCTGTAACGAAGCAAGCGCGCTGCCGATCTTGCTTGGGCTAGGGAGCGGTTTGTCTTTAGGGTCGCCCTTGGTGCCGATCTTGACCGGGCGTGAGAAGAGCTTGACCTTGGACTTTTCTGGCTTGACCGGCTTCTGCTCCGGGACCAGCTGCGGGGAGGGGTGAACGGGACTGTGTTGCTGCTGCTGTTGTTGTTGATGTTGTTGCGGCGGCGGCAGCGGCGGCGGAGGCTGCTGCTGCTGCGATTGTGGCAAGCCTGGTGAAGTCTGCCCCGATCGCGGGAACGCTGCGTTCGCGGCTGTGGTCGCGGCGGCCGAATGGTTTCCCAGAAGGCCGTTGTGGTATCCTTGATTCCCAAAACCGCTCTCCCGTGGACCGCTTGCCTCGGTCAGGCTTAGCATAGGCGGGCTGAGTGGGCCCTTTCCGCTGCTTCCCCTCCTCACGTTGTCGCCGTCTCCGTTCGGGTTGGGGACAGTCTGCGATCGCTGTCGGGCGTGCTGCAGCTGCTGATGTTGCTGGTTGTTCTGGTGCTGAAAGGCCGCCTGTGCCGCGATGTGACTCGCCGAAAGGGCAGGGCTCGGGTGTCGGTGCTGCTGTTGTTGTGTAGAAGACGAGTTGGCGGACGGGTGTGACATGCCCACGTGGGACAGATTCGACGTGCTCGTCGACGGCAGCGTCGAGTCGAAAAGACCGGGTGTCTGACTGTGTTTCCTCGAGTGCCCTTTTGTCAAGGGACTCGCTGTGCGGGCAGCAGCGGCTGCGCTCACACTCACGCTCAGATCGTTTCCTCCTCCTGAGCCGTGACCTACTGGTCCTCCGGGCGTAGTTCCCGACCGCTGAGCAGTCGGGCGCGAAAAGTTCTGCAGACTTGCGGTGCTCGAGTTGGCCTGGGACGTAAACTGAGCATAGATCGGGGTCCCAGAAGAAGGTTGTGTGGGCGCGCTCGGAGCGTGAGTTCGCGGCTTGACGAAATTGATCGAGATGCTCTCTTCGCTGGACGACGACTCGGCGCGGGCAGGCGGTCGTGGACGTTGCGGCGGCGGTGCGTTGGAAGCTGTAGAGCCCGGCAGAGGGCTAAAGCTGCCCGGCGCCCGCGGCGGGGGTCGTGCTGGTTGCATTGTCGAGGATGTGTTAGGGGTCTGTTACATCTTGGAGCTTCGGACGATTCGAGATCGGGTGAAGAAGGTCTGTCTGTCCGAAGGGTTTGTTCTGTCTGGTTGCGTGGCCGTGTGTGGGAAACGGTCGACGAGTGCAAGGGTAGGTGTTGATGGTTGTTCGTCCGGTTGGGAAGGGGCCGCTCTAAAATGGTGGGATTGTGTTCAAAGGGAAGTTGGGAGAATTGGTGATGTAAGAAGGCCGAGAAAATACGAGGTGAGGGAGGGAATAGGCTGGTTATGGGAGAGTGAAGTGGATTGCGCCTCAAGGGCCGACCGAGTGTTAGTTAGACGAGAGGACAGGATCAGCATCAATGCCCCCCCCCCTCGCAGTCTATGTAAGCATGTTTGCCTACCTTGCACACACCGTCTACACATGTCTTATCTATCGGTCTTCAGCCGCATACCAACCGAAGATAGCACTCCGCGGATGCGGCTTTCCATCGGTTTGGGTTGCGGAGGAAGCCGACGGATGATGTTCGTTTGCGGTCAGCGACCGAGGCCAATTCACCATTCAGCGTCACCCATTCACAGAGAACAACCAGGCTCCTTGTGGCGCCCGCTCTGTCGTAGTACCATGCATGGCCTGAACCTGAACCAAGGAACAGTATCCCGTCCCAGATGCCTGTACTTTTGATGAGTTTCCATCCTCCCCGCCCACCCGTAGTGCACAAGTACCAGCCCCCCGTTCCCACTGACGCGCCGCGGGTTGCGACCCTGGCCTGCGTTGGGCTGGAGCGTGGGCTGGGCTAGTGTAATCAACCCCGCAGTTGTCCCGAAGTCCCATCTTCAGCGGAACATTACTGCGGCCCTCAAGTCAACTGGAATGGAGGGGCGACGGCTTTCTTCCAAGCCAAACCCGACAAGCCACACCCACCCAATTTCCGTCATAATTATTATTTTTTCCCTCTCTTCCAACGACACACAGAACGGCCATACAGAACGGACAGTTTCCTTGTTTTCTAACCCCGCGTCTCTCCATCCGATCTACGAAATCCTGATAGACTACTCCGACCATGACAAACACCAACGGCACCGCGGCCTCGGCCCCGGTCTTCCATTTCTCGGCCACCTACAAGTCTCCCACCAACGAGCCTTTCAGCTTCTCCGAGTCTCTGTCAGCCCCCGCGACCTCCAGCGCCAGCGACAAGGCGATCTACCTCAACGCCCTACGCAAGTCTATCAACGCCGCCCAGGAGGACATAAACAAAGAGCTCACCGCGCGCATGGAAGAGGACAAAGCTAAGGAGGCCACCAGGAACGGCGCTGCCCCCAAGTCCATCGTGGACGAAGCACTTGAGGAGGAGAACTACGGCGAGGAGGCACCTCCCAATGATGACTGAGCGACAATAAGTAACGCCTCCCTTCAGAGCGCCATCGTACATTCTTGCCACCTATATACGGGGGTATTGCTGTATCATGCTGCCGCTCCCTACCCAAGGCTATGCAATTACCAATATGTACGATGAAAAACAACACCGACACCTTCGCACAAAGACACCAGGACCCCCTTGATCACGAAAACCTTCGAGCCCAACTCCCCGCCCGTGAGCTGTGCGGCCTCTGCGACGATGCCTTGTTGAGGCAGGCATAATGGACGACGTTGTTATCTGGCAAAACCGACACCACGCTGCCGCCGAGTCTCTTGTGGCATACGCCGCAGAGGCGTTCCTCCGTAATTACTACCCTTCTGTTGCGGCCACCCTGCCCACCAGGGATACTATCACCAAGAAGCAGCAGGGCTTGTGTAGACACCAACTCCGTGTCTCGCAGCCGAGCCACGATGCGCGACTCGTTTACGACGCTGTTAGCTGACCGAATTCTGCCACGGAAGTATGACTCCAGATCACGGACGGGAAGGTCATCGGGAATCAAAGAAAGTGTCGAAGCTGCTGGTAGACGCGACCCGTGTCTTGAGAGCAGCTCGAGAGCCGGCTCGTGGGCTGGTTTGTGAGGCGGAGGTGGCGTGAGGTACAATGAAAGAAGCGTGTGGTAAATCGACGGGGATGAATCTTCTGGGTCACCCGCTGACGACGGCCGCCGCGACTGATCCGGAGATGAAGGCCTAGAGTCTTTAGACTTGTGTACCTGGTTGCAATACCTACGCAAGTTAGCTCGCATCCAGTTTCTCAAGTGAATCAAACCCACTCTTCTGCTTTGGCGTAATTCTTCATCTTGAACACGTATATCTCCAGAGCCTGCTTGTGCGAGCCCATGCTACTCAGAACAATGGCCTGAGCTTCGTAAAAGGCGGGATCTACCAAAGGTTAGATATCTCAATACCAACTATGGGAGCGAGTGTATAGTACCATCGCGTGGGATGAGACTGAATGCCTTGATGAGGCTGTACTGGCTGCTGGTTTTGAGGAAACGCACGAAGCGGCTCATTTCTGCCTCCCATTCGTCATCCCGCTTCTTGTCTTTCAATTGTTTGATGAAGAGTTCGACCAGACGGTTGTGGAATTCCGGTGTCGATTCGTCGAGCTCGCTGATGATATGTTCCAGGTATTGAACCTCCAGGCTAGCATCAATTCCTCCAAGGAAGCGTGCGACCCGACCACGAGGCAAGGTCTCGGCGTTCTCGGAGTCGGCAATGAAAATCTCCATGGCCAATTTTGGGTCTGCTCTTAGAGCCCATTCAGAGTATTGCAAAATGAGGTCGATTTCGGACGGTGGTAACGCCTGCAGATAGGTCACAGTCCGCTGAGGACCGTGTAGGCCCGGAGCGGCTTCGTCGGGTCCCTGGGCAGTTCCAAAGCGTTTGAGGAGTTCCAGTGCCTGAGAGTGAAGCTTCTTGCCACTAAAGAAGTCTACCAGCTCGTTGTATCGACTGTGAGCGAGTAGCGCTTCGTTGACAACATCTGGATCGCAGAAGTTCGGAAGGCGAAATAGTGGACCAGCCAGGGAGGGGCTGGTCATCATGTAACTTCGGAACAAAGCTGTGTCGACGATCCTCGAAGTCCTTCGGATCTCTCCCTCAAGCTGGCTGCTCGATTCTTCGAAGTGTGATCCCGACATGAAACTTTTCATTGCCTCTTCAGTAGATCCGTTTGTGTCCGATCTCTTCAGCTTGCCAGTACTCGGATCAATGACCCGTTGCAAGCGTGTTCTTGTTCCAACAAGGTAGCCAGCTAAAGACCTGACAGCGTCCCGGAGGTCGTCCCCTTCAAGAGGTTGATTATCATCAGGCTTCTTTCGAGTACTGCCGGTCTCCTCGACATCTACCGTGTCCTTCTTAGACATTATCGAGACGGCGTCTGATTGCGGTGCCTTTCGGTGTCCCATGAACAGCTTGGCAAAGCCAACGCCCCCTTTCGCGGGTGACGTAGGGGTTGCTGATGTATCCTCTTTGACAGACTTCTCGCCGTTTGCCTTCTCCTGAGACTCGTCTTCCTGTTCCTTCTCGTCACTGCTTGATTCATCTGGTTGCGCACCGTGCGCCCAGCCAGACATCTCTCCAGCGATGGAAGGCGGGAAAAGTTTCAAGACTCGCTCAGGCGGCGCATGAACGTCATCTTCGTTGAAAAGGTCCATGGAATCGTAGTACTTCTTTTGCTTGAAAAGAGATTCGGCCTTCAACATCTTGACTTCCCGAAGAGTCTCTTTCTTGTTCTGAAGCAGAGCGTCCTCTAGCATGTTCAAAATGCTGACGGCCTCATCGTATTTGCCCTTTTCCACCAGTTCGTCGATTTGCGAGTCATAATCGGTAGCACCCATCTTCCACACACATCGGTCACTAGATATATGAAATCCCTTGCCCGCATGGGCAAGACTGACGTTAGGGGGCGGAAAATGTAGTTGCGCCGCGCCCGGGAGCGAAATGGTCTGCAGCAGATGCAGAGTCTCCGGGTTCCTCACTTCAAGGGAGCCCTTGGATGGAGGTTGTAATGCCAGGATATAAGGGTAAGAATATCCGATCTGTTCAGGAGCCGATTGCCATGGGATTTGTCGTTTTTCAACCGGTTTGCCTTCGTCGGTGATGAACATAGAGTTGATGTCCTTGGCAAGTAGTAGCTCCCCTTCAGCCAACTTTGCAGCAAGCGGCTTGGGCATGTATCCTCCAAGACCCATATACCCCATGCCCGCACTGCTGACAGCTCCAAACCGACTGACTTGTCCGCCCGATGCAGCAGAGCCGGGACTATTGATGTCTTCGACCTCGTGGGTAACCACATCGACCATCACGTATCCAGCGTTCATTCCACAGACAATCTTTGTCGCACTGGCCCATGTCACGGTCCGTATCGATTCCGGCAGCATGACTTCTCCCACGTCGGCGCCCAGCTCGCTTTCGTGCCAGCTCCATAGTAGCAGCCGGCGACGGACTGCCACCGCCAAGCGGCTAATGATCTCTGGTATTCCGGTGGCTACATCCTTGACAATATTTGATGTTACAGCGAAGCATGTTGCATTCTTGGTTCGCGATAGGGTCTCGAGAAGCTCGTAGGTCCCGAGGTCATGTAACGATACGTAGTAGTTCGACAGCGAGACAAGCGTGTTGGCCTCTTTAATGACGGCGAGCTGTTCGATTGCTCTGTTCGAGAACTTGTCAACTTCGCGTAGCAGATCTGTGGGTTTCTTGGACTGTTGGGCGGCTCGGGTTCATCGGTTGCTTCCGGTGGACTCGTTGCGGCCGGCTGAGAGCCGTTGGCCTTGGTCGGTGATGGAGGCGGTAGCTCGTTTACTCGGTAGATACGAAGGACACCATTATTGAGGCCGACGAACACGCGATCGCCTGGGGGAACTCGTTAGCTGGAGCAGTTTCTGTGGAAGGTTAGTAGTTTTTGATACGCACCATGCGCGAGGATTGTCTCGATCTTGGACTTTACCCCCGGCTTTAGCTCAATGATGGGCCGAGCTGTAAATGCTGAAAGCATGGCGACTGCCAGCCCGCAAGGCGAATATATTATACGTTCAGTAAACCCTCATCTGGAGGGGAATTCGTAAGGAGTGCGCCGAGTCGTCACAGCAGTCAGTGTGCGATCATGACGGCGCGTGGGAGAGGTTGTTGAGCTTTAAGCGTCGGTTCGGGTATGGCTGGGCGAAGGTGCGCCGCCTTAGCGGTACGTCAGGACGAAGTACCCACAAGGGAGCCGATGACCTCTTCCTCATCCAAATGGGTACTAGCGCCTCTGCCACCCTTCCGCTTGAAGCAGCCCGTCTCCACCTCCTTCAACCTGGTCTACTAACAGGAGTTGATTGGCCGGCGAAGTCCCGGGATTAACATTACATTGACTTCACATGCATTGCGGCAGCTTACTTTCGACTTCAACACATGTTGCAATGGCTCTGCCTGATCCTGCCAATTCGTTCATAGTTTGGAATAGGCCATAGAGAGTGTGTATGACCTTTTGAGTAAACGCTTCACTGTACCATTCTAATGCTTACTCCAATCTACATATTGAACAATCAAGAACGAAGTAAAGAAAAGACCCAGTGTCCTATATGAACAGGTCCGTCTATGCTATTAATCCAAAACAGTATCTCCGTGAGCTTGCGCTTCTTCCATAATGCAACAAAGTCAATAAAAAGCATGATAAATTCAAGGCATGAAACGGGATCCGTGCGCGTACTATCGTGAACGAGAGCTTGTGGCAGACATCTCTCAGTCTAGCCCAGCCACTCTCATGAGACCATAACCCAGAGTTACCACAACAATTAGAGTGAGGATACTGCTGGGCACACCTCGGCTGATAAAGTGCTTCACATTGAGATATCTCTGACCCGTCGAGTCCTCCTTCATGATAGCAGCTACAAAGATGTTAGTTGATGGCTCGTATCAGTTCGGGGGACGACTTACTCATGTTCGGGAAACCACTTGTTGGTAGCCCCATGGCGGCACTGCACATAAGGACTCCGCCCATGACCAGCAGGTTGGGATGAGGTTCGTCCATGTTGTAACCGACGTCATACACCAACGGCAGGATGATAAGAGCTGCAACAGTGTGGCTGATAAACGTAGCGATGACAAGGATGAGCGCCGAGAAGACGACAAGGACGACGTAAAGGCTCATTCCCTCAACTTCCTTAGTAACCATGCCAGCAACGGTATGCAGAAGACCCGATGACTTGACAGCTTTGCCCAGAGACAAACCTCCGGCAGCAAGGATGATGATGGTCCATGGGAAGTTGTTGAAGTCTTCTTTGGTCAGGATACCGATACCGAAGAAGAGAACGATGGGAATGATGGCGATGACGCCCATGTCGCCGAAGATGGACTCCATTTGATGGCTTGCGCACCACAGTCCGATCGTGACCAGCGTCACAATGGAAACAAACCATTGGATGCCGGTGAACTTTTCCTTGACAGGGCGGATCGGGGAGATGGTAGTTCCCTTGCTCGGTTGGAAAGTAATCAACAATAACACCCAGATGATGAGCAAAGAAATGATGCCAACTGGAATGACAATGAAAAACCACTGGATCCAAGTAGGCGCCGGCGTCATGATACCGATAGCGACGACGTTCTGCGGCGAAGCAATGGGTGAGAGCATACCGCCAATATTGGAGGCAAGTGCAATGCCCATGATGACAGCCTTGGACATGTTGGACTCAGAAGGCAGAGTTCGCAGCATCGGCTAGAGTCTTGTGTTAATTTGAGGCACAGTCGGGGTTCATCAGACGGATACTGACCTCGATAATGGAAAAGCAAAGCACTGGCGCAGCGACGTTACTGATCAACATACTGGCGAAAGCAGCGACAAGCATGTTGGCAATGAGGACAGTGCGTGGAGTGGTGCCTGCTTTGCTGAGAACGAAGGTTGCAAGACGCTTGTCGATCTTGCATTTTGACAGAGCAGCCGCAAGCGTAAAGCCGCCTAGCAGGAGCATGATGACGGGCGTCCACATGGCTGAGAAGATGTAGGCTGTGGTAGCCTTTGCGTCAAGTCTCTTGTGAGGCTTGTCGTCGGAGCGAACAACAGTCAAAACAACACATAGGAAGGGTATCATGAGTGACGTAACGAACAGCGGGATAGCCTGTACATAAGTTAGCAACTTGTTTTACCAGTATGCATGGAAACTGACCTCAGTAGCCCAAAGGATGCTGACAAACACTAGCAAAGCCAAGCAGTTCTGTTGCTCGGGTTTTTCCATGATGGGCAGGAAAATGAGCAGGAGGAAGGCGGTAACAGCGAGCAGAAGGGTAAGCAGAGGCGTACTGGCGACCCATGTTGGCACGATGAGACGGCCAATCGGGGTGACGACCTCCTTGGTTATTGGGGCAAGTTCATCATCACCCTGAAGTCTCCTCGAGCCGGTCGCTCCATCTCTGCCCAGAAGCGTTCTTCCTAAGCTGGCAGCCTCTGCGCGACGCTCCATTCCGATCATGTCTCGCCAGACAGTATTGCGCTCCCAAACGACATGCTCCCGGAGGTGAGACCTGAGATCGCGCTTGGCAAGTGCTTCGTCGCCATTCGTGACAACCTGGGCGTAAGCCTTTTCCATCTTGGAAATGTTCTCCTCGATCGTCTTGATATTTTCCTCACTGAATGGGTACGCTGAGTCGACGTTGGCGCTCATATACTTGACTCGCAGCTCCTTGTCCAAAATCTTGTCGAATTTCTTCAAAACCTTTCTGAAACCTGTCCTGTTCAGCTGCACGTATGACTTGAGCTCGCACAGCGAAACGTAAAGGCTGATGATCCGCTTCTTGAGCATGATGCCTGAGGAGTACAGGAAAGACTGATCCGGCATCTCGTCCTGCGTGGTGCTGTAGCGCCGCAGTGATCTTGCCAACGTCAACTCGGTCGATGCCGTCATGTCTGTTGTCGACTGCCCAAGATTCGGTACCGTTTTACGTCTGCCGCCGCCAAAACTGGAGCGACTTTTCGTCAGTCCTGTTGTTTCGTCATCGTCCTCGTCATCGTCGCTGTCTTCAGCGTTGCCGTCGACGGACACCGAAGTCCGTCTGCCGTTAGACCCCGACAGTCCCGGGCGGGATGCGCTGCCAAATGACCGTCTAGGCCCGCCATCAATCTCGTCGTCCTCGGAAGAATGGTTACCAACGTCACCCAGCAGCTGATTGACCTCGTCGAGAAGCTCGCGCTCCTTGGAAACATAGAAGGAGCAGATCTTCTCCAACTCGACGCCAAGCGCACGGCTGAAAACTTCTTCGGGATCTTCGTTTCGGATAAGGGGTCTCGATTCGGCATCACCTGAGGAGGTTTGGTGGATAGTCTTCTCGAGCTGGTAAATCCTAATAGCGCAGCATTAGCTATCGAGATGCCCACAGCACCACCTAGGCGCATTGCTGACTCACAGCTTCTTGAGATTGCTGTAGGCGATATAATGACTGCTCCAGTCTGGAACAGCATTGAACTGAATGCTGTGTGAGAACTTCATGTCGTCCTGCTCATCAAGCCACCGTTTTTTCCAAAGTCTTTTCTGTTGTAGTTGGGCCTCTCGATCCTCGGTTGACTTCCGTGCAGTGATGTGGTTGTAGTCCGCAAGCTCGTAGCTCTCAGTCTGAGCAACAGTGGAGTTGCTATTGTTGGTGGAGCCCCCTCCCCGTTCCCCTAAGGCTGCCGACGGCTGATCGAGGTCAATTAGGACTGGTGGGCTTGCAGCGTCTCCTTGGTGGGTAGAGGAGGGATTGCGGAGATCTCTTAGGGGCGTTATGGTGGCGGAAGGTCGCGTGCGACTTCTTATCGGCGAGTATCGTGATGTGCTTCAAAGGCTCGAAATGCTATTCAAGCTACCGCGATAGCATCCCGCGGTTTCTTGGTGGCTGCAACACGTGGGGAAAGCGTTGGTCGTCCTGTTTCCCAGCTTGTTGAACGAACCGCGTGACGAAGTAATTGGTTTCATTTGGGATTAGCGTAATCCAGCTCCGCGGTGCCACGTCCAATGCGATTAGTGTCGATACCATTGGCCATCCGCCGCTCGGATGGAGCAGGAAAAAATCTCCACAACCACCGCAGTGAATTACGTAAGACAGTGACACAACCAGATTTGATAGACGCATAAGCCCGACTATTCGATACAGCTAGTTAATAGTGAAACCATTTTGCTTAAAGCCATATAGCCATCAGGACCCGAAATGTTCGCCTTCTTTACTTTGTTGTCTCGAACCACCTTCAATATGTATTGACGTTGTTGTGACCCATAATCATTTTTAACTTATTCCTGATGTACATCCTTTGATACTATATGAAATCGATTTCTTCCGTCCCTTTTATCCTCCTATAGTACATAGTCAAATGTCTGCTCCCAACCTAGGGATGTATCATGTATGATTCCACACGACAGCGTCTCTCTGCCTTTCGGTATCCAAAGTTCACACGGGTTTATAGTAAAAACACCGACTCTTGGTTTAAAAAACCATAGCTTACGACAAATCACGAAGTCTCGCCCGGAACTCCTCGCATCTGTACTGCAACCAAAGCACAAACGGCACGGTCAAGAGAGCTGCAGCAGTTATGAGCCATTTTGCGCTGTTGTTGCTGGTGAGGGTTTCGAAAGCATGCTCCAAAAGCGGAAAAAATGCCCCAGAATGGTATCTGAGAATAGCAAGCGAAGCACTTGATGCCACAGCATGCTGCGGTGAGAGATCAGTGATATACACAGCTGATGCCATCTGCAGTAACACTCATGTTAGCCTGTGGCATTTATCACGGCAACCCTGGCTTTTAATTCCCAACGCTCATCTTTGAATAACGCACACGTCATCATAAGACAGGATCCGAGTGATGACTCACTGTTATGGCGAATAGTCCACTGCCGATCAGGAAGTTTCCAACCAGCGGCAACAGGTAGGACATTTCGGGCCGGGCCGCCATGTTGTAGATGATCAAACCGACCACAACAAGGATGGCCGCTCCATTGAGCAATGGGAGACGATGCTCGGGCAAACTTTCTCCATTCCGTGCCAGCCTCTTCACAATCACGTCGGTGAAGAAGCCAAAGATGATTAGACCGGTGAACATACCCACACCCATCCCCGCGAAGGCCAACCCAGCCTCTGCCGTGGTGAAAGAGTACACCGTTTTATATGTCATCGGAACGTCAATGTACAGCCATACCTGGAGGCCGTAGAAGAACGAAGTTACCATGATAGCCGGAAGGATGCTTAGTTCAAAGGGCGAATCGCAGCCTTGTAGAGCATGCTTCTCAAGGGCTGCTTCGAAGCGATGATCTTTTCGGCGCTGATCTGACCGTCAGCGTCAACCATTCCACCCATCTCACCCCTTGCGGCATGCTTTCGCCGAAGGACAGGCAGATATGTCTCGCACATGAACTGGTAGGTCAAAAGGACACTGATCAACCCCTACGTTGTCTCGTTAGCATGCGGCCTATAATAGGCGAAAGCCGACCTGCGCATAGGACTAAAGAGCGGTAAAACCCGCATGCCTGATTTGCGGCCTCTCGAGGCTACCATCATGTCTAACGCAAACCATGCGCAAGACAGACGGTATTGGCAAGAAGGAGAATCTTACCATGAAAACCAGGAATCCGAAGCAACCTCTCCATCCCCAGGCCTGTGCAACAATACTTCCTAAAGCCGACCCTACTGCAGGGCTGCAGACGCTGCCAAACGCCATAACCGACATGGCCCGGGCACGCTTCTCCTTAGCCATAATATCTGTTGCCGTCCCAACACCTTGAGTTCTCGGGCTCGCCCCAGCGCATCCAGCTAGGAAACGGAAGAAGACCAGCCACTCGGCTGACGGAGCGACCATACAGGCCAAGTTGCATAGCGTCAGAAGCACATTGCAAGTCTGATACACCGGGTTCTTGCCGAAAGTGTCGCTCAACGGAGCAAGCAGCAGTGGTCCAGCAGAAAACCCGAGAACGTAGGCCGAGACAGTCAGATCCGCCAGTGTGGGGTTGTCTTCGATCTTGAAATCCCCAATCACTTGATCCAGGGCGGGCGTGTAGACAGCAGATGCCAATGGCCTGTGAACAGAAGGAAAACCTGTTAGCGTCAAGGTCGGCGGCAACGGTGCGACGCCCAGAGGCGTCACTACACATGAAAGCCAATGAAAGCCATGCGGTAGTACTCACGTGACGCAGGTTATGAAGGCCACTACAAACACATGCATCCATTTCTTCCTGGACGGCCACAGTATTGGATCGAAGGGTTCGAGCCGGTCCAATTGGGATGTCTCCGGCATAAGATGGGGATCTGCAGTTGCTGCTACGTCGTCGCTCTCCGGCTCCAGGAAGCAGGCAACTTCTTCTGGGTTTTTATCGTCCGATGAGCGCCAATTCGAACTCTCGCCAGGTTCTTTCTCCAGAAGCCGCGGGTTTTGTTGAACATTGCTCTCGTTGTCGTGAATTTTGTGACTTGAGGGTTCGGATGTGACTCGCGTGCGTTCGTTTCGCGAGAGCTTGCTGACCTTTGCCTTTGAACAAAATGTGATGGGTGGGCAGGAAGTCTTATGACAACATAAGTTCGGACAAATCTTGTATGTGAAGACTCGGCGGTGACAATCTGTTAGCATTCTATGTCTGCAGGCTGCCTCGCTGTTCTTTCATCGAGTCAAACTGAGGAGAAAGAAGGAGCACCAGGGAGCCCCCAGATTGCCATCTTGCTGGAGGAAATGCGGCCTGTTCGGACCTTATGGGAGTCCCCGGCCTTGAGAAGCGTATCAGTTTTGGCTCTCAGCGTTACATAGGTAATGCGCAGAAACGTTAATCTCGAGCTTGGAAAGTGGTCTTAGTTTTGCCAATGCACCATCGCGTAAAGTCGGTGAAGACTGCTTTCTCTTGGTTTTACATATTGAAGACCAATATGGACATCAATATGAAGACCATGCCCTCGACATAGTATCAACGAAGCTGCATTCTGCAACCTTCGGTCGCCAGGGCCTTATGCATTGATGCTCTATACAGAGTTACGATACGCCCGCATACCTGCTTCAGGAATTAGGTGTACGGTTGCCCTTTTATAATAGCAGACTTGGGGTCAGAGGAGAGCAAACCTTAACGAAAAATAAAGAAATGCACTCAAACGCCGTTTTAGTTGATTAAGATTGAATACGAGAAGAATCCCCGCTGCTGTGGTACGAGGAATGGCTCATGTACGTCTCACAGCCAAGCAGGCCATAGACTCTTTTTGTAAGACGTCGTGACAATTCCGGGATAGTTGCCGGCGACAGCAAGCTCCTCACCTACACCGAGCTAGGATATCCACCTCGGCCATAGTACTTTTGAGGATCTGGCCCGGCCTTCCCTCGGGCTCCCGCGATGATGAAGGATCCAGAGAGAGCCTCAGACCCCTTGGAGCCGGTTGTAGACCTTGGAAAAAACTGCGCGACGAATAACGGTGACGAGGTGATTGTTACACTGAACCAAGACGAGAAGGAATATCGTAGCTACTTCGACGGGACCACTACGCTGATCACAGGGGGTGAAGCGATTCTTATTCCTACTCCAAGCAAGGACCCAAGAGGTGTGTCAGGACTTCATCCACCGAGACTAAAGAATGGTGATTATATGTTTTCCGAGATGTGCGAGTAGGAAGGCTCACAGTTGCTGTAGACCCTCTCAACCTTCCCGGATGGCACAAGAAAATCATAGTAGGCATCATCGTGTTGTGTAAGTCTTCGACCGTCAAAATATCTGGACCTACACCAGAGAACTTGGCTTACGTGCGGACCACACAGACGCGGTATCCGGTCTATGTCTCCTAACCGCTCTGACCGTGCTGATCGTCTTCATTATGCCTGAGTATGAGCGTGAAGGAATCACACCCGATCAGATTTCGAGTCTTTTTACGTTTCCCGTCCTGCTCTTCGGCATTGGTAACTTGATCTCAATGCCAGTCGCCGTAGCTATCGGTCGACGTCCTGTTATGTTGGTGTCTACAGTGCCTCGCTTCATGTCTGCTGTTCTCTGCGCAACGAACCGCAACTACTACTGGCATCTGGGCGGCTGCATAACTGCGGCATTCTCTGCAGCTCGGTGTCAGTCCTTGGGTCTACTCATCATTCAGCTAAAGGCCTCCGCATGCGCTGGCTTTGTGACGAGATTTTCCTAACTCTGTATGCGTCAGGATATCTATTTCCTCCACCAACGCGCCCGCGTCTTCCAAATCTATGGGTCTGCAGAGGTCCTCCTCAACCTCTAGTTTGGTCATCGCATCCTCATACATGGCTGACACGCTCGGGTGGAGGTCCTGGTATTGGATGTTCGCCGGGTTTTCGGGCGTAGCCATGATTCTCACGCTTCTCTCTATTCCTGAGACGGCGTATGACCGACGCATTGAGGCGTTTATGGAAAACACCCCGAGTGATCCGAGTAACATACTGGCAGCTCAGAATGATGTTCCGGCATCCACCAACATAAGCCGATCCCCTGGGCCGAAGTACACAACAATATATGAAGGTCCAGTTGTCAATCCGGAACGTTACGAAGAGCGAACTTTCACCTCTAACATGCGGATTTTTGTTCAGAAACCGGCATGGTCTCGATGCAGGTTCTGCCTGAAGCAGATCGGACAGGCTTTCCTCTTCCCTCACGTTCTCTGGATAGGTGTCAACAACGGCCTGTTCCAAGGCATCGACACCTCCATTTAAATGACATACGCGGAAGTGTTAGTGAAGCCGCCGTACAAATGGTCCAATACATCGGTTTCTCTCATTCAGCTCGGCCAAGTTCTTACCGCGCTCCTCTGCGTGCCGCTCGTCGGCTGGCTTAGCGACTACATCATCCGTTGCTCAGCCCGACGCAACCAAGGCATCCACGAGCTGAACAACGATTCATCGCATGGATTCGGCCTCTGGTGATGGCGCTAATTCTGACAACTTTGTACGGATACGTTCTCAAGTATCCAGAGAAGTTTCACTGGATGGCCATCGCCTCTGTTGTAGATGGGTATCTAATCGTGATCCTCGCCGCCAGCACGGTTGGAAACACTTACCTGATCGACAGCCATCCGAGCTTTGTGGGCGCCATTCTCGTTGTGATTCCTGTCACGCGTGGACTCATGGCCTTCGGTATCAGCAAGCACACCACTCAATATCTTGCCAACATCGGACCTGTCAATACCTTCGGCATATCTGCGGCTGTCAGTGCAGCGTTCAACTTTCTGGGTATTATCTTGTACTTCATCGGAAAGAGATTCCGGAGATTATGTATTCGTTTGACACATTGAGTCGACAACTTCCATCTACTTGGAGCAGGGAAAAGGTTATTCTTCGCGAGACTTTCGAGAGAGATTAGAAGTTAAAGCCTGATTTAGGAGTGCCATAAATGGTTATGGTCGCACACTATCTAGGCATCGGAGCAATAGTGGTTTCAATTCAGAGTTCTAGCCAGCAAATATCAAACTTGATTTCTCTAGTTATGGTTTGTATCTATACCGCTTTTCTTTAATTCTTCCAGCACTTCGTTAGAAGATTAGTTACGGAGCCTGATAAATGACCAGTCAGCCATTGAGTCGTTCATTTTCTGACAGCTCACTGGTTGAAGGACTCACACAAAAAGCATCAAGTTCTAACCGGTATTTGTAGGAGCTTGAAACTCTTCACATCTCTGACTATCTAGAAACGTGTTTTGAGTGGCGCGAAAAGGGGCCGAGTGCCGCTTGACCGCTTAGTCAGTCTTGTTATGGGGTGTGGTGGGGAGTTTTGGTCTTTGAACTGCGAATAGGACGATATAAACGAGCCGCCGGGCCAGGGGCCCATAGTGCCCGACTTTACGAACATGTTTCCAGTTTCAATGATGCGCGTGGAATGTGTTCAGAATTAAAGCCGGTCGTCGGCTGGACTAGGAGGGACACTCGGTTTGTGTATTAAGATAGGATGTAGGTGAAGCTCAAGACCCGCTCCTAGGCTGGTGACTTCGCTACAGTAGTAGGAGTCCTGTAGGCTCAGTAGCAAGTGTGTGAAAGCAAAGCTCAAAGTTTCTGATAGCACGTGCGTTAAACCGGACGTCCGTCAAGTAACAATATTCTCAGTCATCCTCATCTGATTCTCGTACTTCGTTCTTGCCCTCGATATATATTCTATCTCAGCCACCAACTATTAGTCTGCCCGCCTTGGAGAGGTAGTAGTATCTGGCGAGGCCGGAGTGGGAGAGATCGGGTTGTTAATCTGGGCCGTGACAACAGGAGTGGAGGGAGGGCCGGCGTGGCCCTGGACGACATTTCGACCATCAACGTCGACGATGGCGATCAGCTTGAGGCCGTTAGGGCATGTAGTCCACTCCAACATTCCAGCAAGGCTTTCCTCCGCGAGATCGTCTAGACAAGTCTCCCTGACCACATTTGAGACTACGGGCTGGCCATCGATGCTACCAGCACCGCTGGTACCGAGGACGGGAACGTTGACATAGCCGTGACCACCGCAGACCATCCAAATTTGCTGGGCAGGAAACGTGGCAGACTGAATCGTGACAGAATTCGGGCTGTATGAGTGAAGATAATTTGCTCCGCCTGAGTAGGTCAGAGCCAGGGGGTACTCGGGGTACACCATTGTCTGAGGATGTTGCGGGACGACCATGGGATAACCGACGTTGAAGTTCAAGAGCTGCGGCGGCCGATAAATGGGCAGCGTGACCATAGTGTGTGAGTTGCTGGTTCCTGGGATGGAGACAACTCGGCCTTGCTGCGTCCAATAAAGGACGATCTGCGCCTCAGCAATGGGGTCAGCGCGGCCAAGACGTATCATAGAATCGCGGACGAGCTTGAGGATATCGGCCTTCGTTCCGGTTGGGGAGAGGCGTAGGTGAAAACTCCGGACCCAGGGTGGCAGGCCGTTGCGAGAGTGGGAGTAGATATGGGTCTCAAGGACGATCGTGGCGTCAGCCATTATTGCGTCAGCCATCGTTGCGGTATATTTATTGCCTATGTTGGTCAACATTTCCATTGTTTGAGGGTAAAGAAAGTAAGGATAACTAGTAGTACTTGAACATCCATCATAAACAAGGGCAATAATGTGGCACGCTTACCTTTGGTGTGCTTTTGTTGTTGTTATATGGTAGTGACAAGAAGTTTCTTGGAAACACAGGAGAGAAAGAGGTACTAAAAGAGCATCCAACCCTTGCGGTTATCAAAATGCGAATACAGAGGTTAGTCTTACGGGTGGGTGAATCATCTCTTTGCCCGGAGGTAAATTCTTACCTCAAGCGGCGGCAGAGCTCTTCCCCCTTTATTCAGGTAGTTCGTAGCGTTTTTAGTTATCATTATGAAAGACCAAGTGAATCTGTGTACTTCTTCGTGGAAGCCGTGACTTGTATTGCTCTAGTGGGGCCCCCTTGAGAGATATACATGCTTGTCTCCTATACTGCTTGAGGCCCTGAGCTTTGACTCAATGGTGACTGGAGGTTGCTGAATGAATTCGCGGTTTGCGCCTTTGCTGGGAGAATGTATTTCTTGGGTGTGCCTTGTAGGTTACACACTCGACATGCGTACAAATACCTTTAGATGTTTTATGTCACGGAAAGAAGCAAGCTAAGGAACATGATGAGGTAGTGAGTCCAAGTTTGCAAAGGACAAAGTTGCGATTCAAGAGTGGCACGAAGAAAAGTGACTGCGTGAATAGAAACCAACCGAGTGTCTTCATGTGCAAAGTAGTTACACCCTCTTCAACATGACAGTGATGAACTACATTATCACCTCCAACAATTGAACAGGCACTAGCCTTGGAATCAACCATCTCCTTGAAAAATTATCCATTGAGCTCCTCCAAAATGACCTCAGATGCCTTTTGACTAATCATAAACGTAGCAACGACAGGAAACACGCCAGGAATCCTTGGGAAAGCACTCGCATCCACGACTCGAAGTCCATTAACCCCTCGTACGCGGAACTTGGAGTCCAACACAGCGTTTTTGTCACCATCTCCTCCAATAGCACACGTACTAGTTGGATGATGTCCAAACGTCTGGGCCTCGATCCAGTCCTCATCGATGTTGGGAGCAGAGCACGCCCCGTCGGCCTGGACCTTTGGACACGGGGGCTCACGTGGGGTGATAGGTCCCGAGGGCCCGGCGACCTTGGCGTAGACGCGGCGGACCCAGGCGATGGTGTCCTTCATGGCGCCCATGTCGGTATCCCTTCCCTGTTTAAAGAGGTTGAAGTTGATCTCGGGCACGTCCTGTGGGTCTGCAGACAGCAACTTCACCGTGCCAGCGCGATTCTGCGGGTGCTGCTTAACCATCGACACGCCGTATATTCCAGCGGGATCGGTTGGCAGGGCGTAGTTGGACTGATTGCTGGGCCAGAAGCCACGGAAGGCATAAGGGCCCTGCATCAAGAACATGTCGCGCTCGTTGTAGGGGGCGCGTTGGGTCTTGTACATGACGCAGCCGCTTGAGCCGAAGCCGCCAGTTTGCGAGCGAAGCGTGCCGACGATTGGCATCTCCTGGTTATCTTGCATGTTAGTGCCGACGCCGGGGGAGTCGACGAGGACGGTGATATTGAATCTATGCAGCTCGTAGGCCGGGCCAATGCCGCTAAGCTTCAGGAGCTGAGGTGAGTTGAAACAGCCTCCTGAGAGAATGACCTCGCGGCGGGCGGTGGCAGTGCGTCTCTCGCCCTTTGGGCCGTTTGCGTTGTAACGCGCGTCGGCTTTGTAAAGGGACTTGCCAACGAGGTACTCAACACCCGTAGCGCGTGGCTTGCTACCAGATGTGTTGAAGGTTATCCTGGTGACGAGAGAGTTCTGCGATAATGTGAGAGGGAACTGGTGAGTGTTGATGGTCTCGGTGATGTAGTCCCTAGAACTATAACGCTGACCATTAGCGCGGGTGTGTCGAGCGAGACCGTAGATACCAGCTGAGGTGTCTCGATTTGGGCTAAGTTCGTTGGAATCGCGACTGATGAGCTGAGGGAGTTGGTTGGGATTTTGACCGAGATCGTTAGCCATGGCCGTAAGAACGCCGGCTACGGGGCCGGTGACGCTGGTGGCTATGTCCATGTTGGTCTGAAACCAGCCGTTGAAGCCATGGCCGGGAGTACCTGATGATAGGTAGTTGTTTTTCTCGATTGTCTCAAAGACCTTGCGCATGTTGCTGGCTCTTCTCACATGTCAGCCTCGGCCTTTGTCTGTTTTGTTGATACTTACGTCCATGTAGTATCATTGGTCAGCTCCACGATGTAGTTCCAGTCGCTATCAGTCGGCAGGAGGGTAGCCATGGCGTTGATCATGGAAGAGCCTCCAACGGTGGCACCACGGGGGTAGTAAATACCAAGTAATTTTGCATCCGAGGGAACGTTCTGGTTCCCAACCCAGTAAGAGCCATCGCGGGCCCTCCAAGTGACAAAGTTGTTCTTCTTGTTTCTCTCATCATCCTCGTAGTGTTTGACAAAGAAATCCCAGGTGATGGATGGTGGATATTGACTCCCGCCGCTGGCTACGCTACTATCTCCCGCCTCAAGTATGAGGACCGAATAGCCAGCTTTTGCGAGATTGACGGCGACTGGTCCACCGCCAGGACCACTGCCGATGACGATGTAGTCATACTCATCAGAAGCAGCTGGAGAAGGTGCGCTGGCAACAAGACTTGAAAGTAAGAGAACGAAAAGAATCAGTTGGTAGCTAATCTGCCTGGCCTGCAAACCCATTCTGCCAATTTTGTGCGGGTTGTTTAATGTTTCAGCTGAACTTGCTCATCAAAATCCAGGGAGCGTTTCTTCTCCTACTCCTCGATCATGGATTCTTATAGTAATTGTAGCCACTTGCCTCCAGCATAACGCCTCTTCACTTTAAAGTGGAAGAAGCAGCATTTGGTCCAATACCCAGGCAAAATGAGAAAGTAGGGACGACCAGTATTGTGGGCAGAGGCAGTCTTGAGTTTCCATAGTAAGGTAGTAGGCCTCTTTTATCCCGGCAAATATCTGCATTCTTCCGTATGGACTCTGGCGATGGTATTCGGCTGTCAGATTCAAGAACGCGGGGAACCGTAACATCGCGTTGTATGGCACTGCACGGAAACGTCAACAAACTGTTATGGCTGCCTTTTTGAGGAAGGATGATTAATGAATCGGTCCTAAATAGGCTGGTTTAAATTCGTATGTGATGTCGCTCAGTGGGATTCAGTTTATGATCTCTTATGCCAGCTGATCCTCAGCGACACATTTGTTGCCTTGCGACTGGTTTCTTCGGCTTTCTTCCAAATGAAATAGTAAGAACAATTATCCGAATCCATCACGGCAGTTGAAAAAGAGAGCAGAATACGGATATCCAAATCTCAACTAAAGGGCTGCTGCTGTCCGGCATCGTCTATGTCGCGAAAAAGGATATGAGAAAGGAAGATGAAGTACAACCCCACACAGCTCTCACCGTGACTTCGCGGCTCATAGGCGTCTGCATCATACTTCGGAGATACTGACAGCTTTGTCAATCTAATAGTTAGCAGATAGTGTGAGCAACGTAGCAGAATTTGGCGTATGTTGTTTAAAATGAATTTCAACCCTCAGGAAACCCACAGACAATAATAGTATGCGAGCAACAAGAAGTTGAACAAAGTTCGCCATTCCAAAGCCTCTAATAATCAGATGATTGTGTCCGAAGCAAGCTGGCAGAGCGAGAAGAACACACAACAGAACCATTTGGAGGTGGGCACGGGGATGATGGAGGGAAGTAGGTTGGAAGAGCATAGATATGGCTATATCTCAAGACCCAGAACGCACTTGGTCGTGTTGCGAAGGGATGGGTGAACGAATATTGCAGTGGCTAATTACAGGGGGTTCCATTTTCCCCCGCTAAGTGAACGCGGTGCGATTGTGTTAGTTTGATGACTAATCAGTAGCCTACAAATCTTAGTCAGCGCCCCTTTCTTACCTCGAGATTGTTGACATAGCAACGCGTGGCATAAACACCAAAAATACTATCACAACCATTGCATCCCATCGTCACCAGCCCCTCACATGCAAATTGCGGACCGTTTGCTTTTGATCACATACAGCCATCACCTAACCTAAGCCCAAGTCGAGGTCACACCGCCGAATACGAATTGCCTACAATGTCTTCGGCATTCCGAGAATCGTCGCTGTCTGCCAGCCTCAATCGCCAGTCCTTGATGGCGACTCCGTCTGTTGCAGAGACGCTGCCGAATGCGAACTTTGGTTTCGAAGAGCTTCGCGACCGCATGTCCAAGTTTACTTCCAAATTCGATACATTCATCGAGCATGGCCGAAAGCGCGTTCTGGAGGAGAGGAACCAGTTTCGCATGAACATTGCAGAACTGCAAGGTATGTAAAGCGTGACCACTCAACAATACAGACCAGAACGCTGATGTACCGCAGAGGATCAGCGCATGAAGAAGAAAGACATCGAGATCCTGCAACTCAAGACCAGCACACATCAACAGACGGTCGCCAAAGAGAAGGCCGAAACGCGCGAAATGCAAGCAGCCATTGCACAGCTATCCGAAGAACGCGACAAGCACCTAGCGACAAGAGACGCTCTCAAGAAACAAATCGAAGAGACCCAGCGAGAGATTGATGCCCGGCTGGCGGCACAACGGGCGCACACGAAGCAGCTCGAAGCGCAGTCGCGATTCAACGTACCAGAACTCGAGTTCTGGCAGCAGAACCTGGGGCTGCGGATCGAAGGCGCGGGCCAGGACGACCGTCTCAAGTTCGTTTACACATATGTCGACGACCAGGACTGGGAGAGAGAAGCGTGGTTTGAGCTTAACACGTCGAGCCGAGACTACGATATCCGGCACTGCCGACCCAAGCTGGAGCGCGAGCGCGTGGAGCGGGTGCTCGACCAGCTCAACGAGACGAGAGAGCTGGCGGTACTGCTCAAGGGCATGCGGGAGCTGTTCGTTGAGGCGATGAAGAACTGAGTGTCTCTGGCGGGGCAGTTTCTTGGCTCTGTACAATGACGATGTTGACGATACCGATGATAGTTTTCTTTTCAATGGATACCCAGATTTGCGCGCATGCTGGCTTGGGGATTAGGGCCGACTCGGACGAGCCGCGCGTGTCTTGATGTCGCCTCTTGCGAGTCTAGAACAATAGTTATTTTTCGTAATCTTTCAAAACTTCTTTGTTCAGTCGCAATCGACATGTGAAGGTATCTCGGCCTGTGAAGGTATCTCGGCCTGTGGTGGCGCATGCAAGAGTACAGGGTCCCATACTCGTGATTAATCAGGCCACCCAAATGGGTTGCACAAACAGCAGGATAACAATTGGCTACCATTCCCTACACATGTTGGATAAGGTCTGCACCATACTCCCGTCCTTCCTTGGCGACAGCCTCTCAGGCAGGGCGGTGTCCTCGTGTTAGATGAGTGGCAACCTTTTCGTATTCCAACAAGCCTGTGCATACTACCTGGCCTTCTTTGAGCATTGACATCCTGGGAGTTGTGCAGGCTAGGTTGGCCAATACCACGGTGGAAATGGTCGACGACGGCCAGAACTTCCCCTTCGGACGCTACAAACTCTATTCCAAAACCAGCCTTTTAAAGTTTCTCCCTCGTCTTCCTCCTCCGTAACCACGGACACACCTTTGTCGTTCATAGTTGGATTTCCAGCCAAAACGAAACCTCAAAGGAATCTCGATGCTGCATCCGGCGACCAATGCTTCTGGGCTGCAACAAACATCGAGTCCAACGACAGACCCCTGTCCACAGCAAAATGCCCGAGGCTAGCACAAATCTACACAGTCTACCGAGCCACTCATGACTCGGGATCTTGGCCTTCCGAACCCGCCCGGCAGTCTCTGAATGATTCATATCCCCTCTCATTCGCCTGTTTCCGACCTTCCAAGCCAACCCGATCCCCGAAAAATCATACCATTCCCCTCTCCGTACCACCAATTTTCTTTACACACATTTTTGCCTGCCCAGTGCTCCGCTGCGCGCTGCACCGGTCCCAGCACCTGAGTCTGCCGCACCCCTGTTCCAGCTCCAGCAGAACAAGAAGCAAACATCCGACAGGATCCGGAGGAGAACCCCCCCTCCCCCCGGAGGAAACAAGGGGGCCGCAAAATAAAGAAAAACACGGCAAGGGGCTGCTCCCGTCGTCATCCATTCCAATTGATCCACATTACGGACACAGGTCGGATCGTAGCAGGCCTATGCCTCTCGGCCGCTGCCGCTCGATCACGGGCAGCACCCGGCTTTCTGACCGAGCGGAGCTTGACCTGACTTGGATCAGGCGAATCCGGAGGCAACACGGAACCTGATCCTCCATCTGCCGTACTCCCTCTTCACGCCCTTCCGATTTCTCATGGCCTCCGATGCCATCAGCCATCCCAGTCCCGCCGGCTCCGCGGCTTCATCGGTGACCCCCGGCCTGAGTTACAACAACAAGCGTAGTGCTGCCGATCAACCTAGTCCAGCAGGCCCCGGCAATGCCGACTCACACACTTCCGCCGGCGCCGGTGCCTCGCCTGCTTCTCAGCCATCCGGTGATATGAACAAGAAACGTCGCACCGGCCCTGGATCCAGGGGCGTTGCCAACCTGACGCCCGAGCAGCTGGCCAAGAAGCGCGCCAATGGTGAGCATAACTGCCCTTGTTTGCCCAGCACGCCTTGCTGCATCATGTCTTTGCTCCACGCTTGTACTTGATATCATCCACAAACCTTCCGTCAAGGTCAACCGTTCCGTACGCTGTCCACTTTATCCTCGTACATCTCCACAACATGGACTGCTTCTTTGCACCCAATGACGACACACCACGGCTAACCGATGTGCCAATGCCCGTGATCAGACAGGGAAGCTCAGCGAGCCATCCGGGAGCGCACCAAGAACCAGATCGAGACCCTTGAACGCCGCATCCAGGAGTTGACCTCGCAGCAGCCCTACCAAGACCTACAGGCCGTCCAGAGAGCCAAAGAGGCCGTCGAGGCTGAGAATGCCGACTTGAAACGCCGCTTAGCGGCTTTCATCTCTTCCATCCAACCGCTGATTTCTGCTCCTCCGCCAACTCAACGTGAGTCGTCACAGCTCGGCAGTGTGCATGCTCGGCACCGTCCTAACCGATCCACAGCTCCGGTAGAACCTCCCCCCATCTTCCCTTCCCCTAGTGGGAGCTACTCGCATGTCCATCAGCAAAACGGGCCCATCTCCGCGAATAACACGTCGACGCCAAACAGCGCGGCCTCGCCAATCTCTATCGACCCCACCGCCGGCTGGCAGACAACACCAGGAAGCGGTGCCCCGGACCTGTCTTCCCCAAATCATATGTATGCTGCGAGCAAGATGCTGAACCAGCAGCGGCAAGACCTCCGTCATGGTCTCGACCTTGGCCCGGAGAAGTTGGGGTTAGATTTCCTTCTTGATCACAATGCTCGCGTTGGCAAGATACAGAGCGGCATCAACGGCGCCCAGGACTCGCCAAATTACCATCATGTTCCCATGAAGCATGATTGGACCGGCGTTGGCCCGGTCCAACACAGTCGAAGTCCGTCCATCAGCGGACCAACCGTCCTCACCCCACGCTCACAGATGGACTGCCCTCAGCAGACGTCTTCCATCCCCCCGAGCAGAGAGCCTTGGCAAGTTGTTCGGCAGAAGTCAAGAATTGCGGACCGACATGTCCACTGGACAGCCTTCTCCTCGACTTCCTCCACGAGCGCCGGCAACGAGCAGCCGACGGCCTCTCCACGCACGAAATCATCGGCCCGCGCTACCCGTCGGTTCTCTCACTCCTCAACCCCGCCAACAGCAAGTTCTCGCACCCGCTCTCCAAGGTCTTCACCGACATCCTTGCCACCTTCCCGGATCTCTCGGCCCTGCCCCAGCGTGTCGCGGTCCTATACATCATGTTCCTCATCATGCGCTGGCAGATCTCACCAACGCAGGAGAACTATGACCGACTCCCCGAGTGGGCGCGCCCTCGGCCCCCGCAGCTGTTCACGGAGCACCCCGCCTGGATCGACCATGTGCCTTTCCCGGCTATGCGCGAGAAGCTCTGCCGGGACTACAACCCACGCGAGTACCTGTTTGATAACTTCTTCGTGCCGTTCACGACAACGTTGAGTCTAAACTGGCCGTACGAGGAGACGGACACTCTGCTACAGGTGCCGGATTCGGACGAGGTACTGATCAACCCTGTGTTCGAGCGACATCTGCGGAGGCTGGAAAATTGGACGCTCGGGCAGGCTTTCAATCACACGTTTCCCAAGCTTGCGGGAACGTACAACCTGAAGGTGTAGTCACCGCGAACGAGCATTCGAAGGCACTCAAGGTTATTTCACGAGGTAATCGGCGTTTTCCCACGTACTGGAAGAGTATGGACCCCTTACTTAATACCAATACACATATACATATACATGCTTATAGGGACCGACCAGCGGAAAGCGATTGGTCGTTGGCGTTGGGGGTTGGGCTGGATGGAGGCTCAGTGTAATTAGTACGGCGTACTTTCTTGGCCCTTGGGTAAGCATTACCAGACGGAGAGGCCCAGACTTGTCGAGAATGGTTCGGCGGTACAGGAGGGGCCCAGAACGTCTGGCGGCGCGTGTTTACAACACAAAACAGAAACCAGAAACGCGGCGACTGATGTGCGGTGTCGGTCGTTTGCGCTTCCAGGAGAAGGGATGGTCTATTGCTAGCTTTCAGCGTCTATTATAATCTATCCAAACATCATGTCAACTGGTTGAGGTGAGGCGTTGGTTTCGGATTGATCCTGTGACGAACGTGGCCTTCGGCCACCGAGAACATTGACAAGACGAAGCAACAGGTATCCAGACGAGACGACGACACCATGACGGCTGTATCCGCTATTCTCATCGGACTGACGCCACCAAGACCTTGGACTCCCCCAACTTGGCCATTGTTATTGCAATACCAGACTCCAGCGCCAGGAGCGGCCTGAAGCTTTTGCCCTTTTGGTAACAATGTGGGCAGGCATTTCTAAGACCTACTTGTCTGTAAAGATCAACGGAGAGGGATGAGGGAGCGAGTATCGATGAACAGGGAGAGCAGCCAATGTAAACATAAGCTTCAGTGAAGAATGGAGGACGGAAAAGTCAAAAGTCAAAGGCGAGCGAACAGACCTATCACAACTGGAGGAGGGCCAAACCTGTGAGAGCTTCCCGAGAAATATCTGAGGTAAACTTCAGTTGGCAGGATTTCAACGACAGCTCGATCGGACCTGCCTGAGTCGCCTGCCAACCGCCGAGCACCCGCCCCGGAGTGTATTCGAGACTGGGGCCCAGGGAGCACGCCGACGAACAGACCTCTTGTCAGGCGAAGGGGGTGTGTCAAGATGCGAAGCCAAAATCAAAGTCGAGACAAAGATCAATGCCAAGGGCCTCAAAGGTGCTTCATGAGTTTATTCTTGCTTGTTTACCTCTCAACCTGCAGCCATAGAGCAGGGAGTCATCTTTCTCGCCCCCCCTCCATCACCTAGCACTCGTCGTCGGCGCCTAGTGCCCCGATCGAAAACATCTTCAGGTTCGGCCCTACGCCCGCGAATAGGCTCGCATGCCTCCGCCCCGGCATCGTCTGGAACTGCAAACTCCGCACCGGCGTCCTAGCCGCGATGGCGTCGACCGCGGGACACCCCAGCCTCCGGCCCGAGAGCAGCGAGTACATGCCCACGCGCCCGTCGTCGTGCGCCGCGGCGACCACGCCCGCGTCGACGTCGACGTCCCAGCCAATGTGCATGTGCGGCCCGTTCCGGTACGCCGGAAACTCCACCACCGGCCTCGTGCCGTTCGGCCTCCGCTTCCGGTAGCGGATGTCGAACAGCGCCATGCGCGACCGCGGCCCCGCGGCGAGGAACTGGTGCGGGTTTACAGCCCTCAGGCGCGCCACGGGCCCGACGGGTATGTTATCCCACTCGGACCACTTGACGCGCATGTCAATCATCCGGACGTCGCCGTTGCGGCCGCCGGCGAGGAGGACGTTGGGGTTGGAGGGGAGGAAGGACTGGTCAAAGAAGTCGCCCTCGGCGGGACCCGGCCGCGGGCGGGCCGGGCCCAGCCAGTGGATGCGTTCGTCCGAGGTGAGCTTGAGGAGGCCGTAGGAGGTGCCGATGACGCAGGTGAGGGAGGATGACGAGGGCGGCGCCGGAGTTGTTTGGTTTACGACGCCTTCGCGGCGGCCTGTGTTGAAGGAGATGTGGCGGAGGTGGTTCGCTGGTGGGGGTGTTAGAATAGGGGGTGAGGGGAAGGTGAGAACGAGGGGACGTTACCTCTATCGAGCAGCCAGAGAGGACGATCGTCGTTCGAGGCGGACTTGGGCGGGGAGAACAGGTAAATGTCGCACGTGTTGCTAGGTTCGCGGGAGGTCACGATGATGCGGTGTGAGTGGGGGTGGTAGTTGATGGATGAGATCTGGGGGCAACCGATCATCTCATGCCGGTGCGACAGGCGGCGCTCCGGGCGGCTCGAGGCATCGGTGCTGAACGATATCCTGGTATTGTGAGCAGATGCTTAGCCGCGTGAAAGTCCCATAGTGCTCACCTCTCGTTCTCATCAGTGGGGATGTATGATCCTATCAACGTCTCCTCATCCAAGGCTGCCAAGGTCAGCATACTCGCAGGCTCCATCTAGGGAGCCTCAACTCACTGGCATATGCAACACCAAGCCCCGTCTTGACATCATCCCCGCCAACATAGAAGCACGGGATATTCGGGAAACTCTGCCGCGCGAAGCTGGGCACGAAAGGCACCTCGCCCTTGTCGACGAGCCCCTTCGCCCACGCCACGGCAGGGACGTCCTCGGCAGCCACGCCCGCATGGGCGCGCATCCGCCGCTGGCGCCGGAGGCCGAGCTCGACATCGAGAACGCCGCCGAGGAGCGGATCCCGCAGCACGGCGGAGCGGACAATGTGGCGCTTCAGACGCTCCCGGCGCGCGGCGACGGCCTCGGCCTCGCGGTGCTGGGTCTTGCGGCGCTTGACGCTGTCCGCGGACCAGGCGGCGCCCTGGGGCGCCGAGGTGGTCTTTTCGATTTTGAAGTACTTGCCCTTTTCCTCATCTAGACATGTCTCGCGTTAGCCGGTGTGCATGAAGCAATAGCTACATGGTGAGTAGTCATCGCGAGTGAAGACCGGGACAGGGTTCAGGGGGGCGTGTGTATAGTACCGTAGTAATACCCAGGGATCTGCATCCGCTGTTGGGGTGCCATGGCGCTCGGGGTTCAGTCCGGCGTGATGGCGCCGACGCCTCGGGTCCGAAGGAGTCCAGATCAGAAGTGCTGTGCCCGGAGTGCAGAAGGGTGGTTGTTCGACCCCTTCGGCTACGCGGCTGGAACCTGAAGGTATGAGAGGCTGAAGATGGGTTACCCCAAACGGGAATAGAAGAGAACGAAAAATCTACACTAGCTTGCTTTCTCAGGACGAGATCCAAACAGGGTTGGCACAGTTTGTTCGATTAATCAAGGATACTGTGAGCGGGCTTCTGCTTGCATGCTTGCATGATAGTGCGGAGGGCCGGGCGTGTGGGTGTAAGTGTCACTTTGCATGAATGTTGGGAGGTCGACATGCCCGGGGTGGAAACGTGCATGAAAACACCAGCAAGATGTCGTCGTGGTGATGGCAAAGGAGGATTGGGGTTGGTGGTTTCGGCGTGTGCGGGAGGGCCGGCAGGACAAGATGGCGTCGGTGGCGCCGAGGGTGCAGTTCTCTGTTGTATGTACGGCAAAGGATGGGCGCGACGGGGACGAGAAAGCGACGGAAAAAAAAAAGGATGGATGGTAGGTTGTGGAAGTGTGGAGGCGCCGTGGCCGAAGGAGGAAGAAATAAAGTGGGTCACAATGCGGTGAAGTGGCGGGTCGGTGCCGGAGCCGGCATAGGCACATCCTCCCGCCGAGGTCGAGTGGGTGAAGTACCAATTCCTTCACGCCCAACAACTACCAAGACAACTGCGATGCGCTTTCTACTGCTCTTAGTGCCATTACCCCATCCACTGCCCCTCGGAGATGATAGTATCTGCCTTCCGCTGGTGGAGTAGAAGGAGGTGAGAGAGCATTGTTGGTCAGGGTGTAACGAACCCCTCCCCGAAATGCCGCGTGCGGGGAGGAAGCTGCGTTTCTACTACACACCATCTCACCCATACCACTCGCCCACGCGGCTCTCAGAAGACAGCAAAGGTTTACAGCGAGGCGAGAGGCTAGAATGGTCCAAGGCGCACAAGGCGACCAGGTGAGAGGCAGCGCGTCGGGCTGGTCTGGGGGGAACCCTCGCTGGAATTGTCGGCGGCGCCAGCACGAACGAATTCGAGCCGGCGTTCGCTTTCTTAGTGTCGACCTACCGCCTTCCGACCTCAGCGACTCATCCGCCCAATCGCGATTTACCGCAACTGTAACGGCCGGGCTGATGACTTGGCAGTCCTCGTGCACTAAGAAAAAGCTTGGCCTCCTCTTCGACCGTTCCGAGTCCACGCCGGTCCCAAGCTAGGCGGCTCCGAGGAGGGGGTGGGGGTTGTCGGTTGTCTGCCATCTGGCGGCTGGCTTATTAGTCGGCTGTCTGGCTTCTGACATCGTCTGACAACGGCTCCGACGCAGACTGCACCGGTCTGAGACGCCTCCAAGAAGAAGGCACTACGGCCGAACGGCTGGGTTTTCTCGAACCCCTAGGGATTCTCATCGGCCGTGCAGCCAGTGCCGTAGGGAGAGTTCTAGAGACATGGGAGCTGAACTCTGAATCGTGGGGATCTCGGTAGCGTAGCCGGGTAGCAGTGCAACAACCCTCTTACCCAATTGACTGGACCTTGGGGGCGGTTCACCGAGACTTTGCGAGGTCAAGACGTCCGGCTCGGTCCAAAATGTCGTAGAATGCTCCCTCCAAAAGTTGCGACCCCAGGCCCCGACACCAATTTGTCTCCTCAGAATAAGCAATTGCGAGACATTAAGACAAAGCCCCAAAGGGCTACGCAGCTGGGGTCCGGAGAACCACCTCAGAAGCCGTCCCACTTCGACGCCGTTCGAACTCTCAAACCTGCTGGACGTTTACCACCTCACTCGCCCCTCACTGTCTCTCTCCACTCTCAACCCCCTCCTCCAACGCATCTCCACTTGGATCCGGCTCTCTCTCCTCCCACCCCAAAAAAACTACCCCTCCACCCCTCACCCGTTTCCAGGTAGCTAGCTAGAGAGCTCTACTCCCCTTTTTCCAAAACATCACCGTTGCAACTACACAACAGCCTCGAGGCCAATTGCACAACCAAAGAACGCTCCAAGTCCCACCGACGCCACCCGCCGATACCCCTCCAAGTAACCGCGACAATGGTCTACACAATCACTGTCCACCTCCACGCAAACGACCACCCGGACTCGGTCGACCGCCTCAAGGCCAAGCTCATCGAGGCCTCGCGCGTCTACTCCCAGGACCGCGAGACCGTCAGCTGGTTCGTCATGCAGGACGTCCACGACCCCCGGTCATTCACCATTGTCGAGCGCTTCGAGACCGAGTTTGTAAGTCGCGCCAGCATAACATCATTTCATCACCCATACAGCCCACCGGCCACTCACACGTTGATACATGGTGCCTCGCTTGCTAAACGATGACTTCTACAGAGCCAAAAGTACCACCTCGAGAACCCTTACTGGAAGACGTTCGACCCTTACGTTGTGCCTCTGCTCGACCGTCCCATGGACCTTAGAAGACACGAAGAGTTGGATACCTCCAAGGACGTAGTTGTTCCTCAGTAGTAAAATCAAGTGACTCTAAATGGATACAGTATTCAAGTAAACCGGACCAAGTGATGGTTGCTTGATGAAAGGCAATGGGCTGAATCCTGACTGATCCAACCTAATTATGTGCACTACTTGCCGTCCATTAATGCGTCTACGAAAACGACACCTAACATCTACACTGGAACAAAATATTTCCTTCCATTGGAATGTTTGTACACACAAGTTCAACGTCTCAAACAATGAGCAGGCATTTTAATAATTTTACGAATTTGTATTAGGTCTATAGCAAGCACTAGGGTATTCTCTCCCTCTCCCAACTCGATCACAGTAATTACCGATGAAAATATCATCGTACAATTTTAAACATAAACAAAGATGAATGTCGTGGGCGCAAGTCGTCATCTCCTCCGGTCTCATTAGGGGCCAGAGTCAATCAGGCCCAGGAAGAGGGTCCTGCGGAGTCGACGGAGCGTAGCCATGGCGCATGTCGCGTCATAACCAGACCCGACTCTGCCAAGAGATCCCTCTTTACTGCGACTTCTCGTGCTGGGTGGAGACACGCTGCAGGGAAACGACTGAAGAAACGGTTAGCCTCTATTCTGTAGACACATTCTGTGTGGGGTAATGGGGGTATATAAACTTACCAAAGTCCTCAAGCGAGCGCTGCTTTTGGCTGCCCTTGGGCGATTTGCCGTGCATGAGGTTGTCAAAGCCAGCACTGTCCTGGAGAAGGTAGTAGACACCGGCGCAGACGCAGAAGACACCGAAGGAGAAGATCCAGATACGGACAACGGCAACAATGGAGGTGTTGCTGTGCTCGAACCAACCCCAAATGGTGAAGCAGGTGGCGAGGATGTCGACGACGAAGATGGCACCGGCCAACTGCCACGAAGGGATGGAAGACCAGAAGGGTCCGTTGGCACGGGTGATGAAGATGAGCCAGTTCTCAGTGAGGGAGATCTGGAGGAAGACAACCTCGTCGAGGTTACCGAAGTTCTGGACGATACCGCCGTTGGGGCCGTGGGCGTACATGGTGGTGACAGTGATCCAGGTACCGACAGCGAGGACGATACCGAGGAGGACGGACATACCCCAAAGCTTGGGCAGGTTCCACTTGACAGGGCTCTTGGAGAAGGGGGCGTTGTCGTAGGCAATAGCCAGGGTGGCGATATCGGCGAAAATGGCAATGAAGACGACAAGCTCAATGTTCAGAGAACGGTTGAGGATGGCAATCCACAAACCAAGGAAGATCTCCAAGTGGATGGACAGAGCGATACGGTAGACGACGTAGGCGTACATGCGGTGGAAAATCTGGCGGGAAGTCTTCAGGGCGTCAATGATGGCACCAAGACCGGGGGCAAGGAAGACAATGTCGGCAGCGGAGCGAGCGGCGTCGGAGGCACCCTCAACGGCGATACCAGTGTCAGCCTTCTTCAGGGAGGGGGCATCGTTGACACCGTCACCAGTCATGGCAACGAGGTAGCCACGCTGCTGAAGAATCTCAACGACGTTGTACTTGTGCTGGGGAAAGACCTCGGCGAAACCATCAGCAGCCTCAACGAAGTCGTAGACCTCAGAGCCGGGCATGTCACCACCACCACCGAGACCGAGACGCTCAGCGTTGTAAATGTTGGTGCCGAGACCGAGCTGGCGGGAAGTCTCACGAGCGATACCGACGGCATCACCAGTCAACATCTTGATGGACAGACCGAGAGACTTGGCCTCGTTGACGGTGCGGGCGGTGTCGTGACGGGGGGGGTCAGAGCAGGGCATGATTCCGAGAATCTCCCAGGCACCGTCGTCACCACGCTTGCGGGCAACACCGAGAGAGCGGAAACCACGGGTGGCGAACTCAGCAACCTTGTTCTTGTAGGCCTGGTCAATCTCGTCGGGGATGGGGTGGTCCTGCTCGACGGTCTTGAGGACGAAGAGAGGGGCACCCTTGACACAGGTGATGCGCTCACCGGCGGGGGACTGGACGAGGGCAGTGACCTTCTTGGAGACAGGGTCGAAGGGGAAGAACTCGATGACCTGGTACTTGGAGAGGACAGACTTGGCGCGGGGGTAGTAGCGCAGAGACTTCAAGAAAGCCTTGTCGATGGCATCCATACCCTTCTTCTTGCGGGAAGCAGCCAAGCAGGCAGTAAGCATGAGGTCCTCGGGGTCGACACCGGCGACGGTGTAGGGCTCAGCCAGGGAGAGCTTGTTCTTGGTCAAGGTACCAGTCTTGTCGGAGCATAGAATCTCGACACCAGCAAGGGACTCAATAGCGGAAAGCTTCTGGACAATGGCCTTCTTCTTGGCAAGGTAGGCAGCACCGACAGCCATGGTGGTGGTGACGACGGCGGGAAGACCGACGGGAACACCAATAATGGTAATGGCAAGGGTGAAGCGGAGAATGTCGACAATGCCGTTGGAGCGGTAGAAGGAGGAAACCCAGACGATGAGTAGGGTGAAAATGACGAGGACCAAGAGAATGGTACCAATGCCGTTCAGGACCTCGGTGAAGTGACCAGAGCCGGCGGAGGCAGCGTTGACGAGAGCGGCAGCGCGACCGACGAAGGTGTTGTCACCAGTGGCGGTAACGATAACGAAAGCCTCACCACGCTTGACGGCGGAAGAGGCGTAGCAGTTGTCGTTGCGGTGCTTGTCGACGGCCAGAGACTCACCAGTGATGGCGGACTGGTCGACCTGGAGGAAAGCATCCTCGGTGACGATGCGGCCATCGGCAGGGATAATGGTACCCTCCTCAACCTGGAGGATATCACCGGGGACAACTTCGGGGGCCTCAATCTCCTTCAGAGTGCCGTCACGGAGGACGACAGCCTTGAGGGCGAGAGTCTTCTTGAGTTCGGCAACAATCTAGAGTGGGGCGCAGTCAGCAATGCGAACTTTGGGAACCCTTGACAACGCATGCCAGCAATGTGGGGCGGTGTTGACTTACAGATCCGGCCTGGAATTCCTGAACAAAACCAACGGCAGCGTTAAGCAGCAGAAGACCGCAAATAACACCAAAATCGACCCAGTCCTCAAGACCAGCGGCAAGGACGGCGGCAGCCTCCATGACGAACTGGATGGGACCAACGAAGAACATGAAGAACTTAAGGATGAGGTTCTCCTTCTGCTCAGCCATCTCGTTGCGACCCCACTTGCGGCGGCGGTTGATAACCTCCTGCTCAGTGAGACCAAGACGGGTGTCAGTCTGGAGCTGCTCCTCAGGGACGACGCGGCCCATGCCGGGAGTACCATCCTCTATGAAAGCTGTTAGCAGGACAATTCCACAGCGGCAAGTGCGACGGCTCGAGCTGAGACTCGGCAGCGAGTGCTACGCAAGCTCTCCCCTCGACCGAGTCAGATAGTAGCAACGTACCCTCTTCCTCCTCGTCAACGTGACCATCCTGGGACTCGAGGTCCTCGATCAGAGCGTCAATATCCTCATCATCCTCCTCGTCGACCTCGGCCTTGGGGTTGGCGGCAGGGGCGTCGACGGCGTGCTCCTTCTCGTCCAGCTTGTGGCTCTCAATGGGCGTGCTGATAGCAGGGGCCGCAGTGGCGTGGGAGTCGGCCATTGCGGTGGGTGTGAGACAGACGAGCTCTGCTCAAGCTTATTATGCGCGAAGAGGTGGGAGTTGTCGCGGATAGGGATTGGTGTAGTAGACAAAATCCGAGGTGTACGGCGAGGCGCTGCTTGTGCTTCTTCTTAGGACGGGCCTAGGAATACTGGATTGCTGAGGTCGCAGGATAACGCGTAGGGAAAGGTGATGAGGGGGAGAGTGGAGAGGTGAGAGAGGGAGGTTTGAGCACCACACGAATTGTGAAGGGCAATCTATATAGGCAGCCTTCGTGGGTGATGGAGAAAGAGAAAGGGAAAAGGAACTCCGGTCGAGGCGGGAGGAAGCTTCGCTACTTAAGAGGAACGAGCCGTAGTAGGAGTGGCCGAGAGAGTGAGTGAGAGACACGAGCAACTAGCAGCCAAGAAGAGGCGACCGCTGGGACGTGGGACGTGGGCGGGAGGAGGGCGTGTGTGCAGGCGGCAGACGCAATGGAGAAAGCTGCCGGTGCAGGCAAGCAAGCAAGCGTGGGCGTGGGCATGGGCGTGGGATGTGAACGCGGGTGTGGGTGTGGGCGTGGAGCATGGGAGCGAGCTATCCGGCGCGACTGACTGTAAGTCCCAGTCCCAGTCCCAGTCCTGGTCCCCCAGTACGTGTGAGTGTGAGTGACCATCGTCCGCACCTGCCTTGCCTTGCCTTGCGACCCAGAGAGAAAGGAAAGCCAATCCCAATCGGGATCCCCACCTACGTACCCGCAAGCGACCGGTATTAGTCCCGCCGACAGCGAAACAGCGAGAGAGATGCGAAGAAAGAGCGGCGCGACGGCGGCAGCGGTCGGCAGCGGTACGGCAAGACGGAGAAGTGGGAAGAGATGGGCAGGCAAGGCAAGTGCGAGACCCAGTGCAATGAGTAACTCGCCGTCTCCAGTGTTTCCTGTCCCAAGCAGGCAGGACGACGTGAGGTCCTCACGTCAATGTGAGCGAGGTGAGGTAAGGACCTGTGTAGTAAGGCAAGGGAACGGACGAATGGCAAGGAAGGTGAGGTAAGGTCTGGGTCAAGGTTCAAGGTAGCTAGGTACCTGTTGGCGAGGTCGCGGAGAAAGCAACAATAGCTGGAGAAGCTACAAGCATTGTTGATCGGTCCATGGTACCTTGTAACCCAGCCAGCAAGCAACAACAACAGTCAGGTACCAGGCCCAGACCGGCCAGTCAGGTAGTCGACCTTACAGTACCCAGCACGCTACTCTCTACATACGGAGACAGCATGGCAGGGACGAAGGACTTGCTTCGGAGAAGGACAGGGCCGCAAGGCCAGAGCCAGGCCAGGCCAGGATAGGATAGGATCGGACCTACACGGGGGGACTGGGGCGCGAGGGGACCCATTGAAAATCGTCCAGACGAGGGAAAGGATTGGTGGTGCAGAGCACCTCCTGCAGGCTCTATCAGAATAAAGTATTGGAATACATTGGCCTGGGGGGGCAAGGTACCCCAACGCAGGACAGTGCGAATTGAAATTGGGTGCGGCGGTAGGGTGGAGATGGGGAAAAGATGTACAAATGCTTGGATACGGCGGCAGTTGATTGAGCAGCTAGCCAAGATGACCGCAACCAGAGAAACGATGAGCGGGCGACATGCAGGTGACGAGCGAGAATTTTGCAAGCAACTGAAGGGGGGAGGGAAGAGAAGGGGGGGGGAAAACAACGAGCTTGGCATTGTTATGCAACACAGACCAGCCTAATCTTGTTCAAACCTCCTGGGTATAGCTGTCCTCCGCGGGCTCCTTCCATCTCGCTGCGGTGCGCGGATGGAATGCAACGGTATGGGATGGGACGGGATGGGATGGCAGCGCATGGGCAGAGCTCTTGGGGAGACAGACGTCCAGTGCAAACGAAACCACGGACGATCTTGGGATCCCTGCGTTATCTCATTCATCCGTAAACACACATGCACACACCAAATACATGTACAGGGCCAGTGAGAGCCACAGTGCGGGAACCAGACGCACGAGGTAATCTCGCGAGTAAACAAAGTACAAGACCCCACATGGACTCGCCGGGTCACGGTTCCTACGACCAGGCGAGGTGCAGGTCTCCCAGCCGCGGACATGGGAGGCAGGCAGGTACCTGGGTGGAAGAAGTGGATTGCATGTGCAGCGTGTGGCCCAAAAGTGGGGTTCGGGTGGAGATTATCTCTCAAAGTGGGAAGGTGATCCACCTGGCTTTTTTTTTTTCCCTTCCTCTCCCTACTCTTCGTTTCCCTGCTGGACGAATTGGCTTCCTGCACTAACGATATTTTTTTTCCCTCTCGTTGCTCTCTTCTCGTTCACTATTATTCTGGACCATCGCCTCCCCCACTAATCCGAGGCTTGTCACTGGTGCGCTGCGTCGTCGGTGATACCTCGCTCACCATCGACCGTGGGGAGCAGGAAGAGGAAAAAAAGAGATGTGCCTCCAAAGGTTCGCACGCCTTCCAGCGAGCTTGCGGAGTCGCCAACATGGCGGAACGGCGGCCACACACTCATTCACTCACTTACTCAGCCCGGGATCGCACATCAGCCCAGGTCAGCTACCTCGAGGTACGTACAACCTTGGGCAGCGCTACTTGGGGCCAGCGGTACCTTGTTCTGGGCCGACTACCAAGGAGCCTTGCAAGCTAAGCACATTCGTAGGTAATCCTAAAGTAAGTGCTTCTTCGTCGTCGCGTACCTATTGACATTTGATTTTCCGTACCATTGGCCTGACCCTTTTTCACTATTGGATTACCCGGTTACTGCGTTCTTTTTATTCCCTCGTTTCTCAATGGCCCTTCCGCTTCGTTTCCCTGCCTGGGATCTCCGAAGTTGTGCCCAGGCAAATAGGGAGGAGCGCTTGCGCGATTTTCGACCCGCGGCCAGCTGATGATGATGATGACGACACTGCTCTCCAAGGGCCCCAAAGCCGTCGATAGGTCGGTCGGCGGACAGGACACCCGTCGGTCTGTCTGGTCTCGTCCCTCGTGTCGTCTCGGGTTCACCTGCTGGAGCGTGCTGATGCTTCCCTACCCTTCTTTTCACCATCTTACCGCAGTACGTGAACCGCATAAGCTTGGGCTCTTTCGTCACGGATGGACGGCGGACTGATGGATGGCGGTCAGCAACGGTCCATGTCGCTCGTTCTTTGCTTTCAACGGCCGTTAAGTGCCTCATCAAAATCAATTGGAACAATGCGACGCCCATTGGCGCATTTGACCGCCCTCCACGACGCTTGTCTCGCCCGGTGGCAGCGCGTAGAATTTTTTTTTTTCCCTCGCTAATCCTCAGAGAACTCAGTCATCATTCTTCATCAGTCATCGCGCATCGCGGATAACATGCCGTGGGCGTTCCTTTCTGGGTGGTGTGAAGTCACACCACAAAGAAACATTCGACCCGGGAACAGTACGGGGGTACCTAGTGGTGTAAAGTTATGAAAAAAATTAAAGTACGTATCTTCCCTGTCGTTTCTCGGCATGGGACATTGAACGGGTCCACACAGTCCCAGTCGACAGAAGCACGGCCCTCCTCTTCGTCCAAAACTCCAAGGAAAGTGGATCACAACAAGCTTTTGGCCCTCCAAATCTCTGCTGCCAGTCATGGGCGACGACGACGGCGACGGGGGGCACTTGGGGGTGGAAGCCACCCTGCCATTCGTGATTGAGCTTTGACAGGCACATACGCACGCAGGTCTCTCGCTCCTGGGGGTGGGAAGGGGGCTGGGAGCAACTGTCATCATCCCTGCGATGTTGGATTCAAGCTGCCAATCGTCTCGTTATCAGGCAACGGCCCTTTCAAACTTTTCTCATCGACAAGCTCGACCTGACGGCACCGTGTCCGCACTGTCGGAGCGCCATTTTCCAGATTCCTTGGCTTTCATCGAGTAGGTCACTCCAGGGAAGGAATACTGTACAGAGTTTGACTGCGTCGCTGTTCCTTGCGGCTTTGGTCGCGAATGAGGAGCAAATCGCAGCTGGCAGCTACTGGATGAGGCGAGCCCCTAGTCACGATCAGATCAGATACCTGCCGCACTAGCATTGCTCGCTGCGTCTCTCCTTCACGATACGTCTTCCCCTGTGGCATGAGGTATCGATGCCTCTGCAACAGCATCACCAAAGGTGCGAGGACAAGCAGCAGCCGACGGCATTCCAAGCCCCCCTCGTCCAACCAGAGACGGCGCATCTACTGAATTCGGCACCTCGGCCAACTCCCCGTCCAACGCTAGACATGACGGGCGTCCCATTGCCATTACCCGACCCTGATCCTGCTGGACGCAAAGCCGAGACACGGAAAGAAGGAAAAAAGTACGCTACTCGAGGCAGTCCGGACGATGCTGTACATACGACTCCATGCACTTACACACTTTATGGATGCCTTTTCCACCCGGCGACTTACGTACCTACATGCGGCACGCCCAGCTCTTTACAGGTTACCCGCCGCTATCAAATCGCCCTACTGCAGCATTCTTGGGAATTTGCATTAGGCTTCTGGAGCAGCTTATCCGCAACGACCTGGTCTTTTCTGCTTTCGTGCTAGGGCAATCGCCGACAGCACCACTCGCGCCGCTAACATCTCCCGTTGCTCCCACCGGTCAACCCGTCAAATCGGCCCATCCATAGTGGCACGCCCACTCGTACCTCTGCTCTTCTGCCGGCCGGCTCCTACGGATACTGTATCTACCTTACTTGCAACACTCAGCACTAGCCAGCAG